ATGTCTGATGAAGTATCTTATCGAGATACGAAACGTCACAATTTGTAAATTTTAAATTTAAATTAATAAACTATAAGATCAAATCAAATCAAATTAAATTGATTTAAATTTAAAATAAATTTAAATAAAATAAAAGAAGAGAATTAAATCATGTCTAAGTCCTGAAGAGTGTTTCAATATTTCAATAATAAATAAACATGAAACGCGTCGGCAAAGTTAAACTCTACATTTATTTAATTATTTTTTTTAAATTTAGCACAGAAAGAAATTATTATATTTTTAACTAAAATTCGACTTTGATCGGTTGCTGAAAAGCAAGAGTTGAGACTGGCAGATTGATTTGTCTTTTCGTTAAAGGATAGATTGACCTGTTTTCGAATTAAATCGCTAATAAATTTGTCTCGTTCTATGTGGCGACTATCGATTAAGCATTTTGTTTTGCGTACAAGGCTCTGTATAGAGAACTGGATTGAACATACGAAAATTATGTATTTTCATTCAAATATTTGTAGACTACATCTCGATTGTTAATTAGCCGAGATGTAAAGAGAAGATCTGCACTAGCACCTTAACATGTTGTTTATGCAGTGTAAACTACGATCGAGAAAATGTTCAAAGTTGAAGATAGACATGCACCTAGCCCGGTCTTCCCGCGCTCGGTTATTCCCGGACTCGAGAATAATCTAGCCCTGGATTTCTGATCGTACGCGGCCTCGGAGCATGGCTAATGAATATTATCCATTTCAAAATAAAAGAAGGGTGAGTATTTTTAGAATAATTACTGATAGGAATAAGCTAGAGATCTGCGGTTATCACCATTTAAAAGAGGACATAAAACTTCACCGATTCTTAAATATCAGATATTTCTGAAAGAATTTCTCATAGTCTCTCGCCAACTTTTTTAGAAACTCCAGACTCTTGAATAGGTCGAAAAAATGAATTTTTCGTGCAAAATCTGCTAAAAACACGTAGAAAAATGGTAATAAGTCATGATTGACTAAGCGTTTGAAGATTAGACTTGCACAGATTATTGAACTTTAGTTGATGATTCTGGTACACAGCTGAAAATTAAAATTCTAAAACATGAACATTACACAATGCTTTCTTTTCAAGAAACCTGACGGGAGATACTGATAAAACTTGTCAGTAATAGCTGTCATTCACGTTTCGATGCAGCGTTATTTTCTCTGTTAAACGGTGAAAACCGGAGATCTTTATCGAGTTTCTATGAGTGATTATTTGAAAAATACTCACTCTTCTTTTATTTTGAAACGGATAATAGATATTTAGCTAAAACTTCACGTTGTCTTTCTTTTCTTCTTAGAAAAAATGAACATTTATGTTAAAAAACGATGGTCTACTCTGTCAATGATATGTCAGAAATATAATTCAGGTGACAGGTTTTTTACCCGATCGAAATGTTTGTTTCAGTTTGGTCATGAAAGAAAAGGAGACTTTCCAATGACGTAAGACAATTTGTGTAATATTGAGGTCGACCTTTTCTTGGACGTCAACAACTACGAAAAGTGTGCCAGGCAAAATCAATACTTCTCGTTCTTGAGTATAAATAGAAATATTTTCGATGCCAAATATTGTCGATGAAGCTTTCGTGACTTCAAAAACAAAGAGAACATGTCGTTCATCTTGACTGATTGGATTTTTCATAGCAAAGCTAAGAGCAATGAGTGGATCTATCGATGTTGATGTGAACGCTTTTAGACCAAGTACCGGCGTAGAAGAATTCTGTAGTGCCGATCTATAAACAGCGATATCGGCAACAGCGAGTGTAGCACCACGATAACTAGTACCAATGAATGCTAGTCGTTTGAGTTCGTTTCGCTTGAGACAAAACTCCATGACGAATCTGTCGCATAGGTGTGGACTGGTTTGAGCTTCGGTCGGCGAACTAGCCAATTGTTGATTGAGTGGTCGATACAATCCAGCTTCTTCACTGGTATAAAGTGTGATTAGAGGCTCAATTGACTTTCTTCGGCTAGCTTCATTCATGAATTTCAGGCAATTTTCACGCATCTTAGGATCAGGAAGACTCTGAAGAAATTGCTTAAAGTCAGCGTGATTTTGAAGATCAAAACCGTCCACACTGAAATTTTCAGTGGGAAGAAATGAACGAAATGAGTGTGTAAACCAATTGTAAAATTTGAGCCACAGAGCAGTTGTTTCTTGATTGAGTGAATATTCAAGAATTTCATCGTCTGACTTAAAGAAATGAATGTAATTGAATGTGGCATTAGGGTTTGGATCTGGGTTTGTTCCTTCAGCTATGTAAAGAGCGATCGTATGAGTCGGGTCCAATTCATGGAAACGATTAGTCGTGTTAGGTCGATCGAATAGTTTCCTCATTTCAGGTGTCGATGCTTCCTCATAGGCTCTTTTACCGTATCGATTTAATGCAGTTCGACTACAACCGTAACGCAAAAGAAGTTCAACGATTTCTAAATGACCGTAGTATGTAGCTGCATGAAGTGCTGTGCTTCCATTCGGCTGCAAAGCATTTAATTCGTCGATTGTTTCTCCGATTCCTGAGGCCGTATCTTCTAGTGTGGTGTGCACGCTACTAGTAGAGCCAAGTCGGCAGCAGTGATAGAAATGGGATGCTTCTCCAAGAATGAAAGGCATTTTTTGTGCCTTTTCACGTTTGGCTTGATCCGACTGATTAAAAGGACATGATTTTGGTTTGCTATTATTGTTTTTTTTTAATGCTTTGGCCATAGCTATATGAAACTAGATGTCTATCTAAAAGACGTTTATAAGTATTTAGACGTGATGATCTTTGAGTAGATGACCATACTATGTAACAAAAATCTCACTCCTCATATTATGGATTTACTAGAAACACCAAATTCAAGACCGCGCTCTGGTAAAACAGACACGACTGTTTATTTTACACATGAAAAACCATTGTAAATTTCGTACCAACTCGTTCGGCTTGTGAGTTGTGAAGAATCTTTCAAGGTGAGCGCCTTTAAATTGTATTTATGAAAATAACTATTCAACACTTTTGACAGTAAAACGCTAAAAGAAACAACATTGCTGACGTGGCATTGAAAAACCCTGGTGTGATATACGACCTAAAGATGGTTTCATGCAAACGCATGAAATCTTTAAACTAGGGATGCACCGATTCCTACACTATGCTTTTAAAAATGGCATTCTTTAGCCATAAAGACTTGCGCTATACATGAATTTTTTACATTGGTTTTGACCAGTTTTTCATGCTCTATCTGAATCAGCCGTCAAAACCCATCCGATGTAAAATAAATCTTTCAGATTCGGCGTGGAATAGATCAAAAAGTGAAAATTTAAAGATTTTTTCGACCGATTCCGACCGATTCCAACTGAATTACAGATTTATCTTTCGCATTAGAATATTCCTGGGGATAGATTTGAAAAGAGCGCTCAAAACTGAGAAGAAATATATGAAAAATCTATAAGAATCTCATAACTCCACGTTTTTTCAGTATATAAAATGTTTGTGAGAAATTCTAGGAATCGGTTGGAATCGGCTTTTCTATGGTTGCAAAAATATTTGCTCAGCATTGACACTTGACATACTGTGATAGATTTTTCATATTATTTCTGCTTAGTTTTGAACGCTCTTTTCAAATCTATCCCCAGGAATATTCTAATGCGAAAGATAAATCTGTAATTCAGTTGGAATCGGTCGGAATCGGTCGAAAAAATCTTTNTACAGAGAAATTAATTAATCAACTAATTGATTAATTAATTAATTATTTATTTATTATAATTAAATTTCTCTGTAACAGCCTGTGATGGTTTCTCGAGACTTCATGCATCATAATACAGACCGTGATACAGAAGCTCCACAGACCATCAGTGACTGTGATAGACGAATTCCAGAAAAGAAGTTTCATCGTGTTTCACATTTTAATCCCATAGGGATTGCGCTAACAGCTTTTCGATTTAAAATCAACTGATTTTAAATGAAAATAATCAAGACAATCAGATTTAAGCTGTTTCAATCTAGATTGCTATTTTGAAGAACAAAGATTAAAAATTGTAACATTTTCATTGATTTTTCTAAATTTAAAATTGATTAAAAAATCATCTATGTTCCCCGTAGTGCCTAAGAATATAGAGGACGATTTAGTATATTATCTTAAATCTGTGAGGATGAGAAATATTTCTTTTGTATTCGTCTACGCTCGGTCTGAAGAGATAGGTTTGTTTCGCAGACTTGAATAACAAAATAACTTTCCTGTTAAAGTGGATCAATGCTCTCGTACTTTTAATTAAAATGGACACGTGAAACAATTACATAAAGTGGAAGCTATTCAAAATACATCACACATGCCGAATTCCTAGCTTTAGAGAAACAATTTACATTGGCTGAACTGCTGACGATACTGGTAAATACCCTAAACCTGTTTGGACTCGGGATTTATTAGAAAATGATCTGAGAGTAATTGGTGACGTAGACATATTTATATGGCTTTATGAGTTGCACATTTTGGAGAGGAGTATTTCGAACTTGAGATTGTTAGCGTCAGTGATGATACATACTGACGCTAAACGAAGATTAAGACATTCTTCTAGTCTAACTGGTAGGACATCTGTCCGAATAGCAGAAGGCATGTGTTCGATCCACATGAAGGTCATCTTTTTCTTAGTTCTGTCACATAACATCAGTGACACTGCTTGTCTCTTTCGCTCTTTATATATCTCTCTTTCATTCCTAATATATCCCTTTCATTCTATGCATATTAGAGCTAATAGAGATATATTTTTTGTTATAGATACTAGTTTCAAGACAAAGGGAACGCCCATATCGGATACATCAGCATTCGATGGTCCTCGATATCAAGTGTATTGATACTGATATATTTCTGGAACGGATTACTTTTTTTTCGATGTCCCAGTAGAGTCAGTCTTTTGGCAAGAAAATTATGGCAAAACAAATAAGATAAAGTTACTCACTTGCAACAAAATGTTGATCACGCAGTACTAATATTTCTGCGTGCAATTCAAGTCTATGAACGAATATCAGAATTGTTTTTTTCTGAAATCACTAATACCTGCATACTATAGAAAGCGAAAATGCCTTTAATGGAATGGAATAAAATAAGAGAACGTATTTATTTATATATGATTTTTTCATGGAAATTTCCAAACCAATGTATATCACTATTACTAATATTGCCATAAAAATATGAACAACTTGGACAATTCCGACAAGAATGTAAAATAAACATTTTTTGTCCGATCACAATTAATCAAACTATACTCTGCTTCCTTCCGAATAGCACTTCAAAAATTCTTTGTTGGAAAAAGTAAAAGTTTTGTTTACATAAGATAAAATGATGTCACACTGCGCTTACGAAAATAGGAAAAAAACGTACAACTTTTTTCTTTCATTTTATTCAAAACTTCATTAACATTGCGATTGCGAGACACGTTGAATGACTCAAAATGATGAAACTTTTAAATTCTTTTCATCGTTCGATCATCACCCTTTGACTGGTCGCATTTGGCCAACAAAAGCAGGTCCACTTCGAGCTGTGCTACTGATCGTACATGGTTACGGTGAACATTGCCAACGATATAGACATATGGCTGATTTCTTCACTAATTATCAAATCACATGTATTAGCTACGATATGCGCGGTCATGGCGAATCTCAAGGAGAACGTGGCTTCACGTCCCACGTGAATGCTCTTTTCGACGATCTTGAATCTGTTATTGTCTACATTCGTCAGGAACTTTATCTTTTTGTACCAATCATCATCTATGCACATGGTACAGGATCAGTGCTTTGTGCTTCTCATTGTATACGTAGATCATCACAACCACTCGATTGTCAAGCTATGATTTTAAGCACACCTTCTATATGTGTAAAACAAAGTTTCTCCAAATTTGTAATCTTTGTTGCACGGGCGTTTGCAAATTTAAGTCCTCATTTGCGACTACCAGTGGAGGGTAATCACACTGCTCAATATTCCAATGATCCAGAGGTTGTAGAAGCCTACAGAAATGATCCACTTGTTCATGATCGATGGCCTGCCAGTACGTGTGCGATGTTTATTGAATTAGGAGCTCTTTTGAGAAAGGAAAATATCAATTTATTTTGTCCGGTACTCGTGCAACATGGTGATGCTGATATTATCACTCAGATTCGATACGTTGAAATATGGGCTTCCGAGCAATTGATCGGAAATGTTAATTTTAAAAGATGGCCAGGACATTTTCATGAAATACATAATGATTGTGGCAAGGAGGAAGTGTTTCGTTTCTTATTAGAATGGATGACGCAGAATGTGTTCCAAATTTACTATGTTTGAAATCAGACATTTGATTCAGAGTGTTTTCAGATCTTAATTATACATATATCGAAGAGATCTTAAGTTCATCAATAAAGAATTAATAATCTAAATGATTGTGTAACAATACAATTATTGTGCCATAAACGTGAATTCCTTTCGATTTAAGTCACATATTTTACCAGTTTTTGCTGTTCTAGAAGAAAAAAGAGAATCATTAACGCCTTTAAATTAGGCTTCGTCAATTCTTCATTTTCCTGGTGATCCAATACCTGGGATGAATGTCGAAAGACACATAGCATTGCTCATATTGATCGCAGGTAGAGCATTGTCAGACCACTGCAACCATGGGAATGAGCATGGCCTCGGTATCGGGAACCATTTTCCTAGTTTTTCTTCATAGAATGAACAAAAACTCGGGACATGATGCTCAGAGGAGTCACATGTAACGCTCTTCCTGCCTCAATTAGTCTATCATGTCCGTCGGAAAGAAAAAATACAGTTGAGCTATTCGTTTTCATTATTAAAACAAGTAACGTGAATCGAAAATCGATTCACTGGGCCCTAGACTGACAGAATTTACACGTTCAAATATATGAACAGGGAGCGAAGTCGGCTGTTTCTGTCACCCATTCTGAAATTTCCCAAGCGACTATTGGATAAGTTCAAATGAGACGAGAAAGACAGAGCGAATAAGTGAAGTTAGGATACCGATGGGACAAACACGAAAAATTTCCAAGAACAATAAATAAAAAAACGCAGCCAAAAGTCAACGCGAAAGACAGGTACGAAGGAGTGCTCAAACCCCGATTTTCCTTTCGGTACGGCAAGGAAGCTCTCAGTTTCCTAACCAACAGAATACACTGCTGGCAATTCTCGCCAAGAGGCTTCAATATCTTTCAGAGGGCAAGAGGTTCAGTTTCGCCTACTGAAGCACGCCTTTCAGAAATTTAGCGATGAATGGATCAAAGTTCCTTATAGGAAATCTGGCTGCCCCCTTCATCTGCACTGTCTTTGAAAGTGACTACTGTGCCAATAATGCATGGGCATCCTTTATTGTTCACATATTTGCGTTTCCATTTCTTTGGAATATCCTCTGATCCCGTATTAGGAAGGAGGAATACATTATGATGAGTGTTATGCAATATGCCATAGGTGTTGTATAACCTAGTACTTTTATCAATCTTTCTGGTTTACTTCTTAATGTTATCTATCTACTTTTATGTAACGTGATTACATCTTTAGACATAACCTACGTAATGCGCATATGCCTATTATATATTTTCTATTCTTCTCTCTCTCGTGTGCACGTATACAAAGCGAGTACATTGTATTATACATCAGAACTGGAACAGAACTAGAAGATTGAAGAATGGAGTAGTGTAACTAACATCTTATACACCGAGGATAGCGGTAACGCTACTCTTCCACTTTCTCTTTGTAATCACAAATAAAAAATTAAGGCTTCAGTAGTAACGAATATAACCTATCCATTTATCATCAAACAATAAATTCGTTACACACTTTGTAAAGTATCAAATTCTGCATCGAATTGTATATTACTCTGTCTTTTCGTCTTAAATTTTTTGGTTAGAAAATTGAAAATACAATTTTTGAAAACTTTAAAACCTGATTTTCGACGCCAAAACCCAATTTTTTTAAGAAGTCCAAATTCACAGTCAACGTAAAAAATTGTACCAGTAAATATGCTTAGATCTGTCTATATCGAAAAAAACTTTTTTAAAAGTTGATCAGCGAAGTAACGGGTTACGTGGAAAAGCCGACCTACTGATGGATCACCAGTGATGATGCAATATCATCATATAAACTTTTTCAATTAGAGCTAATTTATTATTTGCTGAACTATTTTTCAAATAAAAAAGATTACTTAAACTTGAGTTTAAACATGAAAAAAATTCTTCTTAATTAGCAGGGCAGGGCAATAAATTGGCCCTGTGGACACCTCTGATAGGTAATCCTACTTTTTCAATTACTTATAGTTTTTACGGAAGAGTATATCGAGACTTGAGAGAATATTCAACAGCATTAATATATTTTGAGAAAGGATCGAAAATACGAGAAGAAAAACTTTTGGAAACTCATCCTGATTTATCTGTAATATATCACAATATGTCGAAATTATACTTATCTACTCGCTTCGATTAGTTCGCTCACTCAACTCAATCTGTTATTATGTCTCTCATTCTATCTCATTTTATTTTACTTTGTTTTCGTTTGTTCTTTTTCTAATTTATTTTCAATTCGTCGAATTGATGTTTAAAGAATTTGAACACAAAGAAACACGATAACTAAGCGAATGTTTCAGATTATTGGAAAAGAAAAGGAACTAAATTATAAACGTATTATACGAGAAAAAATTTAGTTTATTCCCTCGACTGATAAAGTTTTGACCAAAGGCAATCAGGATCGAAGAATCCGGTTTGGAGTCTCATATTGAAAAAATATTGTTGGAGGAAATTGATGTTAGCGCAGAAAGCTTAATCAGAGTAAAGTCAACTGGAGGATTGTGTATCTGAAATCAGTTGTTAAAACTGCCTTTGCTGTTTTTACCAGAGAAAGGCTTGCTGCGATAATTGAATAATCATCTACTGTTGAAGTGCACATCAAGAAGGGTGTGACTAACTTTTGGAATTCACTGAAGTAATGCCTAGCTTCTTGATCTGACCGAAACATAATGAAAAACTATAAACGTTTTTGAAAGGAAATCTTTGAACGATGCTCTTCGGCAGATAGTGAAATAGAGTATACGCAATTTCTATTGCATTAGTGGGGACGAAGGAATTATGTTTATATTGCGTATTCTGATGCACACCAACACTATTCCAACTATCAACGTGCACTGATACAAAAAGGTTTATATTTCGTTGTAAATTAAGTTCTCAATCATTCTTTTCCCCATTGTGTTGTTGAAGATTCTCAAGTAATACATTATACAGGAAGAGTTGATGATCAAGCGAGTCTCATGAAGGAGCATTACTTGTACATTTAGGAGTTTTATTGGGCCTAACTCATGAACAGGTTGAAATGTATGAAAACATGTCCAAATTTTTGGGCGATAGTAAACTTATTTAATTAATCTGTTTAAATATTCAGTTTCATCTATATCTAGAACTAAGCAAAATTAGAGCTAGTAAATTATTTCTGAAGCCATCTCAAGTAATATTTACCCTGTAGTAACTTGTAATATTTTTTGCATCATCAATCAACTCTTGATCTGCAGCTCTGCGCATAAAAAACAATGGTACCAGCATCGCGAGCTATTTGTTGAGTTAGACACAACAGATTTCTTATTTATACATTCGAAACAAAGGTAGTGAAGCTAAAAATGTATTCCCATATTTTGTAAAAATGTGTTTCTATACTTTTAACAAGAAAAAAAAGACTTCTTTATCACATGAACTGTTGTGCTTCAACCTATACCAACTCACAATTGATCATCTTCGTGAAACGAGAGAACCTATTATTTCTTCTTCCGGAATCAATTAATACTTCGAAGAAATATGATATAACAATCTTTGTAGAACTTTCTGTTTTTTTGAAAACACCACGTCGAGTAACTATTTACTTCAAAATAGAAATTAATAGACTTGATTAAGTCCTAAGAGACAAGTCCATGTAATCCTCTGTAGGATTACATTTTCTATAGAAGAAAAGCATCTAAATCAGATTTTTTATTTTATCAGTCACATCAATATTTTTCAATTATCTTTTCTGATTACATACAAAGCAATTAGACTTTTGACTTTTCATACATTCCAAGTCACATAAAATAAGTAGAAGATAAAAAAAGAGGAAAAAAAGAAAGAAATGTTAAGCTTGCACATCCCTTCTTTTGTCAAATTGCATGTGCCATATCAAATGAAATCACAATTAGAAAAAGCATTCATTGATGGCACGGGCTAGTGCATGACAGCTTTGACTTTCATTCTACTTGCTGCTTTGATAAAATTATGCTGGATTTTTTTAAACGACAATTTCAACATCGAAGTTCATACGAACAATTTAACTATGAAGTTAATAAAAGTTATAAAAGTAAATTAGATCTTATACGTTTAAGTTCTGTTGTATGTGGTATTGAATTTTGCTATGCGGCCGAAACAGCTTTCGTTTCACCAATTTTACTTCAAATGGGTTTACCCATTGTCTTCATGACTTGGGCATGGTGTTTACCACCCTTAATTGGTTTCTTTCTTGTACCAGCACTTGGTTCATTGAGCGATAAATGTAATACACGATTTGGACGACGACGTCCATTTATATTTCTTTATTCAATTGGTATTTTGATTGGTCTGTCATTGGTTGCAAATGGTAAGAAGGAAGCGTTGAATGAAGAAATATAAAGTATAATTTTAGGTCGGCTACTTGGAGAATGGTTTGGAGATGTAAAAAACGAAGATACCGATGATATACAAGTAGGAAATCAAACCAGCAGGAAGAATCAAGAAAATTCAAACCCATTATTATCACATAAATATGGTGCAACATTAACTGTACTCGGTGTTCTTCTACTCGATCTTGATTGTGATGCATGTCAAAGTCCTAGTCGAGCTTATTTACTTGATGTTACCAATCCTAGCCAGCATGCATTGGGTCTGACAACATTTACGTTCATGGCGGGTTTAGGCGGTTGTCTCGGATATTTTCTTGGTGGAATTCCATGGGAACATACTTTTTTAAAACGTGTACTGGGTGATCATATTCATGTTCTATTTACATTAGTGTTTATTATCTATGTCATTTGTATGATTTTAACATTAACAGCATCAAAAGAGTCAACTGATATTACAAATGTAATACCAAGTATCGGTCGATCAGCATCACGTCAATTATATGTTTCTTCAGAAAATGTAACTGGCAATGCTAATAATGAAAATCCCTACGAAACATCAACGAACAATGTCATGACAGTATCCTATTTGGATTATATCCGATCAATTATCTATATGCCATCATCATTACGATGGCTGTGTTTAACGAATTTTTTCTGTTGGATGGCATTAGTTTCATACTCACTTTATTTTACTGATTTTGTTGGACAAGCTGTTTTCGGTAATTAACAATACTTGGGATGAAAAAGTTTTTAAATGTTTTTTTTCATTTAGGCGGAAGTCCAACGCTTGATTTCAATGATCCATTACGATTATTGTATAATGATGGTGTTCGATTTGGTTCATGGGGCATGTCAATCTATTCGATATCGTGCTCGATTTATTCATACAATATACAAGCTCTCAACGATTATTTTGGTATGTTTAGATTTCGATTGAAATTTTGGTCTATTGCAGATTTCGTTTCAAGGTATTAAACGAGTTTACATCGGATCGCAAATCATCTACGCTGTCGGAATGTTGTTAATGGGATGCTTAAGACATCGTATTGGTGTCATTGTATTTTCAGCTGTCGCTGGCATACTCTATTCAACATTATTTACTATTCCTTATCTACTTATTTCACAATATCATACGTCGAATCAGGTATTCCTTTTTTTTTCTTGAAGAATGATGAGCTATGTTTCTGTCTTTACCATAAATAGTTCGCTCAATTAAATGGATCGAATACACACGGACAGATTCGTGGCATTGGCACAGATATCGCTGTTGTCAGTAGTATGGTCTTTTTGGCACAATTATGTTTATCATCAACAATGGGAACATTAGTTCATTTTGCTGGTTCAACTGTTATCGTAACTATTGTCGCTAGTTTTCTTAGCATTTGTGGTGCCATATCGGCTACACAAGTTCTCTACATATAACCTATATTAGAAGAAAAAGAACTTTAATTGTAACCAAAATAAAATGAACGACAACTTTATTGAGCATACTGCAAATAAGATGCCTCCGCCTATTAGCATTAGTAATCGAGTTTTATGTCACGCAATGTCTAGATACGAAAACTCGATTAGATTCATCTTCCTCGCCAACGTAAATAAACGCCATATGAAATTCTGCCAAGCCAATAAGAAATCTTATTATATAGTTATTCTGAATTAAACTTGTTTTATTTAATAGTATACACGTTTTAATGAACATGAACAAGGACAAGAAAAGAAAGCAATGTATGGCGCAATACACACTTGAAGAATGAAAGTGAATACGAACAAAACATTTTAAGTTTGATTTAAAGAGATTTTGTATTATTGATTTATTGCGTTTCATAAACAATTCGATCATTAGTAGTAGTAGTAAGTTGTCGACGTCGCATGGATTTAATTGCTTTCTCACGTAGAAGACGTTCACGTAAATCAATTTCGTTTTCATCTTCACTTTGATTATTGTTCTGATGTTTTCTTTCATTATCAGTTGATTTTGTTACAATAGATACATGTGTTGAAACCGAATCTGTAGCATCGATTCGAGATTCTTCTAATACAACCTAGAAAAAAAATCGAAATAAAGAGACAACAGAAAAAAAATAGCCGATTATTTACAATTCGTTCAGTTCGAGTTGGCTTGATCGGTGCAAATAATTGTTGGGATTTCTATTGTAATCAAAAGATAGAGAATTTTCGAAGAAAAGTAAATTACTAACATTATTATCCGGCAATTTCATGGGTGGCGTTTTTTCTTTAATTTGTGATTCAAGTCGAGGTCGTTTTGGTGAGGATGGAACTGGAATCTCGCTAGTTGATATTGATTGATATGAATTCGAATCTTTCTTTTCTGTTTTATCCTGATTTTTATCTTTTTTTAACTTCTTGGCTGAATCACTTCGATGCGGTTTTCTTGTTATTGATTTGTCTAGGTGATCTAAATTGATGGGTTTCCATTTGCAATAGAGCTCAAGACTAGAAACAAAATATACAGTAGCGCTCAATGTCCAATATTTACATATTGACCAACTTCTTTCAGTTTTACTTTTACTTTCCGTAGATTTGATTCTATTTAAACGATGTAGATACGATTGAATTAACTTACCGCGATGGGATTTCCGTTTACTATCACTACTTCGATGATTTTTTGTTCGCTTTCTGGACGAAGATTTACTATAGGAGAAAAACAAAAGATTAATGAGCCTCAACGAGACGCGCTTTACCTATTATGATGGGTACTATGTTTTCTTGATTTGTGATCATCTTTCTTTTTGTCGGACTTGCGATTGCGATCAAGTGAAGGCGATCGACTTGATGAACTCGATTTGGTTACTTGTGATTCTAAAGAAGAAGAAAAATGTACGTAGAATGAATGAGACCTAGATTCAAACATGTCGATTAAATTTACTTTTCTTCTTTTTCTTCGCGGAATTAGACATGGAAGAGAGTGAACTTGAATTGGAACTTGAACGTGAAGCTGATGACGATTTACTAGACGATGATCGGTCTCGTTTTTTAGGTTTTTTTGTTTCTTTAACCGTTGGTATTTTCGGTTTCAAATCTGTTTTGGAAGAAGATTTTGTTGATTGTTTTGAGCGCGGAGGAGAAGGCGTAGGCGGTTTACGTTTCGTCTTTGATACCGATAGTTTTTTGAGTTGATCATCAATTTTCGATCGTTTTATTTCATTGGAATCATTTAATATTTCAACGGATTTTCTACGTGACGATTTATTGATTCTTTGATGTGAACCACTAGCATCTGAACTTGAAGACGATGAACGAGCCTTTGGCTTTGGTTTAATGGTTTCAGGCTGTTTTGTTATTTTCGAGGACTTTTTATTAACAGATTCCGATGATGATGAGTGATGTTGATATTCATCATTTTTACGTGATAATTTTATTGGACTTCGACTATGTATAGGAGATTTTGATGGTGAACGGTGACGATCATTTCGATTGGATGATGGTTTTTCTTCCTTTTCAACCGTTTGAATAGGCTTTTTCTCATTAGGTCTGAATAGAAAAAAAAGACAGATGAATAATCTTTAAAATTAGCCAACCAACCTTGATCGTAAGTCCGGACTACGTGAATCTCGTTGTCGACGATTCTTTGGTGGTGAACGTCGTCGATCACCCTCATAATGTGGTCGCGATTTATATTCACCACTAGCATGATTATCATTACGTAATTTGTTATTTGATGACGTCATTAGATTTCGGCCGTTTAGTTTATTATCCAATTTCTCGATATCTGGCTTTATCTCTTGCCGATGGGTTTCTTCTTCACGCTTGCGAACATCACGTAATCGATCATCTTCTTCCTAGGAAAAAAAGAAACACACCAGTCTAGCAATATGTTATTGACTCACAAGCAAATCTCGAATAATAGTTTTAAAAATATCTTACCATCCGTTTTAATAATTCTCTTTTTTTCATTTCAACAAATTCTGCTGGTATCCCATCGGGTGATGATTGTGCACTAGCTAAATGTTTCCAAAGTTCACCGATAAATAATCGTGCTTTACTTCCACCAAGAAAACCAGTCAAATTGATTTGCATCATTTTTGGATCAGGATTCTTCAAAATAAATAAATGAATAAAACAATATTTTCTTTCATCGAATATTTATTTTTCAAACCTTATCTTCTAATTGATTAAAAACAAATTCAATAACAACGTCATCTTCAATACCTAATAATTCTTGTAAACGCTTTGTTATCCATGACTTTAATACATCAATCTTAACTTTTAACATGTCAATCTAAATAGAAAACGAGCCAATTAATTAGGAAATTTTTCTATTCTCTTCTCTTACTTTAACATCAATATTATCAGGAAATTTCATTTGTTTGAGTAATTTCTTTTGTTTATTTGCAAATCGACTATCTTGCTCAGCCGAAGTACCCTAAAATAGTATATATATATACAAATAATTATTTTCCTGTAGAATGTTTCCATAAGACATACTTTAAAGAATCCGGCATCAGCCATAATTACAATTTATCTGCAACAAAAAAATCAAAGAGATTTCTTCTTTTTCTTCTCTATTGGATATTAAAGAATGGAAAACAAATCGCCTAAATATCGGTTGTTCAGTTCGAAGAGAGAAAAAACAAACAACGAACGCAATAACAGAAAAAAAAGGCCAACCACAGGTTGGCTAATACAAAACCAACCGGTTGAATTGAAACTGTTTTTTCGGTACACAAGACAAGAGAAAAAAAGCTAAGAACAATGCTGGTTTGATCTCATAAGGAGAGTAGAATAATATTAACCGATAAGCAAACCAATGCCAAAACGATAGGCAGATTTAGCATGATTTAATGAACTGCTTAACATGAACGTAAATGGCAATGGTGCAAGACGTTTTTCGATCACAGCACTTACAAGACCGTTCGTATCGAGCATACCTAAAAACAGAATTTTATTTAAAAGATTTCTACACATGAAAAATCAAGTCTAGCAATTTTCGAATGATTGATTATTCTTACCACGAAAAGTTGTATTAGCTTTTGTTAGATCATATTGATATGAAAATGTTGCAGAAGTTTCTTTGACTGCAAGCGATGTTTCGAATTCGACTCCTAACTGTAATGGACTGTTTGATTTTTGATGAAAATAGCCAACATTAAAAACACCTGCTGGACTTAGCTTAAGAGCAGTAAACCAATCGAGACCTTTAATTTCAAAAAAAACAAAATTTATCCATTTCCAGTCGAATCAGTTCATCGTACCTCGATATCTAGAAACAAAACTAGTTATACCAATATGGCCGCCAGGTATCATCAGATTGGCTTGATAAAGAAGTTCAGCACCAATGTCTAAGTTTTTTGTTACGCGTGTTAAATGCTGCAAAACAGCGATACCTAAAATCAATTTTTTGTTTTTGAAGAGCAAAATCCGTATTCCTATTTTACCAGAGCTACTAAATAAGTCAACGTTTGCTAATGTTACGGTTGTTGTTGTAAATTGAGTTCGATAATCCATCGACAATTGATAACCTGCCATTTTCAATGATTGTACCTTTAAAAAAATACGCCCAAATGAGACAATTAAAAAATTCCAATTTTTACTTGTGCTAATATACGTGTGCGAAGTTTATCACTCCATTGATGAATTATTTGAGCACTGGCATTTCCATTCGGATCCACATCACCCAAAATAACAGGAAATACCTATGAAAATCAATCTGCTATGATAAAAAATAAATGATAAACTTTCTTTTTACTTCGGATTGGGAATAAAGTTGTGTACCAAGGTAATTTGCTCCAAATTTATAACCACTATTCGATCCACTGCTTAATGTCATTGAATGGCTAACTTGAAAATGACTACTTAGCATTTTAGTAACCGATAGTTTAGCACCTTCGAATGCTGGTGGCATTAAATCTAATAGAAAATAGATGAATACTAAATAGAATAGAAAAACTAAATTGATATTTACCCTTTATTTTCTTGAATACATCGTCAAATACACCCGGATTACGTGACAAATCTGTTGTTACATCCATCCATCGTGTATTAGGAAATGCAGGTTGAGCTGATTGGGGCACATCTATTTTCGAAGATTTGCTGGTTTCATTGGAAGGTGCATTTCCTGAGACATTGGCCATCTTGAACTTTTGAATATTTCAATAGTTGATCACCAATATACGTATAACTAGGTAAAAAAAAAGACTCCTGTTTTCTTTTTACTGTTTTCCTGTTCGAGGATATGAACCAATGAAATCGTTTTATATAAATAATATGAAGTAAAATCAAAGTCAATTTTTTTTCAACCAAACATTTAATGATTATTTCTGAGAAAAAATAATATTAAAAGTTTATGAAATTTTTGATCTTGATAGATATCGCTAGTAGAATATTATCTTCATATGACTCACTGTCAGCGTATTGATGATTCGATATGATGAAATCAAAAATACTACAAATACATTTTTTGACACACCAGCGACATAACAAATCAATTATATAGATTTTAGTTCCCGGTGACTTGTTTTGGCAGAATACAAGTCTATGCAATTGTCAACACATTTTTCTTCTAATTTCAGATAAAAAAGAAGCGTAAGAATAAAATTATGACGAATCAATACGACGATAAAGACGATGATCTATCAGTTAATGTCGTTGAACCTGATGAAAACGAATGGAAACGATTCATAGATGAGTAAGTTAAAATTATTTCTATCATCTTGTACTGAGAGTTCATTTTGAATCTTTTAGAATGAAATATGTACGTGCCTTAGAATATGTTCTTCAAAATGCACCAGTTCGTGCTAAAGATCCTGAAAAAAAAGTAAGCATTACGTCAAAGAAAGCTACGCTTCAAAATGAATGATTTTCTTTTAGAAAAAAGCTGCTTCTATGGCATTATCAACAATGATGAAAATTAAAACAAATGAAATATCACAAGCTGTGAATTCAATTCCAGTACCATTACGTGATACATTAATGAAATATGTTTATAAAGGTTTCGAAAGTACAAAAGATTATTCCAGTAGTGCTCTATTAGTATGGCATGAAAAGGCATGATAGACAAATGAGAAAAGAAAACTTTATTGTTTCGACGTTTTTTTATTTATTCATAGGTTCTTGCAGCAACTGGACTCGGATCGATTGTACGCGTTTTAACGGATCGAAGGACTGTGTAGGCTCGTCATAGCAATAACTGATGAATGACATTCCAACAGTGATGTAATTCGTTTTTTATCTTCCGCCTTCGAGATCGTATGTCATATTGCATAGCGACTAAAACTTTTTATTTCTACTCCTTACGAAAACAAATTATACTGTGTGTCTTAGATTAAGCCTTGGTGTCTTCTTCATTTTGTTTTTTTTCCGTGAACAAACTATTGCTATTCTATAGGTGTAATTGACGATTATTATCACGTGTATGAAATCCTTTTTTGTTGGTTTTTCATAACACATCTTTTTTTACAGAAATATATAAGTTTATCATTGATTTCTAGATAATTTCATAGTAAGAATGAAACATACTATCTTGCACTATCTATCTTTTACGTGCAAGTATGAAAATAATTTTCGGTAGATATGTGTCGAATGGGAATACTTTTGCATATAGAAATGAAAAACGTAGATTCTATTCGATTTTGATGTTGGTAACAAAAACAGTGTTTGTTTTATTTTAGATGTCTTCCATTGAATATGATAATAATGATCTTACAGAAAAAGTTGCTACAGAAGAAATTGAAGATGAAGTATATCCTAAAAATGTATATATTATGAGAAGTAATAATCAATTACGAGAACTTCATACACTTCTACGCGACCGGACGACATGCCGAAGTGATTTTAAATTTTATGCTGACCGTCTTATACGCTTAACGGTTGAAGCTGCACTCGATCAATTGCCATATATACCATGTGAGATAATAACACCAACGGGTCATTCGTTCGATGGTCTACGCCATCAAAAAGGAACTCTATGTGTATCATTAATGAGAAGTGGAGAAGCTATGGAGAAAGGCATTCGTGAATGTTGCAGGTAAATTACTATCGAATGTCTTCGAACACACTAATATTTATGGATAGAATTTTTTCAATATGCATCTAAGAGCTATCACTAAGAATAAGAAAAAGAAGAATTGAATAACTTGTTATCATAAAAGAACGCAATCGCTCTCAAAATCTGAGAAAAGATGTTTAGACGAAGTAGACATCTACAAATCTTCGATATGTTTCATTGACTTTATCCGATTCTTTCAGATCTATAAGAATAGGTAAAATATTAATAAATGAAGGTCAAGTTATATATGCCAAATTGCCAGCTGATGTTCAGCGAAGACATATTCTTGTTGCTTATCCTGTGGTTACAACCGGTTCAACGGTGTTAGCTGGTCTTGAAGTCTTATTGAAAGAATATCAATGTAGAGAATCGAATATTATTTTAGTTACATTATTTTCAACGCCTGAAGGCATCAAGCAAACTTGCGAACGCTATCCAAATATAAAAATAGTCGTTTCAGAGATAAATAAAATACCGCCAAATCATTTTGGTCAAAAATATTTCGGTGAGATATGATGAAATTGTTTTTCTATTGCTTAATTTTCCTTTTCTCTCTAGGTACCGACTAATGATAATTCGTTGTGTTCAATCTGAAATTCCTCTAGTTTCTTTCCAATGTGCTCAGTAATAAGATAAATAATTTATAGTTACAATAAGAATACAAATTTTTATATATTTCATTTTTTTTTGTTTTTGCTCAATAAATTTATATAATATTTCTTCTATGGAATAAGATATTTGCTATTCTTTGTTTCCCACATGGATACTTTTATTGTTTGATAGATCAAAGATTCGATTGAATATTTGTTATTCGCATAAAATCTAGTGCAGATACTGCTGTTTAAAAAAAACGTTATATCAAATTGCTTCAATCGGAGAAATTTAAATAAACGAGGCAGCATGCTTGCCCAAACTTGTTGGTACAACGATTCAAACACTTTGACATGGGGTTTCGTCTGTAGATAGATCTAATGATACAGAGAATGTCTGGAAGGTATCCAGCGAAAAGAGTGCTCCGTTTGCAAATATATTGTATTTATAAATAAACTCGACTTTTCTATCATGCCCGGGACCCACACCCAAGATTGAAAATTTCATCCAAATTGTGTCTGATTCACTTCTCGTGTTGGAAATCACCGAATAAAATTTCACTATGGATTTTTACTTTTCACAGTAGTTTATAGAAGGGTGAAAAACGTGCGTGTCGCTCTTGTCGATTTAATATTTTTATAGTTGTTATAGATCATGCATTCTCGTGATCAATACATGAAACCAGCCAAACGACATTTAAGTGTCGATAGGTTGTGGAAAGACGATACAAAAAAAACTACGCAGTAAGATAAAAAAATCTTTCATTTGATTTAATTCTTTCCTTGTAATTTCTATTTATTAACATCAAATGAAAATGAGTAAGTGAAAATTAAATTTTTAAATTTAGAGATTATTATTAGTTTTCTATGAAATAGACGCGTAACTTTTATTGAACACTTATCCAATGAACTTTTCTATGAAATTTTTGATTATCTTGATGGTCGAGATCTACTCTATGCATTTTCAAATTTAAATCTGCATTTCGAAAGTCTTATTATGAGTTCCAAATTTCGATTAAAATTTCATCATTGTACTCCACATCTAGAGTTATTCGAGCAGGATTATCAACAAATAATTGTACTCAACAAACATCGAATTATTTCACTTCACCTATGGACTCCATCACAATTGCTAACAAGCGTCGTACTGCATCCTGTTAATTCATCATTTAGTCGACTCGAATCACTTATTCTTCATGGAATTAAATTCAAGCAAGCAATATCGTTTCTACCTGGCTTAACAAGTCTTCCTGGTCTGTCGTCGTTGAATATTTACCTTAATGATGCTTTAAGTAATTCCAATGCAATTTATCATTTACTCTTTCGTTTATCGAACTTAAAATGTAGTAAACTTTCGGCAAGAAGATATTTTTCGCAAGATTTTATACCAAATACGTCTAATCAACAAACGACTTCCATAAAACAATTAATAATCGATCATCCTTGTAATCTTCATGGATTATATGATATTCTGTCTTTTACACCAAAAATTCGTCGTCTAAAATGTGAAAATTTATTTCCTAAGTATGAAAATATTTCGAAAGAAATTCCATTAAATATATTCAATTTAACATATTGTTCCATATCATTATGTTACTTGAAATTTGATGAATTTGAAATATTCATCAAAAAAATATCTTCTCAACTTCGAGTTCTATGTTTTAATCCGTGTTCAGATATTTCTTATCTTGGTGCTGATCGATGGCAACGATTAATAACGAAACATATGCCTCTGTTATATACATTTCAATTTAAGTATCATGATGCTGTTGTTGGTTACTTTGAAATTCAACCCTATCATTTGTTTATCAATCGATTTACATCACCATTTTGGATCGAACGACAATGGCTGTTCAACATTGAAATTGATTTTAATCATTGGTCACCTTTTGAGATTATTTTTTCTATTCAATCCAATAGGTAAATTATAGAGATAGTGCTAGAATTTCCTGTAAACTTCAATATGTAGAAAAATCAAGTCGTTAGAAAAGATTGAAAATTTTGCTGAAATATAGTTGAATCGCAGAACGAGAACGAAATAATTATTAAACGCTATAATTATTTTCCTCTTGTTAGGTAGAGAACCTGAGAATTTTGAAATAACTCTAGTCGTTAAAAAAAAACGAACAATTTCTAATTTCTCGTTTAGAAAGCGATGGGATGACACTGATTTTATCGTAACCGAACAAGAATCTTTGAATATCATAAAGCCAATATCACAACTGACTGTTCATAAATGTCGTATTGCACATCCTGCTCAGTGGTTTGTCCATTCTATTCGTTTTGTTTCGTCTTTAGCAAAAATAAGCTGTTTACATATTGAATTCAAATATTTTTCTATTGCTGTTCTTATTGAATTTTTACATTTATTACCTAATCTTGATTCACTAACATTATTTATTCATTTTTCAAATCAAACTATGAAACTAACCGAAGAACAGAATAATATGATTCGTGCGACGTCAACTATGAATCAAATAATCAAAATAAATGTTGAGCAGGCGTTTGAATTGAACCAAATTGATCTTTTCATTGATCTTTGTCCAAGAATAGAATATATAAATATACAATGTAAAGATTATATTCAATTAGAATCCATCATTCGTTTGATTTTAACAAAAAACAACTGCAATCTGCAGTTTCTATATTTTTCGATTCCTGATGCAGATGATGAAATGGTGCAAAAAATCAAAGCAATAATTTATTCAGAGCAATCAGTCGTTCCTTTTAAAATTCAACGTATTTCTAAAAATATTTATCTACAGTGGGAGAAACAGTGATCAAACATTAAATCATTTGCTAATACGTCAGTGTGTATGATATTTTATTTTATCTATTAAAGATTGTGTGAAAATCATTAATGTGAACCTTTCGAAAAACAAAAGTTACTGTTTTTCTATCAGGATATTGATTATAAAGAACACATATCTTATAAAATTTGTTTCAAAATAGCTGTTCTAGTTGCCATTTGAAAACGCATAAACGAGACACCCCTAATGCGTCTTCAATTATTACACCATTCATTCTAAATCTTATAGGTTTCTCCTTCTTAGCACTTTCGAATACGAATCGAAAAAAAAAATAAGTAAAGACTGACCCCGACGTGACTTGAACACGCAACCTTCTGATCTGGAGTCAGACGCGCTACCGTTGCGCCACGGAGTCCACACTACAAGGTGTTTCGATTACAGGTTTACTTCTGTAGGAATGGAGACAAATTTGAGAACAAAAATGATCGACGATTGAATCCGACGTGACTCGAACACGCAATCTTGCTTTGTTCCATTTCGAGTAACTTTTTTTTCTTTGAATCTGAGCGAATATTTGAGACAAAAAAGGATTAAACATTGACCCCGACGTGACTTGAACACGCAACCTTCTGATCTGGAGTCAGACGCGCTACCGTTGCGCCACGGAGTCGATGCAAGTAGAAGAACAGAAAAAGCACTTATTGTTTCCACATACACACAGAACAGCGAAAAAGCTATTGTATCGCGATCAAGGGTGCGTGCTGAATGCTTGTAAATATATATTTTACAAAATAATCTAGCCACTATTTGAATGAATAGTACAATGTCATACACAATATACGCTGAATCAATCAATAGAAGAGAAAGACAAAAGGATTCCATATTCTTGTCAATCAAATGAAAAAGTCTATATTGCTTAATTTTCTTTTTTGTTTTATTTGTAGAAAGGCAGTTGTCTCTCATCGTGTAGATCTGAATACTCTCTCACTTATGTTTAATTATTCATTCATCGCGTTGTCATTCATTGATTATTATCAATTTATCTTAATTGTTCATCGAATTTTATCAATTTGTAGATTTATAAGACATTGCCATCGATGAAGTTGAACTCTTTTCGAAAAGATCTACTCATACGTAATATACAAAGAGGTGTATCCAAGAGGAGAGATCGCAGTGTTCACAAGTATTTTACTTTGGCATAATAAGTATTCTTTTTCTAAAATAACCAAAGGATATTTAAGAAAAGCAAAGAAAATTGAAATATATGTTAAACTTTTTTGTTGAAATATTATTTAAAATACAAATATTTGATTGGTTCATAAATTTCATACGAAACGTCTCGGCTGTAAATCTAAAAATTATTTTCTTTGATTATTTTATCAGTAATAATATCATCCGAATACCATCTATCATAAAACTCAAGAAATTAGATGTCACTCTATTTCTCTTCTGATTGCCAAGACAACGTTCAAACTAGTAAGTATGATGTCAACCAATAACGGCTTTCTTAAGGTTATGATTTGTAAGAACAAAAAAAAGAAAGAAATTGTGGTTTTTTTCGAAACGAAAAGAAATGAATCTATGACAATTTATTAATAATTTCATCGTTTTAATTCATAAAATATGGCAACCATCAGCTCTGGTATGTAAGGGGAAAAAGAGAAATATGAATTTTTCTATTTGTTTATGATTAAAAATTTAGGTAAATCATCCACGGCAGCTGATAAACTCCGTGATCTTCTTACACAATTAGACCATCAAGGTTCTCCTTCATCACCTACACATCATTCAAGTTCACCTAAAGTATAGACAAATCATTAGCACTCTCTTATCTATTGATCAATTATTTCATAGACGTTTAAAGATACGCCGAAATCAAATGAACTTTATTTACTTGTTCAAGCATCTGATGAGATAAGTCATCGATTGAACCATGAAAATGAAGCATTACGTGTAAGTGTCTAAAAAATGAAACACATAAACTTTCGTGTAGGTAGTTAATAAAATAATTTCGAACGATTTGTTTTTCTGTATTATTTTAAATTAGAATGATAACTCAAAACTTCGATCAAATGTTGTTACTCTAGTCGAAGAAAATAATCGACTACATGAAGAAATTCGTAGTACATTTGTTTCCGATATGCTGCGTTTAATTAACATTGATGAAGGACAATCAATGACGGATAAAGAAGTAAAATTATTTTATAAAAAATACATAATTTTAAATATCTTTTATTTAAGTCACAAATTGCTGATCTTTATACGAAAAAAATGCGTCATCTTGAAATCGAACTCAAAGATGCAAAGTGTGTATCCTAAAATAAAATAACCAGTGTCCCATAATGAATAGAACTAAAAGTCGATTCAGTCTTTTCCCTCTCATTGAAATTCATTTATAGATCAAAATATAGAGAGTTTCAAATTTTAATTCTAAAAATAGCAGTTTGTTCTTCGGAAAATTGCAGAGGCGGAGCGGAAAAAGAATCTTCACGCCTGTTGAGCTGATCTAACCTAAAATATTCAAGATTTTTTAAAATAGTTTAGAATAGATGCTAGTCGTTTTTATGAAATTACACCGTAGATTTTTGATCAATCGCTAAAATTTACGCCGAGTCCGATTTATTATGTTCCACTGATTAACAGTATAACTTATAGATTTATTTTTATCTAGAGAAAAACTAAGTATGTATGAAACAGTTTGGCAAGCACCCAATGATCTTATGAATTGTCTTAAATGTGGTGCTCTACTTCCATTTGGTCAACATTCTACTGAGCATAATGAAAAATTCGCCAATATTTTAACGTTAGTTAGTTTATCGTAGAGCATCAGTGATCGAGATGAATTTATTTATAGAGAAAATGAAAGCAATAAACGAAAATTACAACAAATCCAAGTGAAATTTGATGAAGCACAAACGAAAGAACACAGTGCATTAGCTAAATTACAAGAATGCATTCAAATTGCTGAGCACAGTCAATTTGAAAAGAATGAAGTATAGAGGTTTTTTTATCATTCAAAACATTCTTTTTTCTTTTTGGTAATGTGATGTAGGCTGTTGTTGAACGTGATCAAACTAGAATTGAACTTGTTGAAACACAAAAGCGATTAAAGAAATTTATCGATGAAATGAACGAAACAATTAATATTGAAAAACAAAAAGCTGAAAAATTATGTGACGAAAAATTAAAAGAAAATTCCGAAAAAGTAAAATTAACATAGAATCAAAAAAACTGACCCCAACGAATTCGTGTCATTTTAGATGCGACAAGCAGAAGAACGATGTTCACAATATGAGTTAACCATCGATCGATTAGCTAGAGAAAAAACTTCTTTGGCAGCTGATTTAGATGAATGGAAAAATCGAATACACAGACAAGAAATTGATCTAAGTCAAGTAAGAGCTTCAAAATATCCATGTTGAGAAACGCCACATCGTTAGTGCGACATGAAATTCTCTAGAAACTTCCGATGATCTATTTCGTTTCAGGCGTCGGATTCTGTTAAACTCCAAATACAAAAGGCGATGCGTGAACGTGATCAGGCGAATTCAAATACAATGCAAATTCGAACGGACTTCGAAAAATTATTATTACAAAGCAATCAAGTAAGATATTTTTCGTTAGAATCGAGATCTGCAGTACTATAAATTTTATCAGTACTGTGAAGAGAGCGAGAAGAATAATATATTCTATGCATATTAGGATATACTTCAACTTCGTCATCAACTGGGCTCTTCTCAAAATCGTTTCAATGATATTGAAGGTGAATTGTTAAATTCTAAAAAACATTGTCTTGAATTAACAGAAGAGATCAATCGTCTAACTCGAGAGGTAGTTTACCGTTCTTTTTTCTCTCTCACTAGAGATGAATAAACCTTTTTCTTTCTTTCTTTCTTTCTTTATCTAGAATCTAATGCTGAAAAGTATTAAACAAACTCTTGAACGATCGCGTGAAGAAAATATCGATGCTATAACTGTTATATTAAATAAGCGTGAAGAAGATTTTCGTACAACCATCGAAAAGCTTGAGATAGAACGTCATCAATCGTTATCCTATCTTGAAGATCTTGTTTGCAGTCAGAATACAATATTGAATAAATTACGTTTACATTCGCGGCAATTAACATGCGAAATTGAAACATTACTCGAACAAAAGCAGGAGATTGTTCAAGAAATGACTGTTGAAAATCAAGAATTACGCATGAAATTGTCCAATGCTTATGAACGTCTTGAACAAACCGATACGCAACTGTTACAACATAATGAAACACATGTTAAATTGAAACATCGTATTATAGAGTTGAACAATAAAATGAAAGAATATGAAAATATTGTATGTAAAAAGACTTTTCTTTTCTCGTATTTTAACGACTTTTATTATCGTTTCAGATAAATCAAATCAAAACAAAGGATTTAATCGACTATCAACAACGACTTGCTCTGATGTCACAACGTAGTTAACTCTTCTTCTTTTGCATTGTTTAGCGAAATATGTATTATATTTAACATTGAATAGAAATATAGAACACAGATAGTAATAATGAAAACAAAAACATAAATTGAAAAAAAAAGCGAACAATATTATAAGTAAATCATTTATAATGAAAAACAAAAAAATTAAGTAGCTCCATTTCCTGTTGTTGGTGTAGGCGATGATTGTGCTGCTTCATTGAGATTAATAGTGAAAGCCACGGGTGTTTGAGCACGAGTTCTTGCTCGTACATTATAAAGTTCTTGAACGATTACTGTATCACGAGGTCGTTGAGCACTGGATTGTGGTAGATTAGGTAAAGTCGATTCTTCTAATACAAATGTTCCACGTCTTTGTAAACCAGGAGCTGCTGGTGGTGGTGGCGGTTCTGACTCTCGTTCTTGCTCTTGAATAGTTGTTGCATTTGTAGTAACGAGATCTCTTCCTCGACCGCCACCACCACCGCCACCGCCACCGAAAATTGGTCGAGAGTCACCTTCGAGTGATCGAGCTGCTGTAGTGCTTGTTACATGATTTCGTCGTGTTGATGGTTCCGGTGGTGCTTGTGGTCGTTGATTCGGTCGAACATTCGAGGCACCAAATGGATTCGATCCGAAGATTGACGAAGAATGACGTGGTGTTTGTGAATCCCATGATGCTGTATAGGATGTTGTCGAACGAGCTGGAACTGTTAAACTAAGATCTACAAATGGATTAGCTGCACTTCCAGAAAAATGATTTTGTGTTGGGCGATACGCATATGTTGGAGGTGGTCTCGATGCTGTTGAACCACGGGAATAATATAGATTCTCCAAATGTCGATCTATAGACGAAATATCGGAATATGTTAAATAATCTATTTGTATGTTTGGATTTACATTGATCGACTTGTGATTGATCTTGAGTATAGATTGGATTTGACATTGTTGATACATAATTCATAGATGAATTCAGTTGTCTCGGTGGTTGAAATCGCGATTGTGGTATCGGAACAACTTGACTTATTGAAGTCGGTGATTGTGGTGGATTGGAAACATCAATTAAATGGCCAGAATTTTGAATACTTCCTGATAAAGCGGCTTGATTGTCAAATGTAAATCGTAGCTGGACAAGATAGTTGATTATAGATAGATATATTTCAAATTCTATATACTTCCTCATGCTTTACCTGCTCACCTTCTGGACATCAGTCGGCACTTGAGCATTCAATGTTTCGATTTGTTGTGAATAACGATTACATTGCGATCGTATATTGGCTAAATCAATATCATTGTTTGTTTGACTACTTCAAAAATAAAAATAAATAAATAGAAGAATAGATAAGATAATTTAAGAATCTTTCGCTTGAAAAGACACGTTTACATCAATCTATGACACATTGAATATTATTGAGACTGTTGTATTTTCATTTCTGTCGTCATTATGTTTTTCAAATTAATTCATTTAGAATTTTCAGTTTATTCAAAGCCTTAGGGCTACCTCTAATAGATAACGTCATCTTTGTTTTTCAACTACTTTAGCACTATTTCGCAGACAAACAATGTTCCATCAAGTTCCAAAAATGGATTATAGTAAAGCCGATTAATTCACACTTTATAAATATTCATGTTTCTAGATCTATGAATATATAAACATATTTAATTTATGATAAAATTTTTTTCCAGCCAAAACTTTTTCTTATGTATTAGTTATAACTTCATTATGCTCTGCTATTTGACAGATTTGACACTGTTGAAAGTGACAAAAAAAAACGTTGTCATTTATAGATCTCGGGAGAGAAAAGTCTAGGGAATGGACTATTAAAGAGATTATCTCTTTTTATTTCATTCCTTTTGTACTCCGATTCTGAGCATCTTAGTGTGATAAGAATATGGAAATATACTTTGTATTTAATGATTTTTTTTATCTCTCGAGAGAATTAAAATTTTATTTTTTTATGTCTCGATGACTTCTCTAGAGAGGTTGAACAGCAAAACTATTTTTCTTTCGCACACTTAAAATTCCTATGCATATCCAAACATAGAAAACGTCATGTGCTTGAATATCCACAAGTAGAAACATTGTGCCTTCAAAGCATACTTATTGCAATGCTGATATAATTTTCTGCCCGAAGGTCTGCAACTGTAGGTTGTTTCTTTAAGTATTGATCTGCCAATTTGGCAAGGACATATTTCATGATAGATAACAACACATATTATTGATGTATGTATGGTGTACGATTACACACAAATTACGCGAGAAAATTCCACGGCTGATCATCATTCCTCAGGAAAATATACTTCTCAAGCGTTTCAAACAATCGTACTAGGCAAAAAATGGTGTACAAGGTCGAAATATACTTCTATTTAAAGATAATAAGAAACCTATTTTGACAGTTATTCAATAAAAATAATTGGCGAGTATCAAATAATTCTACTCAGCTAATTGCAGAGAACATTTTATGTAAATCGATTTACTGGAATATATTATTCACTATGGTTTTAATGTTCCTTCCATACATCGCAGCGTTTGTCAGAATTCCAGCGGAAAAATTATTTACAAATGACGTCCCCCTCGGGATTTATCAGGACACTGCGATGTATGGTTCCTGCTTAAAATCCTATGAAAATACTTTATCTACTATTCGATATTGCACGTCGAATGAATACTGTTGATCTTATCAGACAACATTCTTTCGATTAAAAATAATTTACTTTGCAAATGATGTTTCAACAGATTCACAAAAACTTGCTACACTAGCTAGTTCCACTTCTGCTGTTTCTTGTTGTAAACGAAACATTCTAAATATCAAACAAACAAACAAAAAACTGAATTAAAATTTATGAATTTGTTTTTCTATACCTTAATTGTGATTGCATATAAACTTCAGCTTCAGTAAACAACGCTGTTTCACGATATTTTAATTCCTGAATTAATGCTGCAATAGCCGATGATATTTCTCGTTGAATTTGTTCATGATTAGTTTTAACACTATTCACTCTCTGTTCATATGACGCTATTTTATCGCTTAGTCTAGGGAGTGCACGACGAAGTTGACTAACAACCGATCGTATATTGAAAGATGCTTCACGTAAATGTCCTTCACGACAGTCCGAACAGATGTACTTTGAACAATCATGACATTTTGTAAGGGCTACGTTTGTACGATAATAAAAATAATTTCATCGATATGTTTTAGAATTTTTTTTACCCGCTTTTTGTTCTTTACATACAAAACAACTGCCAGGTTGACTAATATTTGATGGTTGAAGATCAAGAAATCCAATCATGGTTAAATTAGCAGGAAATGCTTGAACACCACCTAAACATAAATTTATCCGTTCAGAAAATGCCAATGGTAACGAAGGAAAAAAGTCTTTTAATTAAACCTGCTGGTATAACATGTTCACGACGACATTCGGGACAACGCAAGGAACGTGCTCGTGGATCAACAAGGTTTGTTAAACATGGTGTTAAACAAAACGTGTGCATGCATGGTAAAACTTTTGGGGAACGAAATTTATCCAAACAAATCGGACACGTCGTAAGACGTTCCATTTGATTCGAGTTATTTTCACTAGAATTAGCCATTATCAATTCGTCTTTTTTTTTGTCGTTTACTACTATGATTCAATCATTTAGCAACAATTACATGTGAATAATAATAAATGCCATCTTTTATTCTATGCTGTAGCATTGACAATGACCTTCAAAAATTTTAAAATAAGATGTCGCAACCTATCGACTTTTAAGTTCGTTTTTTTTTCTAGGTTAATGGTAACTATTTATGTTTCTGTATATTAATTCATGCCATTATCAGCATGCATCACAGAGAGTCACTCTTCCACACGATACGATAAATCTCGGTCACGCTTTCTTCTTCTAACTGTTCTTCGTGTATATCACTATAGCGTCTATGTGTTAGTCACGTGAGCAACTACTCACGTGAACTCTACTAATTCATTAACTAAAATGAGTTCTGTTGAAGTTAATAGTGCTGAAGATCTACACCCACATCCAAATAAATTGAACAATAGTGCCTTGAATGAACAGACATTTTGCTTATACAACAAAAAAAGATCTGTTCAATATTCAAATGAATATCAATCATCAAGTCATACACCAAAACGAAATTGGAAAGAAACATATGATTATGATATAGAAGTTCATGAACATCCAAATTCGGTCTCGTCGTGAAGTACCACGCCAAACATTTCCACCTTTTCGAATAACACTACATGATAACAATCGATATCCAACAACAAAATTAAGTGTAATCAAAGAAAAATAAATAAGCACAGTAAATTAAATTTAACTTGTGGACGATATACAAAAACGTCAGACAACCAAACGTGTTTTTACTCTATGCCAGCACTACAGCACAATTCGAACATCTTATATGCGAAGTAAATTGGCCCTCTATGATCTGCAGCAGTGAGTACGCACTTAATCTATCAAATCAAATATCTTCGTTCTATTCAATCGTTGTTCAAAATGCCCCCAGTCAATGGAATGCGCAAGCTTTTGGAGATGAATTAAAACAGCATTACCCATCAATTGTACACACTGTACGTTTATTTATAGCTGGTGGATGTCCACTATCAAAAAATCGTGTAGATTTTTCATCATACAAGAAATTATCAATGATATTAAAAAACAAAACGTATATTTCTAGATGATGGCAATACTGCATTTGCTGTTGAAGCATATTTACCATCAACACGAATATTACGATGTTACAAGGGTGTGGGTGCCTGTGTGAATAAAAAGATCCCCGACACCCACACCCACACCCACACCGACACCCACACCCACACCCACACCGCCACCACCCCCCACACCCCCACCCCCACCCGCNCATATCATTGCTATAACCCGAGAAACCGGTAACTTTATTAGCTGGCTGATCATAATCACGGTACCCTACCCACACCCACACCCACACCCACCCCCGCACCCCATCATTTAAGAATTGTTTCGAGCGAAGAAGAATAAATAAAAGAAAACCGACACCAAACTGTGCTTCTTTTCTATAAGACTTACGAGCTCTGCTTGAAGAAAAACAAGATGATGAAAGTATGTGCTTGAAAGATTTCGAAAACATGACACATTTGAATGAATAACCAGGTATGAAGCAATATATATGTAAGAATTGCTTCGTTGTTGCATTTCTCACCATGAGGCATCAAATGTCAATATTGATAATAATTCGAGAAGAGAACAAATCGCAATATAAAAACACGAAATGCTACCATTTCATAAGCGCTATTAAAACATGTCAAAGTTATTGAAACAATCGACATCAAGCAATGATGTTGCCTACCGGGTATTGTTTATTGTCGATGCCACGGGATCCATGGGCACATTCTTAAACTCTCTTATCATATCTCTGTATCAGATTGGGTCGATCATGAAACTTGCTACCGAGAAAAAGTCAGAGATTGGCGTTCTATGTATGTATACGAAACATGAATATTTCGTGATTTCCAACATGTTTACTATGTAGGGTACCGTGATTATGATCAGCCAGCTAATAAAGTTACCGGTTTCTCGGGTTATAGCAATGATATGAGGAAGATTTCGGAATTTCTTAGTACTTTAAAGCCAGACGGTGGTGGTGATGAGCCAGAAGCTACAAAAACAGCATTGAACAAGGCTCTGGATATGAATCTAGTTGATTCGAAAACAATTGTATTCATCTATACAGACGCACCGCCACATCATAGTACCACAGGCGGTTCTTCTCGAAAAAAAGAGGAACAAGTTATCAAGGAAAAAGACTGGATTCAGTTATGCAAACTCTACCAACAAACAGGCTGCAGAATATTTTCGTTTATCAATCAGTCAAGATTTGAAACAGCTTCATTCTATATTCTTCTTAGTGCATATACACAAAGCAAAGCATTTTTTTTACGACTCACCAATGTAGAAACCATTTCAAAATGTACTATTAATTTATTCTTAAGGTATATATCAATGATAACTTTGCTTTTTTAAAATACATTCTATATTCTAGCTTATGTAATGCTGAATACGAACCAACCGATTTAGTTCAATGCTTAGAATTTCTCAATACCGCGCATGACAGCACTCATCAGAACTCCAGCCGAAAATATAAATCAAAAGAACGTCCTCTCCGAGAATCATCATGGCGTTGTGATCCATGCAATATTGATCTGTCTGCTTTCCATAATGAAAATGATGCCTGTTGCCAAAATCACTCATATTTACCAGGTCAAAAATCTCCACGTGCAACAATCAACACAGTATCGTTTAATGTCGAGCCCATTGAGTTTATGATAGTCGATTTACGATTTATGATGACTAAATTCGACAATGATGATAAATACAAATCCGATGTTTATGAAATATTTAAATCATTAATGGTTCCGCAACACATTGTTGCATTAACATATAACAGTATATTGGGTTTATTATGGCGTTCGATTTGTAGCAAAAGAAAAGATGTACGTCGAGATGAGTTGGTGGGCATGTTATCACAAACATTAAATACAATGACTACGAATGCGAATGCACTTTCGAAAGCAACCGCTGAAATTGTCCGAAGCTGGGTAGAGGAAAGTTACAATTCGAAAGAAACTATCCTAGCTGCCATGTGCGAAGTTAAAGAACAAGTACCAGCTCTTGTATTAACATTGAACGGGAAAATGAGCAGAACTGAATTAATGGAAATTACACGATCTTGCAGTCCACAAACAATACGAAATGTCATGTCGTTATTGAATCATCTTACTGTCGTTACCTATTTTGGAAATCTTCCCGAAAATTACTTACCATTGAATATGAACGATTGCAATTTATTTCAATTCTTGCCACATCTTTTAGCAGAAGGCTTGACGTTTTCATTGCGGCCAGCAGCCATCATAGCCATGCTATGTATACTATCAAAAAATAGTATCCTTGAAAAACGAGCCGCTGATTTTTTAACAAGTATCAAAGGCAAATGGATTGATTTAGAACAAACGGAAAATTATAGTTACAGTCTAAGTAAAATTTGTGTTCAATTAAAAGAATTCTTTACAGAAGATGAACAATCATTTTTCAAGAAACTCTACATTATCGGCGGAATAAAAATAAATGCTGCTACACGTATAACGATCGAACAACCGTTCACACCTACAGCGAATACTATACGTCATGATACGAAAATTCTCTGTAGAACATGTAATATTCTTCGATCGACCACATTGTATCCCGACGTAAGCACGAGCTGTTGTGCATTGTGTTTGCCACAAAACGATATGCAAAATGTACCCGAACCATGTTCAGGGGAAATGTCGCATTTAGTACAGTGCGGAAAATGTAGTTGTCTCTATGCCATTGTTCAATATGATAAACTGTATGCATCACCGAAATGCTATTATTGTCGAGATTTAGGCAGAGAGACACCCTATCGTTGTTGTACGGGATGTCAAAATAAATACGTTCATTACGATTCAACTGCAACAAAGTCTGGTGAAGAATATACGTTTCTATGTGCTGAATGCCAACATTCGGAGAATAAACAAGCGATAAGTACTAGAGAAGTTTCAATGAGTACATTGATCAATGAAAATAAAGCAATTCTATTCAAATATTTGAATATTAACGTAAAGAAGGATGATATTGATATTTTCTCACGAGAATGGTCGCTATTCAAATTAAGAGATAAAGTCGAGCTATTAAGAACAAAGAATGTTAATTCAATTCGACAATCGACTTCTTCCGTGGTATTAACTTACAAAAATAAACTAATATTCCAGCTGGATACCGTCTTTCATCAAATTCGTTCATGGATACGAAGTGGTAAATCTGAAATGGTCACATGTTATATTTGTTGCGATGATGTTCCACGTGATAAAATGAATGATACATGTGGTAATAAATTATGTCATGCTGAAGCATGTACTGATTGTTTAACAAAATGGTATGAAGTCGTTCAACCAGGTAGCATTGTATTGATTGCACATTTATCATGTCCATTCTGTAAACACGCACCGAACGGAAAAATTCTTAAACGATACAACAAACAAGCTTGTACTATTGTAAGATCGGATAAGAAAAATGATTACGATGAACATTGGTATTATGGTTGGTGTTTGAATTGCTACAAGGTTAAAATGGCACAAGAAAAAGTTTGCCTGGCTGATGGTGAGATTCCTCAACTGCATGACTTTGTCTGTGATGAATGTGAGGCAAAGCGTAAACAAAAATCAACACCAACCGACGTTAAATATTGTCCAGGTATAAATCAGACAACGAAACAAACCTGTGGTATTGCTGTCAGTAAGAACGGAGGTTGTAATCATATAACGTGCACTGCATGTAATTCACATTGGTGCTGGCTATGCGTTAAAACATATGAACGTATCTATGAACATTTGACAGCAGCTCATGGTAATTTTGGTTTCGAAATTGGAGCCAATGCAGATTATGAAAATGATTATTGGGATTAAAAAAAGAAACAACTGCGAAATGAGACAAGTGGAAATCGAAATGGGTGCTAGACTATTCCTTTTCATTTTCATTATTGACTTTGAACTCATTCAACGCTTCGAGAGAGAGAGCAAGCATTTTGCAGTTAATTTAATTCATATTCTTGCATTCTTATCAATAAATTCATAATTTTACCACGTTTTATCACAAAACTAGAATCGTTTTTCAGCGGAACATATCATAGTATGAGATTTGTTGATGCTGCCAACTAAGAAATTTACATTCTGATTTATTTATGATACCTGAAAAATAAACTTGCCAGGGTCTGTTTACTTTTATTATCTGTACCACATATTTTGACTAGGAGGGTGTGTGGGTGTGGGTGTGGGTGTGGGTGTGGATAAAGACAAGACTAAATCTCATACCCATACCCTCTCTCAATCGTTGAAACTGAAATAGGTTCAAATTTTTTAATGAGTCAAAAATCTAACTTTTCAATACCAAGATCTGACTACACGTCTCAATTGTCCACTTCACATTATTGCATGGTTAAGAAATTATTTGTTAGGACGTTCAACCTTTATAAAAATTGATGATATTCAGTCAAATCATTGTCCACTATTTAAAGGTGTCCCTCAAGGTTCTTGTGTGAGCCCAATACTATTCATTGTTTTTCATTATGACCCAAGCCAATGATTCCGAAGGACGGATACCGTAGGAACCGGTCGGAAAGATGCGGAAAAATCACCGTATCTGGTCGGAAAGCGCTGGAAGGTGGACGCAGTACTCCGGTTGGAAGTTACCGGATTTCTTTCCTGTGGATTGTGGTCAGTTTCCTGTGCTTTCCAGCTGAAAGTTGATCGGAATCCATAGGAAAACAATTCGATAATTTCCGACCCGAATACTACTTCCACTTTCCAGCGCTTTCCCGTGCTTTTCGGCAATTTCCCGCCGTACCTCCACGACCTGGGAATATATTGAATGCAGTATCAAATCTTCACTTTAAACATCTCTTTGTCAACGATCTAGCTAGTGTTCTCTCACCATCAGCAACCTGGTCATCAAAATTACTTATTCCATATCTCTCACAACAAATCTCCAACGTAACAAACGATCTGCATTCTTACTCAATAACTTGGAAACAACCATTAAATTTTAAAAAGACGTACTGGATTCTTTTTCACCGACAGATCTCACCAACTATTCCTATTTTCCCAGGTCGATCAACTTGTGTCGTACACGGCCGTTTGGTATGCACCGTATTACGGTCGTTTTGTATCGTGCCATAAACGATCGTATACGGTCGGACACGGAAATATCCGACTACATTACGGGCGTTAGTAACCGTTTACGACACGATTAATTACGGCCGTAATACGGTGCATACCAAAACGTCAAGTTACGTCCATTTACGATGAGAAACGGCAGGAAACGGCAGTATACGTTAACATTTACGACCGTTTCTGGTAGCCGTAATGCTCGACCTGGGTTATATTGTGAAAACAACATTATCGACCAAATCTCCAAATTTAAGTATCTCGATATTATACTAGATGCTAGATTATCCTTCAATTATCATCTCGATTACATCAAATCGAAAATAAACAAAAATCTTATAGTGTTCAAACATTTATCTAGCAGTCGTATGTTATCCGAAGAAATTCCATATCGACTATATTATGCATATATTAGCTCATACTACCAATCGGTTCTGAATATTTATCCAATAATATCTCATACAAAACAACAACAAATGGAAGCGTTAAATCGAAAAATCTTTCGTATCATTCATAAATGGCATGTTGCCACGAACGATGAAATAACAAACCTTCCAGCCTACAAAACGACTGAGGTACTCACCCAAGTGCACTTTACAAAACTTTTATCTACGATTCTACGTACTAATCCTTCAGTCATCGCAGATGTTATACAACAAAAACTTTATCGGCTGTTCTTAAGAGAATATTTCTTGAATCCAGTTTTGAAAAAAGAAAAGCAAGCAATTGCAATAAGAGGAAGAACATCGAATCGTATTCGACCACTACTATCGACTTGTAAACAGTCTCTTTTTGATCAAGTTTTTTGTTTTACGTAACACTAAAGAAGAATAGGATCAATACGCCAATTAAAGATTCACTGTTAGAACTAGTCCTGGAATTGATTTATATTATGTCAAATACTTTTCTTTGCATACAACTATAGATATTTTTCTTACTAGTGCAGATCCGAAAAGAAGAAAAATTAGATTTAAATAAAAACTATCAGATCGTTCAATTTCTGTAATTGTTCTCGTTATAATCACATTCTTCTTCACAAAATCTTTTCTTTTTCTTTCATGTTGTGATAATGTTATCGTACGTGTTTTTTTACTTCTCAAGACTATAGAGACGATTCTCATCTAAGTCTTCCTTTCTGTGTTCTATCATACTATATAATATCTATTACTCCTTTTATTATAATAAATAAAGTAATATACTACTACTACTACTACTACTACTACTACTACACCACAGAGAGCACGGTTATTATGATGTCGTTGATCCATTTGAAATTACCGTCTTCGTCTTATTCCACTGTTTTCTTTTGCTTTGTTAATTAGACTTGAAAAATTCATATTCGATAGAAAACATAGAATATTCTTAAAATAGTTTATGATGATTTAAATTCTACCTGGATATCCTAATGAATATTGTGATCAATTATTTCAATCAGTCATGCGTCTCAATTTAATTTGATAAGCTACATGTATATTTTGTTTTATTCCTGGATGACTAGGATTATCAACACACGGTTTCTATTCTCGTCGCATGCCTCTAATCAGTGTTGTCATCGTGTGCAGCAAATTGAGTTTGATAGTTGGCCGTTAGCTGCCTAATCATGCATATACATATAGTTGCTTGCTATTTTCCTACGACTACGTAGTAGTAGTAAGAGGAGGAGAGACAAAAGGAAGAACGACGACAACGTTGAGGAAAGCATTTTCGATTACTGCAGTTATTAAATCATGATACATTTGTCAAGTAGTCTTGAACGGAAAGTGCGGGCGTTCGGGGTGAGCATGCAATTGTATCAAAAATAGTATTTTGATTGATGTAAAACATTTTTTTTGTGGGTGTGACTTTGTCAAGGAAATATTTCTAAATGAATTGTTAGTTTATTATTATTATGATTATTATTGTTCCTATTTTTATTTCATTTCCCGTGCGCTTATTCTTGTTATGAAAAAGTTGCTTACACCGGTACTAATTAAATAAATATTGTTTATAGAATATATCGACACGGTATTGATTATTTTTCTATGGCGTTCAGCTGCCGCCAGATTTCTATGATCACAGTGTATTAATTTCAGAATATAATTCATTGCATGCCAGCAAGTACTTTTTTATTTGATTTATATATGCATGCAAGGCACTCCCTTTGACGCCCTACTCAAATATATAGTTTTTTTTCTTTCCCTATTGACAATGCGATACACGTAAAACAATGAGTTATAAAAGGTTTTCGTGTCCTAACACGATTGACCAACATGTTGCACATCATTGTCAATCATTGTAGCTTTTTTCTTCTCCTCCTAGGCTTTTGCAAATTTCTTTTTATCGAAATAATTTAATTTCTAATTGACTTACTAAAGAGAATTTTCATAACAGAGAAGAGAGAGCGGGCAAGTTACAACGATAGACACAGAAGGACATAAAATGCTCAAGGCATGAAGATGAAAGAAGAACAAGAAAAACGAGTTAGACTATTTTATTTATTATTTCTGTTCGTTGCTTGATAGCTCGAGGCAAAGAGGAATGCACACGAGTGCATGAATGAATGAATGAATAAATGACTGAATGACTGAGTGAATGGTGGTGATGATGGCAGCAGAAACGCAAAGATCTAGCATAGTATAATAGAGAATAAGAAGAAGAAGCCGAACAAGAAGATGATGATGAAGACGAAAAACATCAGGAGAAAAAAAGAAGAAGAAGAAAGAACACATACACACGTAGGAAGGAAATAACGACCGATTTTTGTCCTGTGTTCGCTGGTTTTTGTTTTTGGAGAACATAAGACAAGAGAATACAGAAATCTATAGTGCACACTTCGATGACTACTAATACTACAACTACAACATGCTGCTGTTTTGATTAGCAGGTGACGTTTGCATGGAAGCAAATAAACCAACATTCATTGATTCATATCGTGTATTGTTCAGTCGTGATTTCTAGTCATTTATAATTAAGCTTATTTAGAATCGATTGTTGTTATAAATGTAAGCAACCCGTTGAATTTATCGTTCTAGTGTTACTTGTTTCCCTATTACTTCAAGAAAGAAAAAAATTTATCAATCTGTTTATCGAATATCTTTAGAGATTTACGCTTGGCATTATCTATGTCACTAACATCATTTTTTTTATCCGTCTGAGATATGTGCTAGAAACATCTGCCTAATAGGTTTGATGTGCGTGTGTACGTTGTTGTGCCTATGACGATGGCAAGCATTTATAATTCCTTACTGAAAACTTGTGCTTTGTATGCGCGGAATATCTTTCGACGTAATGACAAGACTCACTCATTATTTACGTACAAGTAATCGATTAAAAGAAGACATACAGAGAGAGAGAGAGAGAGAGAGAGAGAGAGAGAGAAAGAAAAGAAAAGAAAAGAAAAGAAATTCTTGTGGTGATGATAAAATAGAGATTTTCTAAGGATGGTTTCATCTTGAAATGTACGATTAAGAATGATCAACGAGTATGATGACATATCAATTTAGACAGATAAACAAATGCATGCATATATATGTATTCCGATAAATGATTGAGAGTAGGATAAGACGATATATACACTATGAGATCATAAATAGATGAGATAAGACAAACTTATTTTGTTTTCTATTTCCCGTATTTTATTTTTTATAGAATAATAAAAGTATAATGGTATTTTTTCTTTCGTTTATGAACACACATACAATAGGATCCTATTTATTGCCAATTTTGTTTCGACAGAGAAAATAAAAAGGTTAGTTCATACATATGTAGCATAGGTCTCAAGCAATTGTAAATGACGTCAAGTAGGAAGACCTAGCGGAAATGAGTAGAAGGGTGAAAACTCAGTGCAATCATCACTACAACTGTAGAAGACGAAGAAGAAGACGAAGAAAAAAAAAGAAAATTTAATTGTGTCAACTTGTCAAATCTTATTCTTCTATATATAAATGTATCTCTGACTTATTATTTGGATTAATAAAGATATTCACCGCACATATGTTGCTCTTTCTCAAGTTGCCAAAATTAGAAATATGAGTCCAATCATACAAGTATAAGAGTAGCTGACAACTTTTCTACGTTATATGTGCTAGATGTATCAATGATGACAGCAACTAAAGGTTGAATATACATATCTATATATCTACGAGAGCAGAAAATGGAAAAACAAAATTTGCCTATCGGCATAGAATCCGTCATCATATGAATGTCAAAACTACTTTTTTTTGACCTTCATGTCGATATATATATATATATATATATATATATATATATGAATGTAAAATATAGATATTTGCCGAGAGAACCGCTATATTAAATCAGGTGCCATCATTTGAATAATCAAGAAAAGAGAGCGAGAGAAAGAGACAGAGAGAGAGAGAGAGAGAGAGAGAAGAAGAAAAAAAGAGAGAAAAAGAATTCTTCATTTGCATTCTTTCTATTCCTTGGAGTAATTACATTTACTTATAATAGTTGTATAAAAAGATCTGTAAATATAAACATTTTTCGCTTGAAAAATATTCTAGATAAATCCCTTGGATGAACGCCGACAAGAACGGTTATAATTTACTGAGACAACCGTAAAAAGAATGTGTCACTATTGTCGCTATTTAGAAAATGAAGAAAAAAAAAAAATTACTGAACGTAATCATGTTCAATATGATCAATATATTGCACAAGGTGTAAAACGTCGTCATAGTCGATCCTGTGATTTAACTACCGTATTACGTCTTAGTGCTATGACAATTTTTTTTGTTATGCTCAATGTTACAATTGTTCTCTCACAATCATCACAAGTTCAACAGCAAAAAGATCAATCATCTTCGAAAATTCTTGTAGCCAATTCACGAGGTAAGTTAGGAAAACAAAAAAAATCAGAATTATTATTTTTCACCCTACACAAAATTGATATTGACAAAAAAAGCATTCTAAACATCTCATTAAACGTATAGCGCGTATCATTAAAATTTCTGTTTTGTATTCATAACGTTATTTATGCTTTTGAGAAATATAGAAGTGACATTTCTTTTCAATCTATGAAACGATGAATAGCAGGATTAAATATCGTTTATGAGACAGCAACGCTTTTTCCCTTCAACTTAGTAAAAGTGTGCAATTTCCGGGCATTGCTATTTCTTTTTTTGAATCTTTCTGCAAGTTCATATATATATATGTGATAGATGGAATGCTTAAAAAGCATTTTAACGGACTGATTTACCATTAAATGTTACAAGAAAAGAGAAGAACAAAGAAAAGCTTTTAACGTAGCCGAACTGATAATTTAAATGTATTTTATTGCCAGCAGTGTCTACTAGAGTCTACTAAAATAGATTTAAGTATAAATTTCATTCTATGTAATAAATCAATGCATATAAGCTTAGGATTATATTGAGATGTATATATATATATATATATATATATATAAGAAAAAGTATTAAGAGCAGATTTTCATGTTTGTCAACGTCAATGATATGTAAATCTGATTTAAATAGTTAAAACCTGAACACTAGTAAGATTATGTTTGCAAATGCAAAGCCTCTTGGAAGAGATCACGACATAGATATTGATGAACTATGTTTATGTAATTTTTATTCATCGAGTTCACTTTAGTCTAAGAACATAGATATTTTATGGGATGACTTTTTTCAGTGTAAAACAAATTCGTCTACGCAGTTCTTTTGATAATATAGATTTTCTTTCGAATTATGGCCATGATCAAGATCGCCAAACGACAAGAAATCGTCAGAATTCTCTATCAAGGCCTCCTCAATCATCATCATCATCATCAATAAATTCAACATTGCCATCGCATCCAGTAAAAACAAAACGATTAACACATGAAAAGCGTCTTATTCGGGATTTACTTAATAATTATCCAACTATATATGCTCGTCCAATACGAAATATTTCGGAACCATTGATGATACAATTTGGTTTAACATTAACACAATTATTTGATCTTGGTTCAACAGGTCAGAAAATGCAAACAAACACATGGAAAACATTCATTTGGCAAGATATGAATTTAGCTTGGAATATCAGTGATTATGGTGGATTACAAACTGTGTGTTTACCTGCTGATTCTATTTGGACACCGGTAAAATAGTTAAATTAATATGAATGACTTAATTCTTTTTTTTTTGGTTCTCTAGGATATTGTTCTATATAATTATGCCGATGAACGTCTAAAAGATTGGCGTGACATATCCGCCGTTATACAACATACAGGTGATATTCTATACGTACCAACAACTATGCAATTTAGTATTTGTTTTCTTGATATAACAAAATTTCCCTATGATATTCATCAATGCTCATTAGTATATCGTTCATGGACATATGATCATACAAAACTTATCCTCACTTTTAAAGAAAACATATCAGCTATGGATATGACGTCATATATTAATTCAAACGAATGGAAAGTTGTTGCACTTCCAGCAGAAAATACTATTACGAAAGATGGATTTTCATTATTAACGTATACAATGATTATTCAACGAAAAGGAGGTCTTTATGGATATATTTTAATATTGCCATGTTTACTTTTATCAGCGGCGACAATGGTCGTATTTTGGATACCACCTGAATCACCAGCAAAGATGATTTTAACTGTATCAATATTTTCTGGTCTCTTTCTTTTATTACTTCTGCTCGCTGAATCTGTTCCGGGTAAGAAAACAATTGATTAGAGTTAATTTAATAGATCATGTTATTTATAACATGAATGTCAATGTTACATAATAGATCATTGACAATAATGAGCATGAATCATTATTTTTAAGATGCAGGCAATTCGAAATTTGAGCAAGAATCTATTTCAGCGATATTTTAGCATGATTGGATAGAGAGCTCGTCGACTTACCCCTAGGTGTGCACTTAAAAAGTTTTCCAGGCAGAATTTTCTGTCAAAAATAATATGAAAAGTTTTCTTATCAAAATAAGGAGTTTTCCGGCTATCGATGATGCAGTGGTATGTAATCGGATTTAAAGCAGTTGTTGACTTTCAATGGTTCTTTTTATTTCATTACAACCAGCATACGTATACGAGACAACGCATGCATGGGTTTTGGCTCACGTTCTTTCTTCGCTGAGAAATAGAAGTTTTTCTCGTATATGAGTTATTCCATATGAACCATGACCGCCTATTGTAGAATTAGCTAAATAAAATATTATAAGATGCTGCCCGAGTTATATTATTCTTGTAGAGAGAAGCAGTCTGAACAAGTTTGATGCAAATCTTTCCAAAAATATCCCTCCGTTCTTTAGATATTGAACCTTTTCCCAGCGTAGTATAGTTCAAAAATCGATAGTATTTTCGGCTTTTCTATATTTGAGTATCGGTTCAAAGAAGAATATTACAGAACTCTTAATATTCACAGGAAGACACTTCACGAGCTAGCCGTCATGATGCAGTTTTCAGTTCACTAGACAGATTCTATCGTTACATAGAGCCTCTATAAAATCAAACTTTTGACAAAAACTACGGTTCTCAGAGGGCTTAGTCTCCTAAGAAACGAAGCATACAGCAGTCATACCAATATAGATCATTAGTACAGACGTAGTACTGCATATTGACATAAAGATTCACTTGGGTAATAGTAGGGTATTTCCAACAAGGTAGCTGCTATATTACTGAAAATGCCTGTCTCACAATGAGTAACGTATAGAGCTGCTGAAAAATTTACGACAAGCTGCTTTCGACGAAGCAATTTCAATGAATTATTGATAGCCATAACGTTCTGTGTCTCGCTGCATGCTAACATCATCCGAAAATGGAAAAAAAAAATTTTTAAAATTCCTCGTACTCCCCTCCAGGGCTTATCACCAAAGCATGAATCAAACTTCCATGCCACCGCCACCCCAGTCAGTTTTCTTAATTCTTTCTATGATTTTTCATTTGTGTTTCAATGTAAGGTGTTAACGGTTTTGGAGCCCATTTATCATTTCTAAAGCTTGTCTCATTTCAGGGAGTTGTACCTAATTTTTATGAACAAAATATAGTTCACATAGAGAACAGGTTAATATCTAAAGAACGGAGGGATATTTTTGGAAAGATTTGCATCAAACTTGTTCAGACTGCTTCTCTCTACAAGAATAATATAACTCGGGCAGCATCTTATAATATTTTATTTAGCTAATTCTACAATAGGCGGTCATGGTTCATATGGAATAACTCATATACGAGAAAAACTTCTATTTCTCAGCGAAGAAAGAACGTGAGCCAAAACCCATGCATGCGTTGTCTCGTATACGTATGCTGGTTGTAATGAAATAAAAAGAACCATTGAAAGTCAACAACTGCTTTAAATCCGATTACATACCACTGCATCATCGATAGCCGGAAAACTCCTTATTTTGATATGAAAACTTTTCATATTATTTTTGACAGAAAATTCTGCCTGGAAAACTTTTTAAGTGCACACCTAGAGGTAAGCCGACGAGCTCTCTATTCAATCATGCTAAAATATCGCTGAAATAGATTCTTGCTCAAATTTCGAATTGCCTGCACGTTAATTGCATTCAAATCACTATGAATGTTAAACTTCGAAGGTAAATACTGTCAGGAGAGAATTTTCATGAAAAAAATAAATAAACGTCCTATTGATTATTATGTAGTTTGAAATAATTAATTGATATGTAAATCTCTTTATTTTGAAGAATGATATAGCATCATGGACAAATAAATAATAGGGGAATCGAGTGATCTTATCTTAGATTAATCGATTTCTATCATGAGAAGAACTGGATAATCATAAAATTTCGAACACTATCATATTTTTATATCAAGTTTCTAAGAGAGAAACACGTCAAATATTGCAAGCATAGTCGAAGAGATAAGCACGCAGTGCTTTCCTTTCCTTATTTTTATATATATATCTTTCTTAGATGTCTTCCATTAAGCATTTCCCTTAGGATTGAATACTATGTCTTAATTGTTCCTTTATGGACTTATAATTCACTTCTATATACAACTTATTAGATTAAATTTCGTTTTTATATGCATCTTACGAAGGAAATCTCCTGACTGATTAAGCGTCTATGAATCGGAAGAAAATGTGCATGATGTCGATTCTAATGAACTACGATTGTCCGGAAAAGCTTCTAAACGGTTAACTTATTGATTCAGTCAATATAATTTTTAATGTCAGTTTTTTAATTGGATGCTGTGCTACCCGTTAGAAATATCGGAAAAAACTAATTTATGAATTTTGACTTGAAACTTTGCATCGTGATAGGCCTTGAAAAAATGCGTGTTTTGTGATTTACTCGTCTACTGAAGTAGAAAACATGCCATCAGCTAGTTTTGAGAAGGCAAACTTGTATGATAGAAAAATGTTAATATAGAAGTAATGAAAACATTTGAAAATTTCCATTACAACCGTTTCTCGGTACAAAATCCTGTCGCGGAAATTTTAAAATAAAAAATCATTTTTTCCCTTCATAATTACATCTGAGACGCAAAAACGACAGCGAATTCCATTATTTTATTCTAAAAATATTCTATTTGGACTAGAATTTGTTATGATTTTAAATTATTTTTTTTAAATACCAACTACCTATTACGTCAAGAACTTTCGGAATAAAGTTCTGCTCAATGGTTTTATTTACACTTAAAAATAAGCATGAGATAAGTATTGTTATTAGTAGTTATCAATCATATCAAGACAATAGTATATATCCTAAAAGTATATAGCCTCTATTCAATAGATACATACATATATTCATTGTTACAAACGACTATCATTAGAGAACTCAGTAAAAGATATTTGTCATGTCATAAGATCTTCCCTTAGATAATCACTATCGTATAGCTGTAATGAATTGTTTTACAAGACCAACAATTTCTATTGATATATTGATTTCAGGTGGTGGTGGTACCCCTAATATCGGTTATTATTATTGTGTCAATATGGTTGTCGTTTCTGTAACAGCCGTCCTTGCTACTACTGTTATACATATTTATGTTCGTGGTGATTGTCGACAAGGAGTTCCCTTGGTCATACGTCGTATTTTTCTTCAAGAACTTGCTCGATTATATTGCATGGCTCCAAAAAAGTCAGCGCCACCTTCTGATACTACTTCATCTCGATACGGTCCACCATCTCCCGGTGCTATTTTATTACCTGAACATATATTTCTCACACATCATTTTCATGAAGAAGAATTTTCGAAAAAGCTAAAATTACTTAAACAACGTTTTAATGAATACCATCGACAACAACAGCAACATGGTGGTATTGAAGAAAATTCCATAACGAATGAAACAATGACAGCACTTAGCTTAAATTTACGTTCAATTGAAAATGATCTTAAAGAAGTTCGAGATTACTTGAGACATATGAAGAAGAAAGTTGAAAATAGCGAACAATCAAATAAAGATGCCGATGATTGGAAACAAGTTGCACTCGTACTGGATCGAACATTTTTCTTTGCTTATTTTTTATGGTTTATGATTTCAGTCTTTGTTATATTCCCAAAAACAATTAATATTTCAAAACGGAACTGGTCTATACCAATGTTAGCATCGTTAAACAATATTAGCCTGGCTTCACACAATCTTACTTTTTATTAACTATTATTTTCTTTCCTATCTTTAAATATAATACATCGGTGCTTTGTTCAAAAGACATTATCCTACTGTCTTCGTTTCCTTTTTGTATGAATAATTAACAGTTTCGCATTGTATATGTAAAGCTTTTTTTCAATGAGATTCCACTACTTAGAAATATAGGGAAAGGGGAGGGGCACCATTTTTATAAATTAATAGTAACAGTGAGTATTTTTTTCCTTTTTCAAACAATCCATATAATATCTTTTTTCTGCAGAAAAAAAGATCTGTGAATAGAACTAAACGTATATCTATTACGCATATATGTAATACAATACTTACATCATGAGAATCGGCCGGAGCACTTGTACTACTTAACATTTCTCGCAACTATTGTTTGTATACAAAAATCAAGCAGAAGTTAGATTTCAAAAATGCAAAGTTCTAGTCCAAACGATTTGACTTCAGTCGTACATCTTTTGATGAGATCTTATATGTTGATTACAAATATATGAATTCATTTTCTTGTAAGAGACTAAATTTGAATTTCTTTTAACTATTTTTCTCTTATTTCCCATATGAAACAAACTGTGCCAAGGATATCCAACTGAAATATACGTTATCGAGCAGTGAACATCGTCAATTAAGATGTCACTTGGTTGAAACTCTTGTATAACAAGTTTGCATGATGTTTATGTTATGAAAAATCGACATTCTGCAAAAGTGCATACTGATTACAACTATTTTTTTACTATAAAATTGTCATTAAAGAGCGCAATAAATCTATTTCTCAGTGTGAGAGAAAAGATCATGTACACCAGTTGTCTACGAAGAAAGACATGAAAGGTCGGTGTTTCTCTAAGAAAAAAGGAAATTCGTGTAATTGTCGGTGATATATAAATATGTTGCTGCTGTTCCGATTGGTGGTATTCATTTAAAATTAGTTAAATCAGTTCAGATTTAATGATGACTTTTTCTACATGAACATATTATCAATCGAAGAAGTTTTCAACGATCATTGAACTTATTTCAATTTTACATTTAATTACGAATGAGAAGCGATTCTCAACTATGCAATCCTTTTTCACTTGCGACTATTGTTATTCTATAGTTCATCGTGATTAGCTACAAAGACCTCGTTGCTTTCTAGATAAGCAAATCTGTACGAAATGAAACTGCGAAAGATATTTTTAGTCACTATTAAACCTATCTATTATCAACGTTAGATCATTCACGCCCTCAACGATCCGATGCTGGCAAATTAACAGGCAAAAGCTAGACAAACAAATTAAAAGAAAAATAATGTAAGCTTATTATTTGGAAAAAAATAATTGACAACATACCCAAAAGATACAGTTTTAAGAATTTATAATAGTCATATTAATGTAATCTGTTCGTTCGTTCAATTCTTGCAATGAATCATATACTTCTTCTGAATACTGATCGGTAGTATCATGAATTTGAAGTCTTTGTTGGATTTCATCAATCATCATATCCCAACTCATAAAATGATCGTTCAATATGCCATAAATATTTACATCTGGGGTTATACTTAATATGAACAGCAGAAAGTTGACGAAGTCATTCATTTGAAAATTTCAAGGAGCAGAAATTAGTATCTAAATTAAATAATACTATTGATATTTTTTGTTCTGTCAGTATAATACGAAATCAGAAATATATTCCTAGTTAATATGAATGATGACTGTATACTAGATTATTATTTTTTCTTTCAATTGTACCATTGATTCGCGCAATGTTTCGCCTGCTATCGGAAAGAAATCTGCTGTCATCATAGAATATAGATACAATTGAATGGAAGCAAAATTCAGCAATGACGCGTGTGTAGGGGTGTCACATTTAAATTTAAAAAAATTTATTAAATCGAGAAATAAATTTTCAAAAATTTAAATTTAAAATAAATTTAAATTCAAGAAATTTAAATTTAATTAAATTTAAAATTTTATATCATTTAAATTTAACTAAATTTAAATTAAATTGTTTGAAATTCAAATTAGTTAAATTTTGCAACTAGTAGAAAAACATAGTTTTTGACTTGATTCCTACTATTTAAAGTTAAATTTGAGTATGTTTCCTGCTTTCTAAAGTTAAAACTAGTCATTCTTCTATGAATTGTGCTATTAAATACATTTTTATGAGCATCCTAGTATTTTGAAGAACAAAGATGACGGATCCTGCATAATCTGTAGAGAAATTTTGACTATTATGAACAAATATTAACCTAAAATACTAGGTTTTTTCCTCTCATTTTGTATTTACTACTATTATAGTCACGTATTTTACTCGTAGCAATGATGTGTATCCATCCAAACAATTTATTAAATTTAAAATTTAAATTTAAAAAAATTTATTAAATCGAGAAATAAATTTTCAAAAAGTTACTTTAAATTAAATTTAACTTCTAAAAATTTAAATTTAAATTTTTGCATCAGAAGAATTTAAATTTATTTTAAATTTAACTTGATAGAATTTTATTTAAAATTAAATTAACTTTTCACGAAGTAAAATCTAAATTAAATAAAATGTAAATTGGCACCCCTACGCGTGTGCCATATTGATGGAAATGTAAGACATATTATATTGATACATATTTGCTTAAGAATTTCCAGATTTTTTACATTTTGTATTTGTTTCATATTCAGCGATATATTTATTCAAACACATTCCTTTATCTTTTTTCCCCTATCGTATATATGAAATAATTCATGATTTAAGCAGTTAGAAGAACTGAATAAATTAAACTGGGAAACATCAAAGCATATGGTTAATAGCTTTAATTCATTTGAACGAAGCTGAATCATCAAGACTAACTCCATTCGTTTTTATAGACGTAAAACTTTCAAACATTATAAATGTGTATAGAAATGAAAATAAATATACGCTGAATAAATTCTAACTCTCATTAGGAACTTACATTCTCTGCCTTGATGCGTTTTGTTTTTAATTTGATATTGTAATATTACACAATAATCCACAGCCTTTTCATTGGATATCAATTGTTGCGCCTTTCATTTTGGCATTTATATAAATACTAAATTTTTAATGCCCATTTTGCACCTTAACAATCATTTTTCATGACACTATAATGATTGTATCTCGAAGGAAACCATGAAAACCAAAGCTTATTAAGTGACTCAGCCATATGACTCATATTCAGAGTTCGAGGAAATCAAGGTAACATGGCTAGTAATGACGTAATATGATTTCATTTTGAATGGTATATAAGGAGCATTACAACTATAGCTTTTATCAGTAGCATAGTCAGGATTTTTGGGGTGGGTGTGGGTGTGGGTGTAGCTCTGGGATGTAGGTGTAGCTGTAATTCTTAGCGTCACACTGTAACGATAAACGGATGGCCCTTACTAGTTAATGTATTAAGACAGGCTGGATAGATGTGGAGTAGCTTACCGCCACTCTCGGTAACGATATTTATTCGTTTATTCACATATCCAGAGTGTCGCAACTTCATACATAACACACGTATATATAGGAGAGAGATATATTATAACAATGGAAAGAGAACAGAAGGAGAAGGAAGGAGAATCATCGAAGCGTGCCACCAATATCGACACCCACCCACACCCGCAACTGCCCAATTGCTAACCTGTTGACTACACCACTGGATTTTATAATTAATTCTAAACTGTTGAGCTTTTTACAATACAGAACCATTCTTTTGATTCAATGACAAATAAATTCCGCTTGTTATTACTAGTATTCCATATTATCAAGACACTCATCCTACAGTGAACGACACCCAAATCTTGTGTGTTCTCTAATGCGTATATGAAACGTTGAGTCACTAGATTGTAACCTTTCAAATGTGAAAAAAAGCATCGGCAAATTAATAAAACGAGTGTTATTCATCAACCGGGCAATTTTTCTAAGTAATTTCGATGGTTCAATAAAGTAAAGAATGAATTTACCAGTGAAATATCTCTGGTTTTCATTAAGTCTTCAATGGATACTAAAACATTTTGTTGCTCTTTTAATAATTTGAATGAATTTATTATAAATGCAAGATTGCTTTTTATTTCTTTATTATTATGCGTATATACTCCAAAGATTTTCTTCGCAGCTGAGAATCTACCACTACCACGATGACATTCAAATGAATGTTTTGATTTTCAAGATTGTGACTAGTTTAAACTTGAGCTGCTGCTAATCGATCAGATTTCGTAAGTCTGACGATATAACATACACGACAACCGAGATATTGGGTGCGCTTAAATGAATTTTTGCAATCTCTTGCTAAAAAGCTGTTGCATCGTCATGGATATCTCTGATACACTGCAACAAAAATCATTGAAAAACCTTTTCGTAAGCCATAAATTTTTCATTAGATGATCTCTTTTTCGATACGCAGAATTTGTTTTCGATATTTGTAATTTTGAAAACGGCAGCATTGTTTTATAGCAACATGAAAAATGGATGGCCGCAATGATAAGTCATATATATTGTTCTGATAGTAGATATGATCTATTACGGTTGAATAAGGTAGGGAGTTACGCCTGCTCCTACTGTTGATGATCAAGTACGACTGTATATTGTTCCAAATTCGACTGTAATAGAGGCTCGTATATTATATTGTAATCGTCAATCTGAGTTTGTATGTGTTAAAGTTAATGACTCGATCGACTGAGTACTTGGATATGGGTGTGAACGAAGAGCAAAGTCATATCAACAATTCAAGATTGGAAATATTGAGTTTAATTTATGAGACTGTTTTTTTTTAAATTGGCAAATATCGTGATCATTTCCAAATTATAGGTAGAGAGTCATTCGTAATTCCTGCTGAAGACGATAAAACAATGTAGATATACGCAATATAAATATTCTTTGATTGACACAGGTAATTCTAGTTCACTATTCCCTGAAAACTCTCTAGTGAGTCGCCTGGAGAGGGGGATGGATTAAGAAAAAAAGACTTCAGTCATGATCATTTCGATTAAAATCATAAAGTAGTACTTGATTTATTCAATGAAATATAACTTTTTATTTTCAATAAACTGCGTATAACCAATCAACTTTATTTACGTACCCATAGCAATGCACGATTTAAGACATTTTTCAGTCCATCACATTCATATTTTAAATCTTAGGTTTTTAGCCAAATCTTTGTTTGCCAATGTTTCTTTACTAGATAACATGGTTTTTACTCAAATGTCAAGTGATGATCAGAGCCGACTTCATTTATTATCACGTGTTAACATTAGACATAAAGCTTGTTAAGAATATTTAACAGATAAAACGTTTTTCAACGTTTATGTCACTGCAATTCTTGTTCATTTATCGAACGAATAAAACTAAATACTGAAATAATAAGATTGAAATTGATCTAACAACAGAAATATCTAATGATAGCCAATCGAATTTATATGGATTGATATTATTTGTAGCCAAAAAGAACCTGATTTGTTTAACATTCGATCAATGGTTTAGTTTATTGATTGATCTTTATCATTTTCAATATATTATTTTCCTTCAACAAGTTGTGTATCTTCGATCTAAACTAAATTAAGCATTACTCTTAATACTTTTGACGATTGTCTTTATCTTCCGAATGTATATTTTAATTGTTCCTTGGCATCATTCATTATCTTAGAGAGCGGTCACGCTTTTGCTAGTCCGCATACATACTCTTATTTTTTTGTATCTCGCGAAGGAGTAACTTTATGTCCTCAATGAATTTTCGATTAGCCTCAATGCATAGATCGAACAATTATGTTCGTAAAGCTCAAATTAATACAAAGGAACTATATGTGAATGTTTAACACTAGACGAATGGACAATATCAGTAACAGTACTGTTAATCAGTAATGTATGAAAATGAAAATGGCATGGAGCAGACAGTACGCCTTCTGGGTAAATTTAAAACTAATTTATCCAAGCACTAAGAAATAAGACGTAATCGTGCAGAAACACCGTCTATCCAAAATAATTACATCATCATCAACAGCTGAAGAAATAAACAGTGATAAGACATTAAACATGAAAAAATCATCTAAGCATTTGTCATATCTCGCTGAATCCACACGCACATCCTTTCTCTCTAAAAATATAAATTTCAATAACCTATTAGCGTAAGTATTGCACCAGTTAAGATAATGGAACATTTTTATACGAATGATCAAAAATTAGCATTTGATGTTTTTGAATGAGGGGTATCCAAATCTATCTCTGTTAATATGCTTCTATAACTGATATAATATAATGTTGAAGAGTGGAGTACACGAACAATTGAAGTCATCGGATCAATATACAAAATATAAGATCTATTATATATATCGGGTGCGCCAGAAATAATGGCACACTTTGTATTTTCTGTTTTTCTTTTATTCTTTACATCACATAAAATCAACTTTTCCCCAAAAAGAATCTCCATGAAATTCTCTACGAAACAGCTCATTTCGTTTATCAAACTGTTTTAGATAAAAAAAAGTTATTCAATGAAATCTAAAGATCTGCGAAACGTCGTACTTCTTAAATATGAAAATGGAGATCGTCCATCGAAAATCTTTCACGATTTAGCCGGTGCAATTTCACTGCGTACAATTTGGCGATGGATAAAAATGATCAAGGACACCGGAGCTATCGATCTGTCAACACCTCCTGGCCGCACACGCACAGCTCGAACAACCGGTAACATCAAAAAGGTCAAACAACGCATAATGCGCAGGAAACGGTCGTCGGGAAGAAAAATTGCAAGAGACTTGGCTGTATCACAGACGAGTGTTCGTCGAATACTTCACGAAGACCTCGGATTGTTCCCCTACAAGATTATCAAAGAACCGGCCATCACCGAAATTCAAAAAGAGCAGCGAATGAAATTTGTAAATTGGGTGAAGAACAATTTTAACAACGATGACATTAAGAGATGGCTATTTTCAGACGAGAAATTATTCGATTTTGACGGTGTGTACAATGTCCAGAACGATAGGATATGGGCAGCCAATCGTCAAGAAGCTGATGCAAAAGGTGGGATCAAAAAGAAACACAAACTTCCCACAAAAGTAATGGTTTGGCTTGGGGCATGTCGCAATGGTTTAACAACACCTGTCATTTTGGATAATGGGACGGTGAATCATGAAAAATATATTGAACAAGTTCTTCCAGTAGCTCTCAAATGCGGTAATGAAATGATGGGCAGCGATTGAACTTATCAACAGGACGGGGCTACCGCTCACACACATCGCTTGAGTCAACATTGGTGTGCTAACCATCTGCCTGCATTTGTGCCGAAAGATCGATGGCCACCGAATTCACCCGATTTAAACCCGTTCGACTACAGTATCTGGCATGAAATTGTTCAAGCAATGAACTGGGAACGTGTAACAACAAAAGACACATTGATTGATGAATTAAAACGTGGTGTGAAAAAAATGTTGACAAAGACAAAATTTTAAGAAGTTGTGATGATTTTCCTAAACGCTTGTATCGATTATTACAAAATAAAGGAAGTTATGTTCGTTAAGTGAAATGGACTGTTTTGTAGAGAATTTCATGGAGATTCTTTTTAGGAAAAACTTAACTTTATACGATGTAAGGAATGAAAGAAAAACAGAAAATACAAAGTGTGCCATTATTTCTGGCGCACCCGATATATATATATATTCACTGAAGTGACTGAGCTATTGAACACAACAAACCTGCCACATTTCAATATATTGCATCAAAGAGTATTAATTATATTGGCGATGTTTTGTATAGTAGTAGGAAAACATCCAAAGGCATTACGCATCGATATATATATATATATATATATCTCAAGTACAGTAGTTGTTGATGTTACAGAACTTTTGAAATTAATACGAATTACTGGAACTTACTGATCAAACAGTCAAGAATATAATACAGATGATATTCTTCCATTAGCAATGAAATATATCATTCGTACTTGTGATTTTAATGCAACAGTGAGAGAATGGAACAGCCCTGAAACAGATAGTAACATGTGTTCGAAAGTGCTATGAAACCTGATCAGCTTCCTTATTAGAAACACATTCCACTGATCTTTATGTGGATAATATTTTTGGTATTATAGAGCTTCATATCTTCATAAAACTAGATTATATGATCAATTATTTAGAATATGAATGTATTCGAGCATGTGAACGAATGATTGTATACTGAAAGCAAAAATTGAAAGCAACATATGAATATATAAAAAACAATGGCACAGTTATTTCATATACAAATAAAAAAGGCAAAAGTTAATATCGAAATGAATATGTAGAAAATCAAATTAGTAAATGCATTTAAATGTCTTAGATTCATTTGAACTAGCAAACTATTCTTCAAAGCAACAGCTGATAGATGAGTAGGGAGCATTCGAAAAGCTAAGGTGGTTGAGAGCATGACGGTTTGTGTCTATTGAAGTGTTTCGGCAATATTTTTTCTCATATACATTTTCTCATTTTGCATTTATATTGTCCTTATTTCCATTGCTTCTCAAATCAAATCAACAATTATTACTGCGGCAATTCTGTGTTGATCTTCTATTCGTATATCGTTGTTCCGTCGCTTTAGCTCATACTCTATGCGCTATGTTTTAAACGCGGCATTCAAAGAAGACTAAACAGTATGTGCACAACAAATATTGGTCATTCAGCCTTTGATGGTGATATTTTTATTTGGGACGATGAATTTCGACTTAGATAGAAGAATTGTCTTGGCCATAGTTTTTTTCTAGCAAGCGAGTACAACGACTGATAGAAAAGAATGAATTAGTTTTCTTAAGATGAATATCATTTATTGAAACGAACTAATAGTAGTATGCTAATAATAGGATATGCAACTTATATACATCTCACTCCCTTTCTTTCATTCTTGTTCTGGTGATAAAAACATGCGTACGTATATAGTTCGTCGCTTCCGTGGTCCCTTGTCTGCTCGCTCCCTTTTTCGGTCACCTATTTTTCCTACACGTTCTTCGTGTTACCTTTTCCTTTTTGTTTCATTTTTTTCTGGTTTCTGTACTTGCTCTCTTAGCCCCCATACCAGCTGAATTATTACTGGATATAAAAATATTGATGATGGCAGAATAATTAAATGCGTTTATGCTGTTTATTACTGCTTGAATGCCTGAATTTCTTTTTATATTATCATGTAAGCACTTCCGAGTGTCATATTGAAGAGCAAAATAAAAAATTGCTGTATATGAAATTTCTGATACGTCATTCAGTATTCTTAAATATAGTGCTAGAGCTTTAGTTGAAGAAAATTTAAAATATATTACTTTTGATGTAATATAAAGTGCCAGCAATACGAAATTCAAGTAAACATATGTTTTTTGTATTTCTTTGTATCATTTGATAGAATGTGAGCTGGCGATTGCAAAGTACACAAAAGTTTTCCTATTTTATCTTGTTCTGGATTCATCTTCAGAAGCTTAATACAAGTAAGTTGCTAAATTGACTCTAGACTCTAAACTTGTTTGGTACGATGGTGATTCGAACTGCGACGAGTCGATTACGTATATGCCGATTTTGCCAACCTATGCAGTTTCTCTACGTAAATGATGGAGTGAAATAGTTTATCTAAATTCACTCATTATACTACCTCGCATCACGCTATAGGTCGCTTTCTTTGCTTTTTTCCTTGGATGATAAAAAATCGTATATAGTGATACGAAAAGATAAAGGAGAAGGTTTCCTTTGAATAAAAGCTATTCAGCGCAGCCCCTTTGGGGCTAAAATGTGAAACTCACCTATATCCTTGAAGCCTCGATAAACCAATAAAAATGTATAAAATGAAAAATTTCTCAGACTATTGATTTTTCAAAATAATTGATCATCACAGTACAATCTCTCTCATTTATTTTTACATTTTCAAAAGATTATTGTATTTTGGTTGACCCCCTTTTTTCTTCATTTTTTCTTCTAATTAATTTTTAATGTCTGTAATGGGAGGGTGGGGGGAGGTGGGGAGCCGCAAAATTCTGCCCCTTAAACTTACACTCACTACTTTCTTCAAAAAAATACGTGAGTTCCACAAAATGATTAGTTTGCATTCAAAGCAAGTGAAAATCGATTGAAATGGGTGACAAACAATAGGAAATCGAATAGGCATATTTTTAAGATCTTCGAAGAATCTCCAAAGGGCCTCTGAAAAACTTATTTTTGTCAGTGTTTAGTTTTCGTTGATATTTTTATTGGATAGTCTGCCAGGAAATTGAACTGATGCTTTGCAAAGTTGACTGAAAGTTCCTCACTGTAAGGTAATTCTATATCATCAGTATCCATACTAGATTCTTCATGTGACGACCCACTGGAAGACGAAACCTGTACACTGGAGCAGCTATGTATTGATTCACTTTACTTCTTCTTATCCGTAGTTTACGCACTTCAGACTAATTTATTTGAGCTTCAAAACAAATCATCTTAAATAAAGACACCTAATACCAATACTTATAATTACAATGTGCTGTTTCCAGAGAAGGCTTTGTAAAGACTCTCCGAAGACTCTTCGAGAATCTTAAAAATATGCCCATTCAATTCGCAATTGATTGTCACCTATTTCAATGGATTTTTACTTGCTTTGAACGAAAACTAATCATTTTATTGAAAGAAAACTTTCTCCTTTATCTTTCCATGAAACTATATACGATTTTTCTCAACAATGGAAAAGAAAAGCAAAGAAAACGACCCATAGCGTAATGCGAGGTGGTATGATGAAATGAATGGTTTTAGATAAACTATTTCATTCCATCATTTACGTAGAGAAACTACATTGGTTTAAAAAATCGGCATATACGATAATGGGCTCGACGTGATTCGAATGCATCATACAGCAATCAAGTTTAGAGACTCGAGTCAGTTTAATAACTTATTTTATTAGCTTTTGATGCTGAATCCAAAACAAAGTAAAGTAGGAAAATTTTTGTGCATTTTTAAAAAGTATTTTTTCTTGAAAAACAACACGTTTAGAATATTTCGTATTTTTCAACCGAAAGAAAGAATTTATTCAGGTTAAAAACTGGATTTTCAGGTTTAACAAATCATACTCTACCTAATGGTATAAGAAAAATCACAAAATTGTCTAGTGGAATTTCATATTTCATGCACCTTACTCAAAGACTTTAACGCAAAGCTAGTTCTAATAAGTTTCATCAAAGTTAGCGTAAGGGAAAAAGAGAAACAGAATATTTTCGAGATTGACTCATTGAAATTTAAACAGGACTCATTTAGCTGGATAAGAGCACGGAAATGACAAATATATGGTTGATTTATTCGTTCTCTTTCGATTTCCAGCCCCTTGACAGTATCCGGATTTCGAACACTCGAGACATATATTCTATTGATTTCTTACTTTTGAATCCTCTATTATTTTTAGATGCCTGAATGCTTAGCAAATTTTGGAGTAATCGAAAAAAAACAAAAATATCATAAGAATAATATCGAGAGCTCCAATAGCAATAACAGTGCGAAGTAGTGAAATTACTTTTTATTTCATGTCAGTTCTTCGAAAATCTATTTACCAATATTTTTTATGCAGCAGGTTTATTAGAGTGACGTTTGTTCCACATGAATTCATTTTGATTTCATATTTCGTAAAAAAATATTTGGTTCGAAATGAAGAACAGGGCATAAGTAAAAAAATTTACGATTGAATATTGAAAAATTTTTGTAGCTTATAATTTCATACTTTATCTCTCATATTAGTTATTTATTTAGTAACATATTAATGACACAAGTCCAATATATTGCATATAAAAATTAATAAAAATATTTTCTTCGATTAATGTAGTTTTGATTTGTGAAAATTGCTAGTAAAGTTGTAAGTCATACTCTTCAAAGTACTGTACTTCTAAGATTTGAAAATAGTATTGTCGTAGAAAAAGAATAAATACCTATGAAATCGAATGAAATAGATGACTACATAGTAAATAGATACTATGAGTTCTCATTTAATGACATCGAAAAATCAGGATAATCAGATCATAGGTTAAGCGAATATTTGATTTAAAATGTTGGATATTTGTCTGTGTGAGTTTACGTATAGTTATCGCATAGATTTCAAACAAAATAAAGCACCTCATACATGCCTTTATCGTTTTTTCACATCTAGGGTGTTTGAGCATGTCCATTTCCATATTGTTCATCAAGGAAAAACTAATTGTTTTTGAAGACATTTAAAAGTAGTCAACTTTTTGCAATGTAGACCTTTTTTATCGATGAAAAATGAGCTCTGCTAGCTATAACTTTTAGTCTATCTTATTAATGAAGGTTTAGGATTTCTGATGTTTTCATTAGATCTAATTGAAATATACAAAACCATTTGCAATTTGAACTAGAAAATACTACAGCACTCGGATCTGATTATCGAATAGGAAAAAATTGAGTAAATAAAGTAGTACGAAATTTTTCACTTTTCAAAAAAAGCTATCATAAACTATAAAAGTTTGCATTTCCCCATTCGCTCGTGTTTTAGATGCAAATTATCATTCACGTATGTTTTATCTTGAGCGTAGTTCAAGCTCAAAATTGGGTAGGCACTTACTTCCCCAGCAGTATTTGCAATACGACTCAATGTTGTTGCCTCTATGGACCAACTACAATAATCAACTCATCGAGCATATTGCTACTTTCAACATCACTCAAGGGATTATTCTGTGACAATTTTCCACCATTGGAGATAGCTATTCAAGCATCAGGATTTACAAGTAATGTACTTATCAATGTGAGCAACTTCAACACCATTTTAAACTTCACTCTAAGCAGTGATGGCAATACAATAACAGCAGCGAATCCCTATCTCCCTCAATGCCCTATTCAAGCCACGCGTAACAATACTGCAATATCATCCTCTAGTAACAAATACAACTTTGGCATACTACACATAATAGAACTGTTTATTCTTTCTTTACCATTAATACTTGGCAGAGGATGAAAGTTCTAACTAAACTATTGACGCTAAATTTCTTAAAAAGACTAATTATTCTTAAACGAGACTCACTAATATAATTAAACTCATATTTATTTAAGCTGTTGATTTTTCAAGCGTTCCTGTCTTATTTTATATCTTCTACTAGAGACGTAGTCGATATCGGCTATCGAAGATGTGGGTGTCACTTTAAATGATACACCGGATGCGAGTCGTGGCCGCTAAACGAATCTGGAATTGACTAAAATTGATGGAAAATATATTGATCATAGTGTGAATTGGGTAGAGTGCGTGTGCCTGTGAGTGATTTGGACTGATTTTATAATGACCAGTATCATAAAGTTGACGATATTGAGCCTAATTGAATCTGTGGTGGCTGTACAAAAGGCGAGATCGACAAATGTGATCGCGAACCAGCAGTATCCAAGGACTGAGAAATAAGTATTCCTAATCTGCAGAGGAATTGTCGATGCCACTGTGATAATGCTTACACTCTAAAAAAAAAGTTTTTTGACCGAACCATAAAAGGATCTTCCCGCGTATCCGCGGGAAGATCCTTTTATGGTTTCGTACAAAACCTTTCAAAAGCAATTCACAAAAAGGTTTCGTACAAACTGCTTTGCATCAAACCTTCTTCTAATTGTCCACTCGGCCAAATTTCATTTAATCCTCGAGTGTCGACCGCGGTATGCATACCATTTCGAGTATTTCTCAAAATCCAACAATGGTATATATCCAAAACAATCAAAATCAAGTGGACATAGTCTATAGAGAAACCGTCTACATCAGTAAAGGAAAATTACTCTATAGAATATGTTCACTTACTTTTGAATGAATTGGATATATATATATATATATGCATCATTCTTGGATTTTGACAAAACGCTCGAAACGGTATGTATACCACGGACGGCATCAGAGGATCAAAATGAAAACCACCGATGAATTCCATAAGTGAAACAACCTATAACAAAGAAAAAAAATAAGTATAAGCATTTCATAAGATTCAACTTACTTCTTTATTTGCCCACTTGAATCAACCTACAATCAAAACAATTCAAAAATTTATGAAGTTTCATATATGAAACTTACCTAAAACCGCATATATACATCAACGAGCAGTCATCCTATTCTACAATGTTGAACATTTCGGAACCAGTTCCGCCCCCAGAATCAGTTCCGTCGATTCCGGAATTAAGTCAATACGGAATCGCTGGGAATTAGACGGAATTCCTAGGAATTCCGTTCAATTCCTGTTCGACCTAATTCCCGGAATTCCGTACCGGAATTGCATGGTGTGGGTGTTGCCATAAGTGTGGGTGTGGATGTCACTGTGGGTGCACTGAATTCCAGAACCGTTGGGAATTAGGCGGAATCCGTAGGAATTCCGTGTAATTCCAGAATTGAATCGGAAGGGATAAACGGATTTCCGGGAATTAGATGGAATTGATCTGCAGTGATTCTGGGAATTCCGGAATTGAATCGGAAGGGATAAACGGAATTCCAGGAATTAGATGGAATTGATTCCATGAGCGGAACTGGTTCCGGAATGTTCAACATTGCGGAATAGGATGTGTAACGAACAACTTGGTTAGAGTAGCTTGTGCCACTCTCGGCAAAGATGTTTATTAGGCTACTTCAAGTTATCCAGAGTGTAGCGACAAAACTAGAGAGTGTCGCCTATGCCCGTCGGCATGATGGTGTATTGTGTCATCTGACATCTCCAGAGTGTCCCAACTTCATACATAACACACGTATATATAGGAGAGAGATATAAGAGAGACAATAGAGAGAGATATTAGAACAATGGAAAGAGAACAGAAAGAGAAGGAAGGAGAATCATCGAAGCGTGCCATCAATATCGGCACAGGATGTATTCTCACATCAGCCTAAAATAACAATATTAACAAAGTTTAATAAATTGAAAAGATCAAGCTTACCTAAAATTCCGCATATACATCAACCTAGAACACAAAAAAAGAAAAGAATTACGATATTTTATAAAATCAAACTTACCTGAAATTGCATCTTTCAACGAATCAATGATTAAGCTAAAAAACATTTGCATTATTTTGCGAAATTAAGTTTACTTAAAATCTTAATATGAGTGAATCTATAACATAAACAACATCTCAAATAATTTTCATCATATCAAACTTACCTCAGAATTTTGCCCCGAGTTGAAATAAAAAATCTACGTTTACAGTTTTTGACTCTGGGATGGACAGATGTTCCGACCAATAGGGACTGGACGCGAAAAACGGATTACATATTCGGGTTGCTGGACCTCGATAGCCAATAGGAAGGTGTCGCAAAAAGACAGAAGGCTGTTTAAGTAAGTGAGCCACTGCCTTATATTGTTTTTAGCCCGAGAAATGAAAACGTTCAAATTTTTGAATGTTTTCCCTATGAGCCTCCTTGTCGTTGAGGGAATGAGGCCGATCTTGAAGGGAATAATGAACTGGTCAGGAGTGAAAGAAAGGAAGACAACTATCAGTATAGGTCAGAATCGTATACTCTTCGTATAATTATGGGAAATGTATGAAAGCAAATTAACGAAATCATGTCGAGTCAATATGAAATGTGGGAAACCTTCAGAGAACGTTGGAACCTATGAACCGTTTTGTATAAAATGTACTAAGCCTTTTAGCGGACGAGAAAATTCGAAAAGTTCCGCCCAAAAAATACGAAACCTTCGGATTCTCAACGCTATTATCCGGGGTTTTCTGTAAAATGTACGAAACGTTACAGGCATCTAGTGACTATCGAGAAGTTCCGCGCAAAAAATACGAAACCTTCGGATGGCCAACGAAACTATCAGTTGTTACGTATAAAATACATCAAACCTGTCGACAGTTTACGAAACCATCACTGGTTTCGTCTAAAATGTACCAAACCGTAAAGCTATCCAGAGACTCGAGAAGTTCCGCACAAAAACTTAGAAACCTTCGGATTGTCAACGAAACTATCAGTGGTTTCGTGTCAAATAGACGGAGCCATTGTTTGATCAACGAAACCAACGCTGGTTCTGTCGGCATATTACGAAACCTTAGCTCATTTTACGAAACTATGAAAGGATCGGCACATGATGTACGAAACCGCAAACGACTTTACGGAACTTGCAAAGAGTTTCGTCGCAAAATAGCCGAACCCTATAAAATCTGCTGAACTTAAAAAGGTTTAGAAAGGGAACCACGAATCCATTTGCATTCCACGGAACTTAACAAGTTTCAGTGGAAAAATGCGGACTTTTTAAGGTTCTGTAACAAACCTATTTTTTTAGAGTGTAGGACAAATGAGAATCAATCATTGGTTCCCACACAATTTCACCACTCACGAAAGTCGCGATATTGCTATTTTTAAAATAAATTGTACACGGAGCTATTGGTTCTCGCAATTTCGCAGGTGAAAATAAGTGTAAGAACAAAAAGTATCGTGAATAGTCCATATTTTTACTTTTAGTATGCATGGAACTGCAGGGAAACTGACGAAGAATTCCTAATTCTCAGTCCTTGGACACCCCTCACAGTTTTTGAGTATACTATTAAAGATACCAATTTTATACGAATATGAATTCTAAACTATTAAGAATATGCAAATTTTATGAGCTTATCTTTGTTTTTAAATAACGATAGTCAAGTTCACAAATGAAAACTTCAAAAATACACTCTCACAAAAGCCTTAATTTCTGAGCGACATATTGGACACGATCGAAGGGAATGGCCACAAGGAACACACGTTGCCACGTGTCCACAGGGTATACAGCTAAGACATTTTTCTTCTGTCAAGCATAAATTGCAAGGGTACACTAGTGCCGAATCTTTCTCCATGTGTTGAGTAAAACCATCTGCACCATTTAATGTTGCATGAACATTTTTGTTGATATTTATTAACGGCTTTTTTTCAGTTGTATCGCAAACGGCAGATTTGGATAATGTCGACATCTCGACATCAGTATTATTTAAAGATTTTATTAGAACCTTTTCAGAATTCTCTTGTTCATAAGAAAAATTCTCTACAAAATAAAAAGTCAGTTTTCATTTATAGTTCATATTAAATACCTGTTTGTTGTCTTTCGTGAATCTTATTCATTGCTACATTTGGAATAATAATATTCTCTTTTTTTCCATCAATGTATTTGATTTCTTTTTGAAGAATGATGCATGCAACCATTAGATCACAATCGTCAGCGAAATCTTCCCCTAAACTTACATTTACATATAATTCAGTCAAATAGCCGCATCGTACTAAATTATTTTTTGTTTTTAAATCTTACCTTTTAGTCGCAGTTGATCTTCCCAACAGCGCTTGATGATCGATAACTTGAAGTTTTGCTCAAGCAAACGTTGTGACATCGGCAAGTCAAGTCGGGCCGCTACCAGTCTCGAGATAGTGATCTCATCTGTGGAATCCAATGTTCTACTTTGAGAACTACCCGTATTTGTTCCATATTGATTACTTGGTGGGGTCTTCTTGTCATTTTCTGAAGTTAAACAGGGTTACAAACCGTTGAGTTATTTCAGTCTTGAATCGTTCTTACTTTTTTGACATTCTTTAGAGTTTTGAATTTTCCTATACAGTTCTGCACCGCATAATTGTTTTGCATATCCGCAGTGTGGAAACCAACGAGCATGCTCAATCATTGGATTATCGTTTACTCCCCAGTTCTGTAATGATCCATTGCAATAAAAGCACGTTACAATATTTTTACTACCGGTATAAAAGAAGCCTGCTTTGACTAAATTCTCAACGGATGGTAGATTTTCAGTGGGACATGTAGCAAATGATGCGTAACGTCGTGGGATTTCCATATAATTTTGATGGCAGGCAATCGTATTCACTATATCGCCACAACGAAGTGTATCTGCATTCATCGCCCCTGTCCAATTATCTCTCATGAACTGATCATTCATAATTTGGATAGCTGATAGTTGCTGACGATCAAGAATTGCAAGCACATATGGACATTTAGGAGAAAGTGTTTTGTGTATTTCCACTGGATTGTCAGTGTTTGGAGTCCATTGTTGACAGATTATATTGCAATATACACAAATGACTCGATCCCCTACATTGCAGTTAAAAAATCCAGCTTCAATCATTTGTGCACTGGAAGGTGATATTCGATGTGGCCAGTTCGAAAAAGTACGATTTCGTATTTCCTTTACAGTGTCCAATTCGGTGAATTGATACTCTCGGCAATTCTCCTTAATCTTTTCTATACTTTCATGTGTCTCTGATTCTTCAGTATTATTTATTATTGAGGTCAATGGTATAAAACTAGTTGAAGACTTGCCATTTGCTCGTTTGCTCGATAGAACAGAGCGAACAATATCTGCATTGCCCGTATTATTGAAACCTGTATCCTCTAGGCTAATACTGCAATGTGCCCTCTTCGTATTGCTAATTTTTTCACTTATAATGACTACTTTACGATATATGTCACTGATGTCTAGCGATCGATGTTGTTTTAGCTGATTTTTTGGCATTGATTCTTCGTTATTGAATGTATAGTCTTGTGCAGTAATTGAGGATATTATTCTCGTTTTGTTATCAAGTTTCTTGTGTCAATTCACAAGCTGTGATTTCCAACACAGTGTGATAAATGATTGAATTCTAAAATGATAAAGATTGAATAATATTGACATACGCATGCATAGCTTTTTGAATCGGCGAAGAAAGTAAGGAAGCTTTGTGGAATTGTTGATCTAGTAGGATCGTCGATAATGGCAATAGTAAACTTAGAAGATACACAGAGAAATATAATACTGTATCTGATATCAGCGTGTGTTTTCTAACTTATGTACGAACAATTCAACGATGTGAGATTGATGGGGGGGGGGGGGGGGGGGGGGGGGGGGGGGGGGGGGGGGGGGGGGGGGGGGGGGGGGGGGGGGGGGGGGGGGGGGGGGGGGGGGGGGGGGGGGGGGGGGGGGNTATTAGATAATAAAACCTAAATAAACATAAAATATATCGAAGCTGAGAAAGAAAATTACCATAATATTGAAGAAGGTCAAGACGAAAGAAAAGGTAAGAGAACAGAAAACAAAAGTATAAGAAGAAATTCAACTATGCCAAAGAAGACGAATTAGTAAATATGAAAAGTCAAAATAACCTGACTTCGAATTGCTATATTGCTATCTTTGTTATTTAAATAGTATGCTGATCGAAACAAAGACAATAATGCTCATCTAAACTAGGAATAGTGAGAGTGGAATAAAAAAATACGAACAGGAATACTCTGTCTTGTTATGAATTTACAGTATACGACCAGTAGTGTCATATATCTTACAAATCGGATATGCTAGAGATGCCACGAGAGATCAGGGATACACAACAGTTATACTCCCAGCAAATAAAATATCATCGCCAGAAGAAATCAATCACGCGCACTCTGTATCTGCAATACACCTGCCGCATCTCACGCAGGTACACCGCATCTCTCGCACTTCTCCACAGAGAGATGCCGCATATCTGGCATCTGCATCTCCCGATGAAAAAATATTTTTCGATTTTCAACCCCTAGACCCCCATCGCATATACGTCGAACTTGAAACTTGAATTCAACTGAAACTCCAACTTTCAAGTTTCAACCTTCAACTGTCTAGTTTCAAGGGTGTGGGCGCCGGGGAACGAACATATCTTCGTATACACACACACATGCACCAAAGATGTGGCAGTAGTGTCAGAGCAGTGAGATGAAACTTGAAAGTTGAAAGTTGAAGTTTCAGTTGAATTCAAGTTTCAACTTCGACGTATATGCGGTGGGGTCTAGGGCTTGAAAATCGAAAAAAATATTTTTTCATCGGGAGATGCAGATGCCAGATATGCGGCATCTCTCTGTGGAGAAGTGCAAGAGATGCGGCGTCTCACGCAGAGACGTAGAATACGCTTAAATAATTCTATGTAGCCATAGTATTGGTATTGTGTTATTAATAGTTTTGTATATCGGCGTCTCCGTTGGCATCTCTAGCATCCCCGATATTTCCGATATGTGACACCTCTCTATACGACACTGCTTAAAAGCATAGCTTGAAAAGCTAGATATTTTTTCCACAGCTATTAACAAGTAACGTGGATCGAAAATCGATTCACTGGGCTGTAGACTGAGAGAACTCACACATATACATATATGAACACCTCACTTCGTCGACTATTTCCACCATACATTCTGAAATTTCCAAAAAAGATGACTGAATAAGTTCACCCGAAGCAAGCGACCCAGAGAGCGAATAGGTGAAAGTGGGGTACCGATCAGGCGACAATGAAAAATTTCCAATTAGAATGAAGAGAAAAATGCAGCCAAAATAAGCGTGAAGTGCAGGTGCTAAACAGCGACTGAACCACGATTTTGCGTCTAAAAGAAGGGGGACTCTGAGCCTCCTGACTAATGGAATACACTGTTAGCAGTTCTCGTCAGGGGGCTTAAATATCTTTCAGAAGGGAGGGGGTAGGCTGAGTTTCACCTAGCAACTGGATCACACCTTTCAAAAATTTAGCGATGGAAGCATCAAAGTTCCTTATAGGGACTTCGGCTGTCTCCTTTGATTGCATAACCAATAGACGTGACTATGCGGTATGGTCTCTCGCGGTATTCGGCAATAATACGTGCTACGTAAATGGTCACTTTTGTCAAAAAAGTTTCGTTTAGATCATAACAATGGTCATTTGAGTCGTAGAAGTGGTCATTTGTACGAAGACCTTGTTACAGACAAACAGACACAGATGAATTACAGCTTATAGGCCCTAACCATTCAGTCTAGGGAATAGTTGAAAGGCAGGAAAAGATTACGTTATTTGTTTAAAAACTAGTTAGAAAAAAAATGGCAAAAAATAGAAACAAGAATTTGGCTACAAAATCCACTAAAAGGCAGAATTTATCTCGGAAACTACACCAAAATACTGAAGTAATCTCTGTCACCGATCTAAACGCAGATGACACCAATTCAAACACAGAAAACTACGGTTTCTAGACCCTATTCTTTCAGGCTACGGAATAGCTACATCTATGGACATAGAACCAACCTGACTCTGAATTGTTACTCTTAGTCAGCTCAACTTCCGTATACATTGACTCATCATGTTAGACAATCTACTATCATAAATATATGACCCAATGTCTAATGCCGTCAATATGTGTCCAAAATCCTCACTAGGTGTGGCATTTAAAATTGAACTTTATTTTTAAAATAAAATTTTATCATGTTTGCAGTGTTTCCCTCCAGGCATAGAATAGAGAGAAGATACCTTTCGAAGTATACTAGTCGTATCACTATTCGGAAAGCAGAAGATTCATGGTTCAATTCGAAACGAAAAAGGATTGTGCTATTCTCCGTTTTGCTATCATTCTATCACGCTACTATCCTGCTAACACCAGTTCGTAACAAACTTAAAGTAGTATACCTAACCTTAACCATTCAGTCATAGTGGTTTTAGTGGGAATCAGAGACAGAATACGCACAGAGCCGAATTCGAAACAATTTTAAAAAAATGAAGGCAGATCTAACGGAACTTGAGTCACAACGAGTAGACTCGACTCTGTATGTGGTAGGGATGAACTTATACACTGAATAAAAAATGGTACCACACCGAACCCAAAGGTATTTCGATTTCGTTTCAATTCTCTGAATCCTTTTAGGTTTTGTAGATAAAACAAGAAATACTTGAAAAAGTATTCTCACGAGGGAAGATCACCAACTGTTCAATCGCTTTTGCGTTTAAACTACTTGCATTATGTAGCTCCAAAAGATTTATAGATACACTGAAAATATTTTCGGCGGATAGCTTATTGTTACGAAAATAGGTCATTTGTAAGATGTTGGTTTTAATGAGTGCCTGGGCTTCCCTTAGGAACATTAGAAAAATTTATTTTCAAGTTTTGACTTGCAACTTTACATAGATAGACGCCGCAAGGAGAACAACTTTTTATGAACGTTTCAGATCCTTCTAGCATTCCTATCAATAGATTCATCTATTGTGAAATGTTTATTCTACATCTTTCAAATTAAGTAGTAGATTTGACGAAATAAACAAATTTAATGACCAAAAATGTGCACAAAATACTGCTCTCGCTGAGGTGTATTTCTATGTAAAGTCGCAAGTCAAAATTCGAAAATAAATTTTTCTAATGTTCCTAAGGGGGAGCCCAGACACTCCCTAATAACCATACCTTTAAGATGGACTATTTTCATAACAACCAGCTATCCGCCCAAAATATTTTCAGCGTATCCATAACTCCTTGGGAGCTACGCAATGTAAATATTTTCAACGCAAAAGGATTGAACAGTTGGCGACCTTCCCTCGTCAGTCTATCAGGATTATTTTCAGGTAGCCGGAGTTTTTTCGAAACCTTTCTGAGGGTTCCGTATTCATTTTAAAAATGGTTTGGTAATCATACTAATTTTTTTCTGGTGCACCGAACCAATTTTAAAATGAATACGGAACCCTCAGAAAGGTTTCGAAAAAACTCCGGTTACCTGAAATATCATCCCGATAGACTGAGAATACTTTTTCAAGTGTTTCTTGTTTTATCTACGAAACCTAGAAGGATTCAGAGAGTTGAAACGAAATTGAAACACTTTTGGGTTCGGTGTGGTACCATTTGTTTTTCAGTGTACTCTTATATAAGCTGAACGAGTAAAGTAAAAGTCCCCTGTTAACTATAATTGTGAATTTTAGGCATGACTCATCTGTTTGCCGTCAACAGTACAATCTACAACAATTCATATCCAGAATGACGATGCTTATTTTACATAATTTTTTGACACAGGGTTTCCATTCAACCTATAAGCAGAATGGGATTCTCTTTTTTTTGCATAAGCTCGATAGAAGAGCATGATTTCTCCTTTTTTATATTCATTCTTTATGTGATTGGAAATTTTCTCATACAGTTTGAAACAATCAAAATCGGAAGAATGAGACGAAAACAAACATAATGTTACATGAGAGTGTAAAGAAAACTCGAATTGCTATTTTCAAGGCAACATTGTAAAATCTATTTCAATGAAGTTACTCATTATAAAATGTTGGAAATAACCAGCAGCAATCTACACTTAAGAATTCAATTTCTTTTTCTGTTTTACTATGATTAATTATGCGAATGTTTTGAAATACTATTTACAATATTTCTTGACATAAGATTAAAAAATACACAGAAAGCGAAGCCCTGATTATGTGATAAGAAAAATTGATTTCTCTCGTAATGATCAAGGAAATGTAGTTAGCTACACAGCAGTGATTATGGTTCACTGATACAACACCAGTAGATATAATATTCACTAATGGTAGCATAGGCATTATGAAGCAGCAAGTCGATGGTAATATTCATTTTTTGGTATAATTCATTTTCACGGTGTGATTCCATCATTATTATTTCAAATGAAGATATTTTTGTAGTTTTTCCTACGCGTTTCTTGGGAGTCCCGGCAAGATGCTCCGCAGGGAGATGCTCCTTGGATAGTTGCTCCCCAGAGACACTTGCTCCCTAACTGTATCTAAGAAAAACATTAATCATCACGAGATTCAAATATAAATTTATTTATTTGAGGGCATGAGTGTATCGTTGTCGTTGTGAGTTCATCAGTGCTCGTATAGACAGATGTTTATCCACTTCACTCACACACACCTTCACGCTAAGACCCTCACTTTTGTATGAATCAGACACCGTTGTGAAATTACTGCTCTGAGCAGTCATCCAATTCCGCAATGTTGAACATTCCGGAACCAGTTCCACCCCGGAATCAGTTCCGTCGATTCCGGAATTAGGTCAAATATGAACACTGTCCGATTCCGGAATTGGTTCGTCCGATTCCCGGAATTCCACGGAATTCAGTCCAATTCCGGAATTAGATGAAAGCGAAGTCACTGAGAATTCCTAGGAATTACAACTTGTATCACTATTGTAGCTTGCTTACCCATTTCGTCATGATCCGATTCTGGTCCGGAATTCCGGAATTAGGTCAATACGGAATCCCTGGGAATTAGACGGAATCCCTGGGAATTAGACGGAATTCCGTTCAATTCCCGTTCGACTCAATCCCCGGAATTCCGTACCGGAGCTGCATTCGTCACCGAGCTATAAGATATATCAAGTGTCCATTGATCACTCAATTCCGGAATCACAAGGAATTCCGGGAATTGCTAGTAATTCCGGAATTACAACTTGTATCACTTCTAGCTTGTCTTATCCATTTCGTGATGATCCGTTTCCGGTCCGGAATTAGGTCAACACGGAATCCCTAGGAATTCCGTGTAATTCCGTTAAATTCCGATCAATTCCTGTTCGACTCAATTCCCGGAATTGCATTTGTCACCGAGCTATAAGATATGTCAAGTATCCATTGATCACTCAATTCCGTTCAATGCCGATCAATTCCTGTTTGACCTAATTCCCGGAATTCCGTACTGGAATTGCATGGTGTGGGTGTTGGCATAAGTGTGGGTGTTGGCATAAGTGTGGGTGTGGATGTTAGTGTAAGTGCGCTGAATTCCGGAACCGTTGGGAATTAGGCAGAATCCGTAGGAATTCCGTGTAATTCCGGAATTGAATCGGAATTGATAAACGGAATTCCGGGAATTAGATGGAATTGTTCGGCAGTGATTCCGGGAATTCCGGAATTGAATCGGAATGGATAAACGGAATTCCGGGAATTAGATGGAATTGGTTCCGTGAGCGGAACTGGTTCCGGAATGTTCAACATTGCGGAATAGGATGTATTCTCACTGCTCTGGAAGCCAATGTTGCTGAGGAGCGAGTGACCGGAGAGCAAGTGTCACTGGGGAGCATCTTGCCGGATACCGTTTCTTGGTTGCACTACTGTTCATCTCAGAAGTTTCTTACGTTTTGGCTACCATTGATCTGAACGATCATCATTGAATAGTTTTTCTACATATTTATATGATGTACCACTATGATTGCAAATCTGTTTTCAAAGCACTGACAAACTGCATTTAAAAACAATTTGATGCTTCTGGTGACATTGGGACGTGTTTGAAGGTTCCGATTTCTTTGCGAATCAAGTTACATCTGGTTCCTTATTTTCAGTGAACATTTTCATACACAGATTCGATTGAATGGGTGAGGGTGTGCGTGAAAAGAAGACACATATCTACACACCCACATCTACGCACACTCAAACTTGGAATCGGCGAAAACTGATTCATCGAATCTGAAATTTACTGCCTGAATTTGGTCTGGTAGCTTTTCTAAATCCCCAAGCACATTCATAAAGCCGGGTGTGGGTGTGGCTGTGGGTGTGATTGAGTTAAAAATACAGTAACACCCACACATCTGCACCCGCACCCGCACCCCCTCCCCCACCCTCAAGAGGTCATAACTTTTGAGACTTTCTGCAATTAATTCTGATCTATTTGCGAATCGAATGACCGGAAGAACTTGTCGAAAATCTCCACCAAGTATCATCATTTTTCCTCCGAAAGGCACATTGATGTTCATTAAATCTCTCAGAAAAATATCAATTGCCTTGAGAGCATACGATGGAGCTATTGGTTCTTCGTCCCAAATGAAAACTTCTGTCTTTCTAATCTGTTCGGCTTCCATACTATTTGATCGAATACTGGATGCAGATGTTTCCAAAATAGGTACAGGAAGCTTGAAAGGACTGTGTGCAGTTCTTTCTTCAGGCAGTAAACTTGCAGCAATCCCTGTCCATGCAACTGGCATAACATAGACGCCTTGTCCCATGAATAAATCGTACAGGGTGTTATAAAGATAGGTTGTTCCTGTACCGCCACGTCCATCGATGAAGAAACATGAGCCAGCAGTGGTTGATTGTTTATGATGAGCTGCACGAATTGCATCCGCTGCTGAACGTTGATCTTGATTCAACATTGCATACATTTATTGTCCTATTCAAAGTTCTTCTTCCCTGTTGATCAGTTTTAGTTCAAATGAATAAGAAACAGATATTGGTGATGGTATACCAAAATCACTGCAACTTCGACCTTGCTCTTTCAGCTTCTCTTCGATTGCATGGAATGCGATTGCTTCTGCTATTTCACCATCCACTTGTTGCATAAAGTCCTCGGCCAATGTGCTTTAAATGCATCCCAGAGGTCTGCAGGTTTTGTTGGATTACAGAATAACAGTATCACACAGAAAAATGTTCTTAATTCTTGCGGCATCTGGAAAATAACGGCTTCAGACATGCATCTTTCATATACAGTATCATCACATAATAGACCTCGTCTTTTGCCAGCTTCCATAAATGTTTGACACATTTGGCTATCTACTGTTTTGAGATCATCAAAATTACAGGCACCAGGAGTATATAACAGTAATAATCGAAGATGGTAACGTTAGACATCACTGGGACTGACGGAGTACCTCTACCGATGACGTTTCACCTTGTAGTCGATGCTTCCATGTTCCATCACGTTCAAAAACAAAATGCTGTGGAATATCATGGTAGAGATATTGTCGAGCATCTGGATTTTTCGCATTTAATTTAAACCATGCAGTAAGTGTCGTGACTTTCGTAGCAGCTCTTTCCAATGCTTCTCGTTCGTTTGCTTCAGCAAAATAAACTGACTGTTGAATTGGAAGAATGGCATTAAAATGAGCGAAAGAAAAAAGAGCGAACGAAAAAAGAGCGAAGAAAAATGAGCGAAGAAAAATGAGCGAAAGAAAAAATGTCGTTAGAAAATATGTCGAATACTAAATGTCGAACACAATAATAGCGAAAAATAAAATGTCGATCGTATGGAAATAGCGAAAAGTATATTTTTCCATAAATTTTTTTTTTGAATTTTAAAATTCAATCAGTGATATTTTATTCCTCCGTTTTCTTGTGTTATCTGTTTTCACTGGCTAGCGTTTTTCGTCAATAGTATCGTCGTCCAATCTAGCTAACGGAATAAACACAAAGGACACAAAAGATACAACGAAATAAAGATACGCCATACCTTATTTTTTTCCATTGCATATCACTTGTTGTTAATTTAGTATAAATTTCGATGACATCGAATACAAGCAGCGTATCCTTTACCGTCTCTAATAAAGGCAATCCTCTGCTAATTTTAAACGATTTTGTATATCGAGTAAAAAAAGAAACAGTATTAAAAAAATATTGGATTTGCGGAATAAATGGATGTAATGCGTATATACATACAAATATACAGAACGCTTTTTTGAAATCAAGTGGTGAACATAACCATTTATCAGATCCAGAAGCTCTCGAAATCAAATTATTTCGAGACAAGTTGAAACAAAGAGCTGTACATGAAACAACAGCTATATCAAAGATATACGAGGAAGAAGTAGTTAAATCTCAATTTTCAATACAAGTGTTGGCAAATCTACCTTTAGCACGTGAAATACGTAAATACATTTACTTGCTCATGGCATGTATTTTTAAAATAAATAAATAATTTAGAACCGGGATTGACACATGCTCGACGACTATTGACACCTGTTTTACCTTTGTCTTCACTATTTGACATTCCTGATTCTTATCAAATTACATTAAAATACGAAACTTTTTTATTCTCTGATTCACTACTTGATAGAAGGAAAAGAATGTTACTATTTGGTAGTGTAACACAACTGGAAATTTTATTCGATAGTTCCACTATCTTGATGGATGGCACATTTAGTACTACACCTCCATTTTTCGACCAAGTTTTTACTATACATGCTTTGAAATACGAAACAAGTAATAGAACATTACTTTGTTTATCTAAATCATTATTATATTTCCTATGTTTCCCTTGTATATTTGGTGTCCTTCCAGATCGAAAAAGAACTACTTATCAACACTTGTTCAAAATTTTAAAGGGTTTAGCTGTATCAATGAATCGTACATTTAAACCAGCTCGTGTTATGAGCGATTATGAAGCTAGTATTATTACAGCTGTGGTTAACGAAGTAATAAATTCTTTTTTATCCTGGTCAAGAAGTAAATGTTCTAAATTTAGTTTTCTCAAGCAATTCATAGTGGGTGTTCTTTTCACTTCACCCAAGCGATTTATCGGCGCATACAAAGTTTAGGCTTGATAACATCTTATTCACAAGATAGTGATATTCGAATATGTTGCCGTAAACTTATGGCATTGGCTTTATTACCAATCGATCAAATCGAAACATCATTCTATAATTTACGCACAAAATCATCAGCAGCAGTGAAGCAAGAATTACATCAACTGTTTCTTTATTTCAATCATCAATGGATCACGAATGTACCAATGAAAATGTGGAGTGTTCATGGATATCAACATAGAACAAACAACAACTGCGAGGGTATACATGTGCGATCCGATTAATTTCTTTTAAAAAGATTATTTATTAGGCTTTCACAATCGTTTAAATCAAAGAATTCTAAAAGCTCATCCTAATATATGGACCTTCATCAAATGTATTCAAAATGAAGAAAATCGATTTCGACACCTACTTCTTCAAATGAATGCTGGGGCTCAAGCTCGGAAAAAAACCGCTGCCACTAGTTTCATTCAAAAACGTATCGATACATTAAATGAAAGATACAAAAATGGTGAAATCGATGTTGATCAACTATTAGATGGCTTCTCGCTCACCATAGCCAAACAAAAGAAATAAACTTATACTTGAAGAAATACTTTCTTTTTATTAATTTTTATAACTAATTACGCTTGATTCATTTCATTTTTTGATGACATAAAATTTTATCAGACAATATTAAATCTTCATCTTAGCAGTCTAAAAATATAAAATAAATATTTTCGCTATTTTTTATTTCGCTATAATTGCTTTCGCTATTTTTTCCATTCGGCATTTTCCATTCGGCATTTTTTCCTTCGACATTCTATTTTCGACATTTTTTCTTTCGTTCATTTTTCTTCGCTCATTTTTCTTCACTCTTTTATCGTTCGCTCTTTTTTCTTTCGCTCATTTTGATACATACCAATTGGAAGATGGGCAGCTAATCGGATAATAGCATGAGACTTATCATGTAATGGAAATTCAAAAACTCTCCATGCAGCTTTTACGTATCTTGCATCGATATGTGCTTTAATTTCATCCCATTCCAGACCTCCTTGAGCAGCAGCACATTCTTGAATTGGTCGTTGTAATTTGATGTTAGCACAATCATGTCCCTTGTTAATGTATTTAAATAAATATTTGATACTTTTCGCAGTTTCACAAATTTCCACATTAATATGAGCATTGTATTTCTTTCGTAAATATGGATTATATGGAACTATTCATCTATTGTCAACTTCATGCTTGCCAATAGTCGTAGTGATTCCAGTATCTCTTCTTCGATATCGTGGATATCCATCTTTATTTGAAAGAGTATAATTTGGAAATTCTTTTGAAAATTCTTTTGAGCACTTGCCATCTTCCATGCAAGGAGAATGTGGGTTTAATGTTCCACATGGTCTATGAATCATATGTCTTCTTACGCATTCATGTAATTGTGGGAATCGAGCAGCATCCGGCATTTCACTGCATACAATTCGATCTATATGATTATCACCTTTTATTTTGTCTTCACTGTTCAAAATAATAAGCATGTGGCAATGTGGTAAGCCACGCTTTTGAAATTCGATTACGAAGACATTGGCTATCGTTCGTCCTAATATATGTTTCTTGAAGATATCATCAATAAGTTCATTGAGTTTAAGCTTAAAGACTCTGGTAATTAGATAGGGTCTATCGGAAGGAGTTTGACCAGGAAAAAGCTGTTCTTGAATTTCTCTCCATGTTGGATTACAGGTAAATGTGATGAATAAGTCGGGTTTTCTATATTTTCGAACGATTGCCATTGCATCTTGATAATTCTGTTGCATTGCTCTAGGATTTCCTTGGAAACTTGATGGAAGTATTATAACACGCCCAGGTCTCAAACCTTCAATGTGAGCTTCATTTGCCAAATGATCCATTAGACCTTGATATAATTCTACTCGAGGAACCTTTTGATTTTGTCGATAGAATGGCAGTCGATTTTGTTCGGTTTTGATGTACGCATCGACAATATATTGCTTGAATAATTTCCCTCCACAGTGGATGGCACTGAACGTTGCACGAATAGCCACTCGATAACTATAAAATTGAAGCATTGATACTCGTTTTCGATTTCGTGATTGATCAATTTTTTCCAATTCTGAATACCATCCTTTATCTCCACGAGGAAATAAATGAGGATAAGTCATTGGATCACAATGAGGATGTAAGATTGAAATAGTTTGAAGATTTTGACCATGTGGATGAATAGCAATATGTCGAAATGTTGGAACTTCGCTACCTTCACCAACGAAAACTGCAGCGCCTTCATTCGCGGTTGGAAGATTGTAGAGTCGCCGATCATGAATTCCATGGTTAATGTCAAAAATCATTCGAATTAGAGGTGATGCTCGTTTCTCTCTCTTGGTTCGATCAATTTCTTCTCGTTCGACTTCATGCATCATCTTGAATGCAGCAGCAAATGAACTAACGCTCTTTATCACATCGCTGAGTTTGCTCATTGTCGTTTCATTGCAATTTTCATTAGCAGCATTTCCCATCCGTTCTTTTAATGTCAAGGATGAGTCCAAAATGTAAATTTGTCCAAATTGAGCTCTGTGACCAGGAGCAGGATGAAGTGGACCAATCCGATTATAGATTTGTCCATGAATACAAAAACAGTAGAGCCCAAAACCTTGTGGCAAATCAATTTGAGCCCCCATAGATGCAAATGCAAGAGCACTATTGTAGCTTCTGATTTTTTCGCGAAAATTTCTTGATTCAAGATCGGTGCCTTGTAGAATAGCTTTAACTTCATCTGAATATGGGGAAGGTCAGAAAGTTGAACAGATCCATAGTGACAGCACTGCTTGAATTCATCATGTCTATCGGATGTGCATTCTTCCTTAAAGTGTAGAGCATTGCAGTGCTGACAGACATTATCCAATTCTTCCATGATAGCTTTCAGCAGGAAATTCATCTCGAAGTGCAATTGCATATAAAGATGGGCTTCGTTGACGACGGCGACGCTGACGAAAAGCGTTCTTCACTTGCTGTTCAAGTTGTTCATCATCAGTTTTTTGCTCTCGCTGCCGTTTTGCTTGTGATGAATTCTTCATCTGTCTTTCAAGTTGTTTATCATCAGTCTCTTGATCTCTTCGTTGTTTTTCTCATAATGCATTCTTTGCCAGTTGTTCACGATGTTCATCCTCAATTTCTTGATCTCTTCTTTCTTTTTCTCGTGAGGCAATTTTTCCTTGTCGTCATTGCTTCTGTTCTTCTGACTGTTGCACGTACCATAAACGATGTCTTGCAGCATCCCTTCACAGCCGTTCGTTTCTCTTCTCTTCTGTTTCTTGTGCACGTCGTTGTCGAATCCTCTTGGGTCTCCTAAGTATTTTCAAGGCGGACGTCTCATGTAATGTTTTAACCACCGATTCATTAGCAGCATCGGCCATATCCGTGACATTTGTTTCACGGTGAAGTACTGTTGGTATTGACTGTTCACATTGGCAATCCATAGTGGAATCTACTGACGCATTGGTCATCATTGATATTTGGAAAATAATCGGGTTACAACCGTGGCAGGTCTATTTATACCCCTCGTTAGCCTATCGTAGAACCTTCGAGGAACATAGCAATAACTGATTTGATCTTTGAATCTTGACCCGTAACCTTTCATTCCAATACAAATCCTTAGTGAATGTTCCAGAAAATTCGGAAAGTTCCAGAATAGTGGAGAAACTCGAATTGTTTATACTTAATTCTGGAATGTTCTAGGAGATTCTAGAGTCTTTCATCTTTGACCTTTCACCTTTAAACTTTGACCCGGCACAGAGAAATACACTCACACACACACTGAACATTATATATATATAGATATGTGAGAAAAAGAGACATCTATCAATAAAACGTATTTTCCTTCTAACCTTCGAACGGTCCAACTTAGAAATTTGAAATAAGTCTCATATTGTAGAGAATTAAATTCTCTACGATCCTTGTGTATGTTTGAAATTTATAAGACGGTAATTAGTAAAACGGAAAATGTTAGAATCTAAAACCGATCACTTATCCGACAGAAAAATTCTTAAAATCCCTTGCTGCCACAGAGCTGCTTGCACCTACAAGTAAACGATTTGGTTCAGTTTTTCACGCTCTTTGTCATGCACTAGTAGGCATTGAGAGTGATTGCATAAATCATTTTGCCATCATGTTCTTCACTATCATTAAAAAAGCACAATTTAAATGGAAATCTTAAAACAACAGTCTATTGATGAACGAAAACTTTTCCCAAAATGTAGAGCATAAAATTCTACATCGGCTGACGTTTCCTTCGCTGTTGTCAACTGAAATTTCTCGGCCAATAAATACGAAATACTAAAATGTGTCTTGAAATTATGTGCACTGAGAAAAAAATCGTTCGCCTAATAAAACATCCAAAACGCATGTAATGTTGAAACTTTTTTCAGGCTACATAGTCCATAGTACGACCAATATAATGGTGAAAAAATTAGGTCCCAGGCCATAAATACCGCTGAGTTATAGCAAAAAAAACTAAAATTTCTTAAAATTGAGTCCAGCTGCTGGACTCCAGCATGTGCCAAGTAGTACGCCCCTCGTAAAGGACTAGATTAAATAGGGGTTATATGAACCGCCGGACGTCCACTTGTAAGTAATAGAGCTGATGAACATACTGCGGTGGCGTAATTAAGTTTACATCACTAATGTTCATCCTTGCATATGACAACACATAATCGTGCACTGAACAGTACGTAATCTTTCTGTGTATCTTTTCTCTCTAGATATCTTTCTTTCTCCGTATCCCCTTCTCTCTCAATAACTTTTGTCTCTATGTATTTTCTTTTCTCTCCGTTCTCTTCTTTCTTGGTGGCGTATATAAGCGTGCGTTTTGTATTAGATGGATACATTTGGATGTAGGTTATAGTTGAATAAACATCGTGTAGTAAGCCACTAAGCTATGCCTCTCCATTTGTCATAACGATTTAGAATGAAGTAGCTCAACTGACATCAATGCCGCGTATAACGGTAGAGTTAAACTTCTTCTCTTTTTCGTTACAATACAGCAGTTGAGCCGAGTTCACTTCTAAACAAGTCAAGTTAGAAGAAAGTTGTGCTTTGTCATACGTACGATTGTATTTGATTGTATTGAAAGACAACGTACAGAACTCATTTTGGACAAAAATAAACTCATCGTGTGGAATTGTTGTTAATATTATACACACAGTGGCTAAAATATATAGCTGATACTGATCTACACTTTGTTGCCCATCATCCTATCAGGATATATACGCAATTCTATATATCTCGATAGTTATTTGAAGAATATTTACGCGACCTAAATATTTTTCCGTTACACAGCACTTAACGTACTTTAAAAAATAGTTTTTGCTGTACTCTATGTTTCAACATATACATAATTTTGTTTAACGTTTAAGTCTTATTCAGTTATTAAAATCGTTTTCCCTCTACTATCTCTCATAACAGATAGTAGAATTTCTGTTCCAAGTATATATCTCATATTGTTTTGAAAAACCGTTTTTATTATTATTTAGGCGACCTAGAAAGGTTGAGAAGTATAGTTCTCTGGCTTTTCCCTTCTTCCAAGTGTTGTTTACGTTATTGATTCTTTTCCGAGTCTCTTTTGTCCATTAAGTTAGGCGTTTCTCTTTGTTTCGTTTTAATCGTTGACGCTGTGGTCCAGCTTTTGTGACTATATATTTTCTTCAAAAATAAAATTCTTCCTAGTGAAGTGAGGTTAACTTGATTCTTCACTGTGTTAGCATCAACAGATGGTGCTCATTGACACTAAGCTTGTCACTGTGATATATTAATGATATTAATCCCCTTTGATGTTTTCTCTTTGATCTGTCGGTCATTGGCTGTCTTGTTTTCCTTTCTCTCTCTTTCTAACGAGACCAGCTGTTGTTTATTATCTTTTTCGAGAGTCACCATCTTTATTTAATGAAACATCATTATCCTTATTATTAATGTTACTTATAATGACATTAATATACGCTTAATCTGTTACCGTCCCCAATCCTTATTGCATTCTGATTATGTCCAGCAAATACGGGTAAGCCGTTTTCAAAGTGAACTCTCATTACCTGAAGGCAGATATCTTTTCCCCAAAGATATATTATAATTTAGCCTACGTGATACACGGAGGATAAAGTCTTTATCAGGAGTCTCACACACTGACATATAGAACCATGCAACCGTCAATGGTACCGATTTTCGAAATAAAACAATGGAATGTTTAATCTTCAATATTATCTCGTTATATAAGATCTTATTGATGGATCATACAAGAACCTCATCGTAATTCTTGACGTAAGATTTCAGAGACGACGATTTTTCGTCGGATCTTACATGATCATATACGATAATGATATTTCGATCCGATACGATCGGATAAGAATCTGTGACCGATCTTGCTGTCTGATTTCTTGTCCTGGGGCTCTAAAAAGCTGTTTTGCACTAAATAGAGTTTGGCTATTTTTTAAAATTCTTCCGTCGGATCCGTCAATAGTTCCAAAAACCAGAATCCAACTGGATTTCTTCAATTAGTCGGATGTTTTAGGGCCTGATAGAATCCGTCGTCGGATTAGTCGACCGCTGTGCTTAATAAATAGAAAGGATATAGCTACACTCATTCTTTTATTCTCTTCATCCCACGGTAAGATATGTTTCATAGTTGCTCGATCAAATATAAGCATAAAATAATCACCTGCCATAGAATTTATTTCGCTCCAGAATCTACTAATCAATAAAAAAAAATAGTTCGTTCTATTCGTGATTATTATTATCATACTTAAAATTGCATTGTACCAATTAATTATCGGCAATATAGCCATTCAATAATTCTAATTATCATTGATCGTTTAATTTCGATTACAAACATTCTCAGATGATCAGAATAAAAGATGTTAAACTTCAAACTATTGTAATTAGCATCTGTATATCAATTTGTACTTGAATGATGTACTTAGTACCAGTACCAGTAAAAATGTACTGTAGTACCGGTACTAAGTACAGTTGTACTTAAGTATATCGTACTCAAGTAAAGTCCAAAGTACATGTGTTAAGTAAAAAATACTCGTACTTTTACTTGCAGTACTTTTAATTGTCCAGTGTCTGACGTAAACAGCCGATGTCTGTCATCATTTAAGGCGCTAACAAACAAATAGACCCCGTCCTCGTTATAGTTGCAAAAAAATAGCTAAAATCATAATTGAGGATCTAAATAATACGTTATTCTTTATTAGCTCAGTCACATTAAAGGATACTCACGAGTTCCGCATTTCAGACCAAAAAAGGGATAAACTGATAAACTTAGTTAACCCTTTCTGGCCCGGTGTTGCCATATGGCAACATTTTCCCCTAGGGGGGTACGGCAATTTTCAAACAGCGGGTCGGAAAATGTTAACTGAATAGCTTAATTATCAGCGAAAATAGTGTCAAAAATGAGTCGTCTTGAATAATTTAAAGCCCATTGAAATCCAGCTGCTCTTAAGTGCGGTATTTTTCTTCAAACAAATTATGTATAGATGCGAACATAACTATTGATTGCTGTCCGACAAATTGGGCACGAACGAAGAGAGTGCCCACAAGGAACGCACGTGGCAAGATGACCACAAGGCAGACAAGCTAGACTTCTCTCCTCTTCCAAGCACAATACGCACACCTGCGGCGAAGATGACACATTTGCAGGCTTTTTTCTAGACGATACCACTTTTTCTGCTTTCGTATCTTGCTGCTCATTCACTTTCACTGGCAATGCCTTGGAAGCTGTCTCGTCCACAACTGATTCGGAGAATGAGGACTTATTATCATCCGTATTGTTCAATGAATCTGTAAGTGTTGTTGCACAGGGAACTTGTGCGCGAGCATTCATCTCTAGAATATTAAGTAATGTAGAAAACACCTACTAATACGTTTTTTCTTTCAATATAATACCTGCTTGTGCTAAATCACGAATCTGATTCATCTTTACACTAGGAACAATAATGTTTTCTTTTTTTCCATCAATTTTCTCAATCTGTTTCAGAAGAATAATACATGCCATAAATAGATCACACTCATCAAGAAAATCTTCGTCTAAAGCATATCATAAAGGACGTTTTATTCACTTTTTATGAAACAATAAATAGGATCTTAGCTAGGGGTGGCATTTTAACTTTAAAACACTTTAGAAAAAGTATTGAAGTTTAGCGTAGAACACTAAAACTTAATACTTTAATATCAAGATTACAGTACTTTAACTTTAATTTTAAAATTTAAAGTTGCAGTTGAACCAACAGAGAATTAATCGCGAAGCGCTAAAAATTAATTGTCACTTTAACTCTACCTTTTTAGAGTTAAAATGTTAGTGTTTTACTTTAACTTTCAGAGTAAAGTCAAATTACTACCCTTAATCTTAACTTACGCTTGAGTTTAAGTTGATCTTCCCAACAACGTTTTATGATGGAAAGCTTGAATTTAAGTTTAAGTATATATTGCGAAATCGGTAAGTCAAGTCGAGCCGCTACCAGTCTTGATAAAGTGCTCTCATCCGAAATAGTAAGCTGGCCTTTACTATTCAAGCTGCCTTCATTTTCGCATAGTTTACTGGGTTCATTTATACCAGCCTTTTCTAAATACGACAATGCGCAAATAATCATTCCTAATGGGATAAAATAAAAAAAGATAGCAAACCTTGCTGAGCTCTTTTAGACTCCTGGATTTTCCTATACAATTCTGCACCGCATAATTGTTTTGCATATCCGCAGTGTGGAAACCAACGAGCATGCTCAATCATTGGATTATCGTTTACTCCCCAGTTCTGTAATGATCCATTGCAATAAAAGCACGTTACAATATTTTTACTACCGGTATAAAAGAAGCCTGCTTTGACTAAATTCTCAACGGATGGTAGATTTTCAGTGGGACATGTAGCAAATGATGCGTAACGCCGTGGGATTTCCATATAATTTTGATGACAGGCAATCGTATTCACTATATCGCCACAACGAAGTGTATCTGCATTAATCGCCCCTGTCCAATTATCTCTCATGAACTGATCATTCATAATTTGGATAGCTGATAGTTGCTGACGATCAAGAATTGCAAGCACATATGGACATTTAGGAGAAAGTGTTTTGTGTATTTCCACTGGATTGTCAGTGTTTGGAGTCCATTGTTGGCAGATCATATTGCAATATACACAAATGACTCGATCCCCTACATTGGAGTTAAAAAATCCAGCTTCAATCATTTGTGCACTGGAAGGTGATATTCGATGTGGCCAGTTCGAAAAGGTACGTTTTCTAGCTCGCTTTACTATATCAACTTCAATAAGTCTAGGTGGACAACTTGCTTGTGCTATTTCGATTTTATGACGTTTGGTTGCCTTCTCATCATCTGAAATTGTTGAAATTGTTGCAAGAGTAGTACTTGCCGCTGAGGCGGAATTTATTCCCTCCGGCAACATAGAGCGAATGAATTCACATTTAGGACTCATTTGTGCATGAATAGTAAATGGGTTCATGTCTGATGTCCATCCTGATACTTTCAGTTTACAAACATTACAATCGGCTGTATCACCACAACCCGTATAAGAAAATCCAGCGGCCATCATACTTGTAGTAGAATGCACACCCATTTTGTTTACTAAACGTCTACACGTTTCCAGTGCCTGATACAGAAAACCCGTTTTTCCAGAAATAGCATGTTGCAAAATGTTGTGTGTCTTCTGCATCGAAGTATGAGTATTACTTATTTGTCTGCAAAGCTCTCGTGGTATTTCCATCATACTACGTGTTTCGGTCATCTATTCCAATTCAACCATATAGGGCAAGACTCTATTTTATGAAATAGAAAGCGATTATTTCTCCTTTTATCTCTTCTAACATTTGCGTATATGATTATGATTAGCCGTCACAATCCGCAGATAACAAGATAACAAGATATAAAGGTATCTGATTTTGGGCTCAAAATATTCATCATTTAGGGTGGGTGTGGGTGTAACTGTATTTTTAACTCAACCACACCCACAGCCACAGCCACAGCCACACCAGGCTCCAAAGCATTCGTATGGATAGAACTATTTGGATATTGGAGCTAACTTATGTTAACATCGAGTATGAACCACTGAAGTTTCCCTTCTTCAGGGCATCGATGAGAATAGAACAGATCTATTCATCTGTTAGATTGATTAGAATAATGAAGAAAACAGCTTCCACCGCTTACACAAAACTATTGACAACACAACGTTACATTTTCGCCTAACTACATACAATATATAATGATTCCAATTAGCCCGTCGTAGACAGATGAGTATTAAAGGAGAGCAGAAAGCTTCTGGTTACTCACACCAAATGATTTAATAATGTTGAATTACCTTTCGATGGATAGAGAATTGTAGCTGCTATAAAATGGCGCATGCCGTATTTTTCTATGTATCCAAAGAGCAGCGAAAGAAATGATAAAGACAGAAGTGACTAGGAAATCATCTATTTCAAAACGTATCAGTGTTGACAACCTATGGTGGGATTGCTCTCAGTTTCACCTGTTCCTTGGATACGGGTTTGTAGGGAATTAAATGGAGAATGTTGTGAGACCAAAATCAACTCTCTACGATGATAGCCAACCAGAATATTGTCAAAATGTGAATGAAATCATTCTTTGCGTCGCACCCACTACCACGTATTTTTGCAAACAGAGCATTACATTTCACTGAAGCATAATTGATTATACATTTATATTTCATAATGCATTGAGAAGTAGGAAGTCATCTAAAATACACCGCACTTTTGCAATACCTATCAAGCGAAGAAACTATTCATAGAAACAACAGGACTGCAGCGAAATAAAACAATATATAGATGCGATAAGCAGCGGTTACGAGTACATGTCATCTAATCGTCAAAAGCTGTACCAACTCGATCGTTGAAAAAGGACAGCGTGCATGCGTGCGTATAAAATTGATACAGTATGTGTAAGTATGAGGCGATTGATACATCAGAAAAGCTAGAGCAACCGGATACCTTTGGAACGTGACCCTATTGAAAATGGTACTAAAACAAAGAAAATTTTCTGTTCCATCCATCTAAATAATGTCATAGTTTGTGTAAGCTGGCACGTATGAGTATGGCTAAGATGTGCTTGGTCCTAATTACTGATAAAAAGAAAGCAGCCACGTTCTTATGAAACATATTTTCAAATGCGTTATCAATCCTCGCACTCCAATACTCGCTTGTGGTGCTGAACTGATATCAGAAGCAAAATCTTTATTAAAACAAGAGACAACATCGTATGCTCCAAAAGCTAGTATCGAACGTAATCGAGCATCCCAAACATAAACACGCACACTGATTTATTACATACACAATAAATATCACACACAAACAATCATATAAACACCCAAGATTTCTTTAACCCCGCCCCCCAAAAGAAGTTGCTCCATAGGAACTTTGTTTTTTCACCAGCAAAAATGGACAAAATTTACAAAAGTTTGCTGGACCATAATAGAAGACCCGGGGTCTTTTATTGTGGCGGGGGCGGGGGGGGATACATGGAATGCATACAATAATGGACTCATAAGACTATAATCTCGTCNGAACATAATAGAAGACCCGGGGTCTTTTATTGTGGCGGGGGCGGGGGGGGGGATACATGGAATGCATACAATAATGGACTCATGAGACTATACTCTCGTCCAGACACCCACACCCACCCCCACCCCCACACCCACACCTCAGCTTTGCTATGTCATAGGGATAGAGTAAAGTAGAATTTTGTTTTATTTATATTTATGCAGCGGATCAGTCTAAAATATAGAATGGTAGACTTACTTGGTTTCTTGTGCTGCTTTACTTATGAATTGGAGTAATATTTACGTATGAGATATGAAATTTTTATCAGGTATACTATCAACCAAAAATGCGTTAAGTATGAGAGGAAACTTGTTGTTAACACAGCACAAGCAACGGGGTAAATTAATGTTTTTCTTTCTTTTTTTCTTTCTTTACGTATTGGAAATTTGAGTCACTGTCATAATTGTAAGTAGAATGAAAAAACCCTCTCAAAGAAAGCAAGCACAAATGGTGAATACGAAAGTACATAGTAAAAAAAACGATGTAATAAATATACAAGTGTAGCCTATCGTTATATTTTTTTTTCTTCCTATCATTCAAATCATGAGCCAACAGACGTCATTTTTGCGCCGATTAACTTATTTGTCTATGCAAGATGATAATAATTGCATGTAGTAGGATATTTTTCCCAAGGTATTGCGTTCGGTCTGGTGTAAATGCATACGAATAAGAGCTTTCGGTTTCGGGCACAAAAGAGGGTGTGGCCTGTCTTGACATTTCGCCGATATCAATATTACAACAACCAACATCATTTTTAACCACTGGTTGACGTTGATCTTTTTTACTCTCTCTCGACAGACTATCAGGTCGCGTAACCTGAGGGTGTGGGTGTGGGTATGGGTGTGGGTGTGGGTATGGGTGTGGGGGTGGGTGTGTGTATGGGTGTGGGTGTGGGGGTGGGTGTGGGTGTGAGTGTTGGTGTGGGTGGGTGGGGGNGTGTGGGTGTGGGTGTGGGTGTGGGTGTGGGTGTGGGTGTGGGTATGGGTATGGGTGTGGGTGTGGGTGTGGGTGTGAGTGTGGGTGTGGGTGCGTGGGTGTGGACGTAGGTGAGTGGGTGTGGTTGAATTAAAAATACAGTCACATCCACACACCCACACCCACACCCGACCGATTTAAAGTCTGGACCGATACCGGTGTAACGCATTTTCTTTGACGATAAATGGATAGTTTATATTCGTTACTGCTGCCGTATTTATTTTTTATTTGTGATCACAAAGAGAAACTGGAAGAGTAGCGTTACTGCTATCCTCGGTATATAAGATGTTAGTTACACTAATCCATTCCCCAATATTCTAGTTCTGTGTTTCAACACAATGCAATCGCCTTATATATGCACACGAGAGAGAGAAGAGAGAACAGAAAAAAGATATGATAGTCATTTCCACCTTACATTAATTACGTTCAGAAACGCCACCACATTGTGCAATGATATACGGATAATATTTAGAAGAAGATCAGATGCATTAATGATAGTAGTAGGTTGTAAAACATCCGTTGAGTATAACACATTCTATAACACTGATGAGAAAGTAATAGTCCTGTCTGCACGACAGTCCCAAAGGGTAATTTAAAAAATGGACGCCAAATATGTGAAGAATAAAGGATGTTCATGCATTATTGGCACAACCGGTATCAGACCGACCAGTTCCATCTATGATTCTAGATATTGGCTGTGTAAAGGATCTTATATTAAAGACTGCAAATGATTTTTTCAACAAAAAATCTTAGAGAAAAAGCGTAAAATGCAGATGAAATCTAGTATTTTCACAGGGAAAAATTGGAGCGTTTTGGTTATTGAAGAGTTCACATCTGATCCCTTCTTCGGCATAGATATAACCGATCTGAAAAGGTCGAATCGAACCGAGAGGTTTACTGGCCTATCGATATCGAGTAGTCTACTAGTAGCTTGTTGATCTATCACTGATTCGTTGATACCAGAAGAAACTCATCAGTAAATTATTCTGTGCCATCGTAAACAGAAAATTTCGAATAAGTATATATAAAGATATTCAGAAAAGGAAACTAGATTGACCGATTATCAACCGGCCTACTGATATCAGCCAGTCGGAAATTCGTACCAGCTTTATCTCTGCTTTTCTCGGCTTCGAGACGCCTGATTCTACGCACAAGACAAGAGTTGCCCACATTAGTTAGGTGGCTGAAGCATTGGCTTTTAAGGAGTTATTTGTGTGGCATAAGGCAATATTTTAGTTTATTTTTGATTGGCAAGTCATCTTTTTATGTTCGTCCGTATATTTTTTACAAGTTTGAGGATGCAAAAGATTAGGTGTTGGCTTTGTGGCAAAAAGTTTATGTTGAAAATTGCTTAGGGAGAGCAGGGACGGCACGAACGTGGGGGTTGGTGGGGTTTCTCCCCTCCTACTTTGAAAATTTTGACTTCAGTTTTCCTCCGACTTGAAGAAAGTAGAAGAGATTTTTCCTCCCAAATTAAAGATAATCTCTCACTAATAGAATAAAATTCAGAGATATTTTCTGAGAAAAAAAGGAAGTTAGTCTGAGACTTTGATTCGGAAAAATTTTAGTGTTCAGGCTTCATGAATTTTGGAAATATTTCTTGCAGTTTTCTGAAGATGGAAATGGGAGGTTTTTCCTCTTTTTCTTTTCTAAAACATTTTCTAGCAAGAAAAAGACAACTGATAACAATTATAAGAACAAATTGGTATATAAATTCTGTGTTTGTGATAATGTAAAATATCAATTTCTTCTACTTCATTCATGCATAATTAGTCGCAGTCGGATTGATTAACCAAAGAAAAAATGCGAATCAGCTCCTTTAGTACGTAATACTATACCCTAGTATACTCTTCCCAGACGAATCCCCAATGAGTCCCCATCAATATTCGAACTTTTGGGGAGTCACTGTCACGAGTCCTCGAGGAGTTAAGAAAAAGATGAAAAAAATTCTATCAAACTCAGAAATCTAAGTAAAATATCCGAAAGCGTCTTCAAAAATTACCGAGGGACTCCTAAAAAAATGACTAGAGAGTCCCTGTAGAAGTCCCTATGAGCTCCCTGTCCACCCCTTGGGATTTCGAAGGGACTCCCCAGCCAGTTTTTAGAAATCAGTCAGAAGCTTTTGAAGATGATTTCGAATTTTTTACGTAGATTTTTGATAGTTTCACTGGAAAATTTTCATCTTTTTCTTAACTCCCGGGGTCTCATGACAGGGACTCCCCAAAAATTCGAATATTGAAGGGGGCCCCCTGGGGATTCGTCTGAGGAGAGTTGAATAGTGATAGAAAAACATTTCGACAAGTTATCGATCAATTAATTACAGAATACAAACAACTTGTAATGTCTATGGATATAAATATTGAGTCTTTAGCAGCATTATCTCCTGAATATATCCTGAAGTTTACTGCTACAGATGCTGATAATATAAGTAAAATGGTACAGGTTAATGATAGTGTCTTGTTGTACAAAGAAATACAATAAATCATTTATTTCATTAATTACTCAAGTGTACCAATATCTTTTAACAGTTTAAACTAAATTTCTAGCTTTCATAGATTTCTTTTATTTTCCTCCCATTTAAAAAAAATAACCCCCTTCTCCCTTACTCTTATTACTTCGCGCTGTCCCTGAGGAACAGATAAGTTGGCAAATATTAAGTTTGACTCAGCAAGTTGACTCGTGATAGGCAATTAGTCGTTCTCAATTGAGTCATTGATTCATAAAATTTGATTATGCAAGTCGAAATTCAATAATTTATGATTCTATTATATTGAATAAACTATATTTTTGTTCATGCTGCATAATTCATTCAGTCAGATTGATTGCAAGAAAAACTATAATTTCACAGTGTGTTATTCGCGTTGCATACCATAGATAGATTTTTACAACCTTTCTTCCATTATCAGACTAGAAACTGATTACGGTCGATATAACTTTAATTTCAATAAAAATTTCAGCACACCCCATTCGTGGATTTTGTTTTCTATCAAATTTTTGTTCCAAAAACTAATGACAAGCTAGTACCTAAACCTGATTAGCAAAGTGTCCGATAAAAGTATGAGTGAGGTGGCTACTGCCGGTGTCTTACACTGACACCCCGTATCGAGTGGCTCGCCAAAACCGTAATATTAAGACACTTTGTAGTTGTGCTTGCATATACACTAACGACATATCAAGTCGATCATAATAATCTTAATAGCGGGTACTTCGAAACTTTACCTGTCGACTAACGCTGGTAAACCTCATATTTATGTGAAAAAAAATACTCAGATAACAAATTAAAAGATATAGTAGATATAATATGATGGAAACACATTTGTGATAAGATCTTATCAAAGAAGAGTTAAAGATATTCGTAATGATATATTATCTAACAAAGGAATATTCCGAACTTTCTTATTAATTTTTATTCGAAATAGTCATCAATCGATTGATCATGATGAATAATAAAAAAGTTTAGTTTGCTTCGATTTTTTTAGCTTTCGCTTGTTGTTTGATGAGTGTTATACCTGTTTTTTCCCTACTATGAGCATAGAATTTCGTGCTGACAGTTAATTCATAGATTAATCACATACTTTCGAGAGTAACTCGCAAATTTGCGCGCAAGAACAAACAAATCTATGGTAAGGTGCGCATACTCGAAAACATAAGCCTGTTCTTAACTGTTCTAAAAGAGACATTTTTCATCATGATCAATCAAGTGGCAATAGTTTTATGGACAAAGCTGTTGGTGAGTTGGAAAAATTTTCTACTTAGCTATACTAAAATATAGTAATTAGTTGTCAAACATTGAATAAATTATTCTGGTAGAAGAGATTATAGTACAGAATTTAGCAATCTTTTCTTCCTGTACAAAGTCACATTCAATTTCTTCTTTGAATCATAAGAGCATGTAATACTTTCGTTACGTCAAACTTATCAACGAAAGCCATTGGTAAATTTGGTAAGCTGTGGGCATTCAATATTTATTTACATCGTAATAATCGTTCTCATAGTATTTTTATGCTCGATAAGTTTATGTCTTTTTCGCAAGAAAAAAATTGAATGCAATCGACTATGCACGAGTTCTATCAGTTAATGAGACGTCATCATTCAGTAGAACAAAAATCTTCGAAGCATAACAATTAAGCAAAGTCTATCATTTGAATCTCATCATTTTGTATACAGGTTAAAAGTAATACAACCTCTGATTCTTCGGGAAAAAAGTGACTTAAGATATTTTGCTATAAAAGATTAGATCAAATAAAATCAAGTATAGTTATCCGTTAAACGTGTCTATGACTGCAAGCATTTTTAAGCGAATAGAAAATCGAGAACACTCATAACAAAAACAGTAATTTTATTAGTTTGACAATCATTTATCACGAATTTTCTTTTTTCGAAACAGCAGAAGAATCAGTATCAGCATTGTTACTATTCAATTGTTCCCATATTTTTGTATTTGGTGTAAAATAAAGATCACGAAAATTACTAAATAATTTTTCATTCACTTGAGCTTTTTCATTATTGTTACTTTCACGTATTTTAATCATTGTTAATAATCGTCGACTTACAGTTCGATTAAGTTGTTGTTCATCATTTGAAAATAATATAAAACATGGATGTGTTGGTAATAAACTTTCATCATACGTTAGTATATGTGTTGGCATCCAGAAAACTAATCGACCACCAACGCACAAATAAACATTAGCAAAGTTTAATAGATCACCGTAAATATTTGTTAAATCGTATTTTTCTGCGACAGGATTTTCCTCATCATCATCTGCTTTATCAGTTCGACGACGACTTTTATGTTGTGATGATTCGCGAATACCGTAAGGTGGATCGGTAACAATAGAGTCAAACTGAAATGTTGGACGCCACGGTGAATAGGCAAAATCAGCTCCAACAACACCCAAAAACCGGTTTAGTGTACCATAATCGGAAAAATTTCGATGCATCATTTCATCAGGATTACGACTAAGATTTTTCGTATTAGCTTTCGTTGGTTTCGCTAAATTTTTGCTCATAATGATAATGAGTAAATCAATTGAAATCTCTTACCTTTTGCTGTTAAAACACGCCAATCGAATTCACTACCAACAACATTACTACCGAGTTCCGCACAAGCCAGAAGAATTCCACCTAGTCTCGTATCTTATAGATTAGCCAAAGAAAATAATAGAAAACTAAACAAACCTGTGCCACAGAAAGGATCCAATGTAATATGATTCGGTTGACATTGGCCCATATTTGCCATAACAAACGAAAGTGTTGCATCCATTGTTGTATTACCTACAAACATAGAATTATGCAAGTAACAAACTATGCTTTGTTTTCGTTTTTTTCATAGCGAAAACGCATGACGGTGTTGAAGTTTCGATTTCTTTTTGCTTCCATACATTTGAAGACGATAGCGAATGAAATAATTTCTTCATCTTTGCCTTGCTTATTGTCTGAAACTTGAAGTTTCTGCAAAGAAATTTACGAGCTCACTAAGCTAATGATATTGCTTGATAAACGCTTATGTTTAAAATACTGATATTTTTCTTAGAAAATATTTTATACTTTCATTCAACATAATATTTTTAGATCCGATTTTTTCGAAAATTTTTATAGATATGCTAAACATCGATCTCCTAAGAGCAAAGCTTACGTTTGAATGTTTGACGCTCATCGGCTTCTCATATTGGCAGGTCAGTAAAATCTTTTATATAATATTCTATTTTACCTATCTACAGTTAGTTCCTTATCACTTACCGATAAAATAACGTTTTCGAACGTCATATTTATCAATTAAATGACGAGCTCCATCGCAGATCTTGAATTAAAACGACATATTTCTATTTAAACATAAGACAAACTAGAAGACTTACCCATCGGCCAACAAAAACTTCTTTTGGCTGTTCAATCAGCCCTTGTTCATAACTTTCGAAAAGACCAACCGAACAATCAGCTTTATTATTTAAACAAAATTTATTTTTTATTTTTAATCGATCACTAAATGCCTATGAGAGAATGCACAATAGAATACGTAGAATATACTTCTGGTAGCTCACATCAATCCGTTGAATTTTCTCCGGCTGTGTAAATTGCTTACGAAATCCATGAACTAGTATTCTCCATGTTTCGTGCAATTGAGGACGCTATAAATTTTAAAAAAAACTATATTAAGCTTTTTGAAAAAATTCATTCAATACCCAATCGGAGCTGATTGTCAATTTATCAGCAACATCTATCAATGAGGATCCATGTGTCCAATATTCATAAGCCGACCTATATAATATACATTACTTCGAAACAATGTAACTAATCAGATAGAAAACTGAAGTTATCGTAGTAGGAGTTCCCCCTAACTGATAAATCGCCTTTAAATAAATGCAATTGAGATTCATCGCACTGCGAAATAGCAACATTTTTGCATGCATACCATGATCTATCTCAGATTCATCATGTGAATCATTTTGATTTATTTTATGAAAGTATTCATAAAAATAATCGCTATCGAAAATTGTTATCTGTATCCTTCATATGTAACAGTAAATCTGATGTTCTTATTTCGACATAGAACAGAATGATAAGATCTATAAATTTTACAATAAACTGCTCTCATTAAGGTAAATCTCTCTCTCTCTCTACGACGTATTAATTTGAAGCTGTAGAAAGCGTTTTTCTGAGAAAGGCTACATAATTCAGTTAAAAACCGCAATAAGTAAGCTAAATATGAGAACTCATTTCAAGATATTTCCAACCTATTGCAGTCTAGATTTTGTAAATAGTCCTAAAGTAAAACTAATTAATTCATCGATTGGTTTTCCTTGTTGATCTACTTGTCTTAATTAATTTTTAAATTGAATCTCACTTTAATAAAACCGATCGTGACGAATATAATTTGAGATGATCGATATTGGAGAATGTGCATAACAAAAATGGGTCCTAGAATTGAAGTATGCTATAATGAAACTGATTTCATACGCAAGACCCACACACACACACCTGATCTGGCTTTCTTTCAATAATCATACTCTCACGAAAACCGAACATCTCAGCCAAGCTGAATAACTCCTATAAATGTGCCAATGAAAAAGCCAAACCATAATATTATGTACAATCTTGTTGATCACTACTCACAGATAGACGAAATTCGATCAGTTCATGAGCGAAAAAAAGTAAATATCGAGGCATTTTAAAATTAATAAATTTCTACAACAAAAATAAAATCTCTATTCCACATGATTGACTTTATCGTTTTCATTTATGAAACAATTGTTTTTCTCCTTGACTAAAATCTAAGTAATAGCTTGATTTATTGAATGAAATTTACATCAAAATGGTACAGTTAAAATTAAAAAGTATGTATTAATACGTAAAGATCTGTTTTTCAATAAATTGATGCTTCATGGATAAAATTAATGGTACTTGCTCCTCTTCTTCATTTTATTGTAATGATTAATGTATTTGACAACGGTAAGCTATCAAAATATAACAACATTAAACTATCAAATATAACAACATTAAAAACAATATAAAAAATAAAGAACATAATTTTGAATATCCTTGAATTATAATAGTGTGAACGACTGACCCAATCTGACCATCTTTTGCATATCTGGCAGAACATATCAATTGGCTACTTGAGAGTAGAAGATCCGTGAATTTTTGCTTCAAATGTAAATTCTAACGAATGCCTCAATTTCTCTTCGGCATATTGGGCATGATCTTAATGAATGACCACATGCAACGCACGTGGCCATATGCCCACACGGTATGCATGCTAATCGTTTTTCTTCTGTCAGACATAATACGCATGGGTTAGACGGCGTTGATTGGTTTCGATCGTCGGCACTAGTTGTTTGTTTTGTTATTTTTACTTCGTTTTCGCTACTACTCGCTGTTAATTTTGATGTGGATTCAACAGAAGATTGAGAAGATACTGATTCGTTTGTTAATGATTGCGATGATGTTGTCATTTCAGCGTCAGTAATTGGTGCTGTTTGTCCGCGTAAACGAGCTTCTGGAAAATAATTCAATAGAATATTAGTACGTACGTAAAAGAAAAGTAGAACTTACCAATTTGTTCCCGAATTTGTTTCATTTTTATGCTTGGTATCACAATATTCTCCTTTTTACCGTCTATCTTTTCGATTTGTTTCTGGAGAATTAAGCAAGCCGTGTATAAATCACATTCAGATACAAAATCGTCATCTAAAATAGTTACATAGGTAAGATATGAAAGAATATAGTGCTTTGATTAACTCACGTTTTAGTCGTAATTGATCTTCCCAGCATCGTTTTATTATAGATAATTTAAAATTTTGATCTAATAACCGTTGTGAAATTGGTAAATCTAATCGAGCAGTAACAAATTTCCATAAAGTCCTTGCATTTGATATTAATAATTGTGGACTATCTGTTGTTGGTGGTAGTGATGGTGCATTTGTATTTGGTACATCATTACGGACAGTTCGATCTTTTGATTCATTGGCTCTTGCGTGTTCTAGAAAGGAAAAAAATATATAAAAAAGTTTTAACTTTGAATATATAATTTTTCAAACATACCTTGCTGTGCTCGTTTAGATTCTAGAATTTTACGATATAATTCTTGAATATTACGATATAATTCTTCACCGCATAATTTTCGAGCATATGCACAATGTGGAAACCAACGAGCATGTTCAATCATTGGATTATCATTTGGACCCCAGTTTTGTAATGACCCATTGCAATAAAAGCAGGTCACAATACTTTTTGTACCTGTATAGAAGAATCCTGCTCTAACCAAATCATCTACTGGTGGCAAATCTTCAATTGGCCATGTCGCATAGGATGCATGGCGTTTTGGTATTTCTGAATAAGCTGGATTACATGAAGCTGTAAACACAATATCATTCGATCTCAATGGACCGAGATTACTGACTGTTCCTGAACGAATATCTGAAGTATTTACTATTGAATTTTCATTGACAATAATTATCGATGAAGCTGCAGGACGTATTAATTTTGCCTTAACATATATACAATTAGGCGAAAGTGTTTTATGTACATCACATGGATCATCTGTGTGGGGTGTCCATTGTTGAGAAATAAGGTTACAATAAATGCATATGACTCGATCACCAACATTGCAATTAAAAAATCCAGCTTCAATCATTTGCGCACTGGATGGTATACTACGATGTGACCAATGTGAAAATGAACGCCTTCGCACTTGTTGCATTAAATCAGTTTCGAGTAGAGTAGTATACATTGATTCCGAATCCATTGGTTCAATTTTTTGACGTTTAAAAGGGTTTTCAAGTTCACTGGTTGTCGTGGGATTTCGTATAGTAGTTTTAGGAGGAGACGAAGGAGCTGGTATATTCGCTGATGATGATGTCATTATAGAACAGACAAACGGACAATCAGGTCGACGTTGAGAATGAATAGTAAATGGATTCATATCTGATGTCAAATTGGATACTTCAAGTCCGCAATCCTTACAACAGGCTGCATTGCCATTACCAGTATATTGAAATCCACCGGCAGACATATGAGCCACAGTGTGAACGCCAAATTTCTTTATTGATTGAATTGTTGATCTGATTCCACTAAGTACAGCATGGGAATATTGAAAATTGCCCTTCTTCGTATTGCGCAACTTTGATGGCATTTCTAATATGTTGTCTTTATGTGACATACTAGTGTGATGAGCAGTTTCAAATTTTTTGACTGAAGAATTCATTTTAGATGTATGACAAAATCTAGAAGAAATAAGATTTATAATTCGATTATGTTTTACTTGAATATTCAAATGCGATTTTCATGATTTAAACAGTCCTATAGTCAGGGAGTGTTGCAAGATGGAAACAAAATTACGAAACTCCTTCCTGTTATCGCAATTTCACATAATGACTAACGGCTCTACGAACCATTACACCTCTAAAAATTGCTCATTTCATAAAAGAATAATAACTATTCATACATTTCGTGCGACGGAATTCCCATAAAAATTTACATTCTGCTAGATTCCAAACTTAACTTGTCTCTGTGGAGCAAAGCGGCTATATTTTAATTAATTTCTCACTCAGTGGTACAATGAAACTAAAAATAGTCGTTCCAAAATTGATTAATCAGACAGTTCCTTTACAAGTTATGAAAATACTTCCATACAAATAATGATCCATTCATTCGCATCCATTATATACTTCCAACTGGCTAGTTAATGCGCAAAAGCAATGGCGACTGAAAATGACTATTATGATCGTCGCAATTATTCTTTACAGTCGCAAAAGTGATTCATTTCTAACTAAAGTATTCCAATTGATCTCAGATCCCGACTTCGAAATCTACTAAAAATAAATACTACTCAAAATCTACCTCATTGCTCTAGCAAGACATTTTATCAAGGGGAAAAAGCGTATTTCTGTATTTCTAAATATTTCTGAGTATTTCTGAGTATTTCTATGGATTTCTGGATTTCTGAAATACGTGTAAATACGTATTTCTAGGTATTTCAGAAATCCATAGAAATACTCAGAAATACTCAGAAATATTTTGAAATACAGAAATACGCTTTTTCCCCTTGGCATTTTATACTATTATACTTTCTCGAATAGGCACTGTGAATAAGCCTAAAACTTCAAGAACAAGTTAGAAAAGCATCGTTAGATCTAGAACTTTCTACCCACCTTTTTTCGGTACAAAAAATATTTAAGATATGTTGGAAAAATCCATCTTCATGATGCTTATAAATGATGTAAATACATTAGGTTGGAAATTTCCAAGCGCAGGCGTGAAAGAAAAAAAGAAACGTTTATTCGTTCTCTCGGTTCGTTATAGAACGCAACCAATAACAATCATACACGAGTGACGGCGGTCTCGTTATTAAAAAACACAACTTTAAGAATTAATTTTACTGTCGCTTAGTGAAACTAGTAAATGCTTGGGTAGAATTTTAAACAAGGTAATAACGTAAATTGATAGGAAGAAAAATTCAATTGTTAGTAACGAGCCAGTTCACTACCATCCATATATTCACATGGATAGTAGCGACGATCGGTTCCAAAATATACCCAAGCTGCTTCATTGTTATAGATATTTTGAATAGTCTAAAATATAGTAGAATTTTTTTCCTAGAATATTAATTTAAAAACTATTAAAATATAATTTGACAAATATCTTGATACGTAAAAAATAGTTAATCAGTCATTTGATATCAGTAGTGCAGCTCCTATAACAAACTGATAATGTTGTAGCAATTAAATAAGTTAGAGTACATTAAACGTAGGTGATGAAAATATCTCTAACATATATTTAAGAATAATTACCGTTTGAATAAATTTCTGCTGCGCCAACAACAAATATGAACGTACATCGATTATATTTTACTTTTATACACGTTACCAAAAAAACCTATACGCTTAATCTATCAATAGGAGTAATAAACCAACAGGATTCGCCATAAATTCATCAGAAATTAGTCACATTTCCAAATGAATTAGTAAGCATGAATCTTCGTGTTATGTTACATCAGTTTTATGTGACGCAATCGATGACACGTGTATGACTAGTTGTCATGGATAACACGGCAACAAAAGCAATCATGAAATTGTTTTTCGTTATTCACCATTGCTTAGTAGCAAATACTTAGAAACATTTCAGCATACTCATGACTAAAAGTTACGTTACCATGCTTTCCTTCGGTGAGATTTGTTTTTCTATTAATATTTCAAAACAAATAGTGTTTAATATGCAGTGTAAAATCGTGAAATCATCGTTAACCTTAAATACTCTATCAGATCAAAGATAAATCAAATATGCTTTTATATACTGTACTGAAGACACAATGATACTTTAGTAAGGCTAATAAATGTCTGCAAAAATTTATTGCAATAGATTTTTTCAATTGATCTATGGTCATTTTAATGATTATCAATCAAGAGTTAGGTACATAGCGAAAAAACAAAATGATGTCGATTGAGAAATCTCATGATAAACAAAATATCCTATAATGTCCATCGGAAAAAAGGCTTCCTTTGTAGAGACACGAAATTGATCGTTTGCAAAGTTATTTATTTTGAAAACAGAATATTTTTCGACTAAAAAATTCAGTTCATACGAAGAGTTAAACTACGTACATGAAGTTTAATTCTAGATCATGATTATATACGGTGCATTTTGTGCAATATCAAAACATTCAGTAAAATAATCAAAATTCAACTCAAAAATAACTCCTTGATATAAATCATTTTAAGCTAATTTAATCACAACGGAGGACAAAAAGTTCGAGTAGTTCCTTGTAAAATATGCCGCATCATCTTGAATATGCATAGGTATGAGTCGCTTCAATATTTAGATTTAAATTGTCCGAAAAAAAAACATTTATTTGCCATGCGCATGACGATGCAAAGATTATACTTGTCATGATAGGAAACGAAAAAGGGCAATGTACTAAAAAAAATGCATGATCATGTAACTAATCGAGAAATTATAAACGTCATCAAGAGCATGCGGTAGATTTATTGCTACGGACTGAAACAAATTAAGACGAAATTATATCGTCTTCGTCAAGCTACATGAAACGTGCAGTTTTTTTTTATTCCTTTATGCATTACAACGCTTGAGGCATATTTGCATAGCTAACTTTTATTTGCCTAAAAACAATTTTAAGTAACGACCAAGAAGCAGTATTTTTTCTTCTGATGGTTTTGGCTTGAAGCTAATGAAAAAATAGCCTTTTTGTTCTCTATATTAAAAATTTGGATATTACGAAGCGAGTTTCGGGAAATAAATTACTTTTTTTAATGCAGATGCAACTTTTCCGGGCTCATTCATAACAAGATACATTGCTCATGATATCATTTTTAAGATCTTCATGGCAGGAACAGTCGAAAATATAGTTTAAGTCTCAATAAATACTCCTACAATCATAGAATAACAAGTCCACGATAAGTCTTTTGTAAATATGTAAATAACAATAAAAATCATGACTAATACACGTTGCATGTCGCAGTGGCTATAATGTGAAGAATCCAGAGTACTTATTTTAAGTCAATAAAGGCGGAATGATTGTTTCTATGTATGGGTTATATCATAAGAAAATACCAAGCACTCTTATTTTAATTTACATCACAGTTTGATTCCATAGGATTTGTTCTGTACTTAATTTTACTTTGAAAAATGACTAATAGAAATTATCAAGCTCTTCCGTTTTGAAGGGACTTTTTTATCTGCGATTATCTTAGTTCCTCTATTCATATCTATGAGTTATGTCTTCTAACCTTTCGGTAAAATATACGTAAATCCATCTGATGTAGTAATGTGATTGTGATTAATGTCACTGAATTTGATAAGAAATATAAAACGCCTACGATCAGGGTTGATGGATCAGTTTCGCTTACTTCTCTTAACCTAAAGACATTCGAATAATGAAGTAAAACAACCTTTCGTTGTCGAAAAATTTCTGAATTTTTTACCAACTGCAAATATCTTAACAATGACATATGAAATTCTATCTCTAATTCAGTAGTGTCAAGTTACAACTGACTTATACTTCTGTGACGATAGAAATATGATTTTGTTGGAAACTTGAAATATTTCAAGTTTGTTATATAATACGCGAACGATGGCTAACTTTTTAAGTCATAATAGAAATATACGATCAATATTTAAAGCTGGAATTTCAGTGAAATCAGATAATGTAGTGATGACAAAATTGTTAATTCAAATGTCAATATTTGCTTTTAGTTAACTTGATACAGCAAACCCCCGAATATTTGGAATAGTCAGTTGGTTTACTTACTCACGCTTGAAAGATAATCCTGTTTCATGGATTTATTGAAGTCGGTGCCTCCTTGGATTGTGTGCTTCGCATTAATTAAGAAGGGGCGTAATGCATAATTGGACGTTGAACTTGATTAAGATTGATTACACGTAGATGACGTATAATGTTAAATCGAGTTTAAGGTATCTGAAATCGATATAAATCGTGTTTAAAAAAAACAATCGGTATATGCTTAGCAAAGATATTCATGGCGACACTGTTGCTGACACCATGGTAGCGGCAGATCCTCACCCGCGATGAATATCTCTGATGTTTACAAGAAAATATTGTAATTCATTACAAACATTTTTAAAATGGTATAGTTAAAGATAAATTATATATATCTTCAAAAAATCTACGAAAGAGAAAAAAGACCTAAGCTGATTTTACGTGAGATAATACCGTATGGTAAAAGTGAGAACAACTGCACCATGGGGACCACAATCCAATGATCTCTGTGCCGGTCGAAAGTCCGAAAAAAGGAGGAGAGTTAGACGGAAGCAGTGCAGATGCCGCCGTCTGCGAAAAAGAAAAGACGAAAGAAACCAACCATGAACGACGACGAAAATGGAAAACCATACCGACTCGGACGTCACTCGGGTGAACAAGGTCCGCGTCCTCCGTCGATTAACCAGAACAGAATCGAAAAATTGGCTATTGGAAAGACAGGAACAACAGCAGGACAGATAATTACAAATAAAACAACAGCAGTAGTAACACCAAATGTCAAAATTGGCCAACAACAGTGGAAGATAACGAAAAACACATTTATAGTGGGTGCCTGGAACGTTCGAAGGTTATGGGCAACAGGAAAGCTAGAATTGCTAAGAAATGAAATGAAACGTTTCAAATTCGATGTCATCGGGATCTCTGGAGTACGCTGCACAGGAAAATGAGAAGCACTAAGTGGTGATTTCATCTGGTCAGGAGAAGCCACTACACACACCAGAGGTGTAGGAATGCTATTATGTACAAAAGCAAAAAAGACGCTAATAGGATACAATCCGATTACTTCGCGAGTAGTCACGGCTAGATTCAATGTAACACCATTCAAGCTCACAGTAATACACGTGTATGCGCCAATATCAGCATCATCAGATGATGAAATCGAAATATTCTACGATAGTATCGAGCATGCACTAACACAAACGTCTAACAAGGATATACTAATCGTAACTGGTGACTGGAATGCGAAAATTGGGAGTGATAATACACACTGGGAGTCAGTGATGGATAGATATGGGTATGGGGATAGAAATGAACGGGGAGATCGACTCCTAGAGTTCGCAGCGCTACACAATCTATATATTTGCAATACACGATTTCAACAGAAAGCAAATAGAAAATGGACATGGGCATCACCAGATGGCGTGCACACGAATATGATTGACCTAGTGCTGATTCAAAAGAGATAAAAATCATCAGTCACGAATTGTCGAACATTTCAAAGTGTAGATATCAGCTCAGACCATTCACCAGTGCTATGCAACATCAAGTTAAGATTGAAAAGGCGATGCATCAAGCCACAACAGCATCACAGACCTGATGTAAGTCAGCTCAAGAGTCAGAAAGGGAGAGAAGTCTATCAAACTAGACTAGTCAACAGACTCCAAGACATAGATACACAGTGCAACCTAGAAGAACATGCAGTGAAGATTGAGGAAGCAATTAAAGATGCATTACAGGCAACTGTAACAACTACAAGGAGAGCCAAAAAACCGTGGATCTCAGAACAAACCCTCAACCTAGCCGACGAGAAACGTAAGATGAAACAAATAAGGAATGTTTCAGCAGAAAACGGCTAGCTATATAAAAAACTTGTGTAACAAAGTAAAGAAATCGGCATGACAAAACAAAGATAACTGGATCCAAGATAAATGTGATGAAATGAAATACTAGACAAGCCTATAGCTTAATAAAGACACTGAAAAAGAATTTTGCACCACGAATAACGATGATAAGAAATCAAGATGGTACAATGCAACAGTCAAAAGAGGGTGTGAAGCAACGATGGACACAGTACTGCAGCGGGCTATATAAGGACGAAGGCGGAGGAGACGAGATGATTACAGAACTCGAAGGTATCTTCCCTTCATTGAGGGAGTAATACCAGAAGAATGGGAAAAATCAATCCTCATACCAATATCAAAGAAAGGAGATCTCAGCGAATGTGCAAACTACCGAACAATCTCACTCATAAGCCATACAGGAAAAATCCTACTGACAGTACTGTTGAACAGACTCAAACGCCATCTGTATCCATACTTGTCGGAAGAACAAGCAGGATTCAGACAGGACAAGAGTATTGTCCACCAAATTCTAATACTCAGGTAGCTTGCAGAAAATGCAAAAAAGACAAGAAAAAAAGATATGTAACTGCTTCATCGACTTCCAAGAAGCTTTTGACACAATAAAACACAAAATTATATGGGCTGTTCTCAAGTCATGCGGAGTCGAAAACAAAATGATCACACTGCTAAAACACATATTTGAAAAAGCACAATCAGCCGTTCGAATAGAAAAGGAAACAGGAGAATGATTTCAGACCAGTGTTGGAAGCAGGCAAGGAGATCTTTTGTCACCACTACTGTTCATTACATATCTCGAACGAGTAATGGACAAAGCAATGCAGATAAATTGAGGAATAAATATCAGTGGAACACTAGTGGACAACCTACGGCTCGCCGATGATATTGGCGTCCTAGAAGAAGATTGTGACTCACTTCATCAACAAATAGAACAATTAAGAGTAGCAGCCGGAGAAGCAAGGCTACTCATGAATGCAAAGAAAACAAAAACACTTGTATTTGGTGACAGAAATATCGAAAAACATGTTCAAATAGCGGGAAACATAATCGAAAATGTAGAACAGTTCGAATATCTTGGTAGTCTACTCACATGGGACAACAACTGTAGCGATGAATTCGAAATGAAATGCTATCGAAGAATATTAAGAACCAGCTGGAAAGATATGATAAGAGACACAGACATAAGAAAACAGATAGCAAGAAAAGAGACCATCATAGATAACGTCAAAAGAAGGAAGATGCGATTGTTTGGCCATATCTGTCGAAGGAACGATAACAGGCTGATAAAACACACTGTATTTGCAAGAATCAACGGAAAATCTCGAAGAGGACGTCCGTGTAGAGAATGAATGGACGATATAATCGAATGGTGTGGATACAGCGGACAAGACCTGTTCCATCTTGCGCAAAACCGACGGAAATGGAAAGAAATTATCCGAAAAGCGGTTGACCCTAACGGGCGATAAGCCTATGGGACATCATGAATTATGAAAATGTGAGAACAACGATATCGAACTCATGTGGATATAGTTCAGCAAATGAATAACATCTCGATCAGTTCACCATCGCACAAGTCGATATATTCATTCATTTATATCAAGCAAAAATGGTGGGTTCAGTTTCTGCTTCAGAAAACGACTCAACTTGCATTTCTCAGTGTACCTTTTTTTTATTGCGCAAGCGTCTTGATAACTGAGTGGAGAACATTTCACACAGCATTTGTCTCGCGTGAAGAGGAATTATCAAAGAACAAGATACTTCTTTCTACATTCAAATCTAGGAACTTCAATATCTTCAAACTGTTTTCACGACAGCAGTCATGTCGCAAATAATAAGCAAAACACAAATAGTCCAGTTAAAAATGATGCATTCGACACCTTAGAAGTGACCTTGGATTCAATGTTTTTATTACCTTCGTTTAGATTGCATTCGTTTTTCAAGCGCATAAAATTGAAGAAGCAGACACTAAAAACGTGCCACACTCAGTTTAACATGGAGTGATTCGAACAAGAAAACATGTGATAAATACTCATTACAGCTGATAATACACTTAAAAATAACCACTATGAAGAATGAACCAGATTAAATATTTACTCTGAGTCGAGTTCTAGTAAGAACAAAATCTAAAAATATGATTTTAAAAACCAGGAGAGTCTCTCATAGTTTGATAGAAGACCCACCACTCTCCATTCTGCAGAAAACACAATTGATATATATTCAACTGATCTTCATTATTCCTTGAAAATAGCTACATATTAAAATTGCATGCTATTCTTCTACCTTATAGAAACACTTACTTCCGAATGCTTATTTCAACGTTGGTTGTTCATATTTACGTCCCATCATATATAAAAATAGATGTGTACGGACAGACACAGTAGAGACCACACCCATTATGCAGCCATCGTACTGTTTTATATAGTTGATGGCAGTCAGAAGGACTTCCGTGTGTTCTTCCGAATAAAGAATCGATAGAAGAGAACTGTCACTCTTCCTAGAGAATGTTAAAAGTATTTTTTTTGTGGTGTGAAAAAAACCACAAGTCGTGTAACTACCGAAGTGAAAAGAAAAGAATATAATAGCGCCATAAACATGAAAGTCACTACGGGAAATTTCCAAGTATTACTTCGAAAGTAATTAGTGACAGCTGCAAATACTTGTATTGCTTCTATTTTCGTTGAATATGGTTAGTTCCGTTTCTGTCAAGATACAAGCCACGTCAATCTTTCCAACATACATGGGGCTAAACCCCTTTATTTTTACTGTCGAGTCGTGTCTTTATAATATCATGTAAAGTGGAGGACAAAATTTTAAGGCACTTTTAGTTTTTTGATTTTCTTCACGAAAAATCGGTCATAATCAACATCCAAATAGTGATTTCGATAGCTCTCGA